GCTGCCCAGGAGGGATGGGTCGATGCAAAGAGTCGGGAGACTGTCGTATCGGATGGACGGACTGTTGAGCTACTTGGAATAGCTGGTGTTTCTGGCCAAAGCACTGCTGAGCAGGAGGGAGGGGTTGATGGGAACATTCAGGAGACAGTCGGGTCGTGTCGATGGACTGTTGAGCTGCTTGGAATCCGTGCAACGGCTGGCGTGTCTGGCCAACGTGCTGCTGAAAAAGAGGGATGGGCTGGTGGGCGGCGCCGAGCGGTTTGGGCATGAAATGCAGAGTCGGCTGGAGAGGCTGTGGGGCCTGACCGAACCGCTGATGGGCAGGATGGATGTGTAGGCGGTCATCGTCGAGGGGTTGTCGGACTGACCGCTGAGACGTCTGGAGGGGCGCGTAGATCTGGCCGAAGCGCTGCTGGGACGGTTGGGGGACCTGGCCGAGCGACTGAGGAGCCTCGTAGCGCTGCCGAGTCGACTGTTCGCATCGACGAGCATGGTTGAGAGGGTGCAGGATTGCATCATGCTGTTGCTGAGCGGATCGCATGTGTTGGTCTGGCGGGCCGAGAGCATGCAGCCGAGCAGCCTGGAAGGCATGATGGCGGAACTCTGGAATCGGGGGCCAGTCGAGGTGCTGCGGAGCAGATTGCCATGGTTGTTGGATAGCGTCGAGCGGCTCATGGGCTTGCTGGACTGTCTGCGCTTGCTGCGAATTGCGGAAATGGCGACGCCAGTTCATAGTGTCTTCGATGCCAAACAGAGACCGAGTAGCCTCGTACGGATCGACGCGGAAGCTCATGTCTCCCATGGTGACGGCCGGAGGCGTGTAGAGATGTCGCAGTGGTGATGCAGATGCAGATGCAAGAAGCTGAAAGGCGATCAGAGCGCGAGCCGACGAGGTCAGCGGGCTGGCGAAAGCAGAAGGAGAAAGAGAGCTGAAGGAGAAGAAATGTGCCGGTGGATGGTGCAAGGAAAGGTGTTGAGTGAGCTGGCGCAGAAAAAATAGCGGCAAGCGAAGCCGTCCATTATTGTGCGGGCGAACAATAGAAGGTGCAGCGTTTGACTCTGGTGAACTTCGCACAGGCGCCCGGCGCCAATTCCACGTGCCTTATATAACAGTCCAGCGGATTACCTTGGGACGGATGATTCACTGGGGCCAGAAGAGGCACTGTAACCTCCGGAGCGCTCGAATTACTTTGCTGGCGAGCGCTCTGATGTTGGCGATGACGATCACCGGTGGTTGATGCCGCTGTGGCGGACTCCGCGTCACGTGATCTTCTCGCACACCCGCCACATCGAAAAGCTTGGCCTGTGGTTGGAGGCTGGCTCAGGGGCATTCTAGAAACTCCACGAGCAGTTAGCTATGCTCCGGATGCCAGGTTTATGTTCTGAAGAGCTTGCATGAGGCTCATCGCCGCATTGATCCTCGACCTCTGGATAGGTTTTCATTCGAGCAGTCATCGCACGGGCGAGCAGAGAGTAATTCGGGTATTGAGCATAATGTCGTAGGTACTTCATGGCGTTGTTATTTGACCCTTTTATGCCTAAGACAGCAGAGCTTAGGCCTAAGTCTCTATCTGTGTTACCTCAAGACCGGCCGTCATGCTTGTTACCATTCACGATTACAGAATTTAACATGCCAGTAGCAAAATATGACAGGTTTCGGTTGCTAATATGGTGGGATATCGACAATCGCCATGTTGTGAGCAATGACGACTACACGGGATGCATATGAAACCACCGCTGCCCCCATCCCGACGCTGACACCGCAGAATACAAAATCCGACATGTCCTTCTTGCAGCTCGAAGGCCTCCATGTCTTTGTGACGGGGGCGGCGGGAGGGATTGGGTCAAGCATAGTAACCGAATTCCTGGGTAAAGATCACGGAATCTATTGCGTAGATGGTGGAATTCTCATGCTGACCGGACTGCAGCGCAAGGATGCAGTGTAACTGGCCATGATCTGAGACAGAACACGGCTTTGGCGCCGTCGCCTCGACTTCATGTTGTACAAGGCGACATCTCTGACGAGAGCTCGATCGAGAAATGCATGACTGATGCCCGCGAACGCTTCGGCCCAATCCACATACTGGCGGCAAATGCTGGAATTACCGACGAGTCAAATGAGTATCCTATATGGGAGATGCCGGCAGAGCTCTGGGATAGGACCTACGCCGTAAATGTTCGTGGTACATTTCTCACTATCAAGCATTTCCTTAGGTCCGCAGATATCTGCCAGAAGGAGGCAAAGGCTGAGCTACCAAATCTAGCTATTGTGGTAACGTTGGTGGCCTTCTGCCTACCATGCTCTAATCTAAGCTGATGTTTATGGGCCAGCGGGAGCGAATGTGGTAAGTTTGGGCAAGCTGGTCATGTAGAGTATGCATCCGGAAAGGTAGTACTCTTCGTAGCCCCGAGGCCAGGGCGTCACTCACGCTGTACAGGCTGGACTACAGTACGGACTGGTCCGTAGCGTCAAGAACGAGATCGTAAGACTCAATTCGGCCGCAAGAATCAATGCTGTGGCTCCAGGTTGGGTTGACACGCCCTTGATTGAAGGGCGCTTGGATGACCCTAAAGAGATGTATCGAGAGGCCCAAGCAACGTAAGACCCTCTCAAAAACTTCAGATTCAGTATTGATAGGTAAAGTGTGCCACTCCAGAAGATTGCAAAGCCAACAGATGTGGCCCGCACAGTAGCTTTTTTGGCGTCTCATAGAGCAGCAGGCCACATAAGTGGCCAGTGCATATCCGTGGACGGAGGCATGGAAGGAAGAATCGTCTGGTCTGAATCTGAGATTGGCCAGAGAACGGAAGACGTGCAATTAGCACGGCCGATTATCACCGAAGCTACATCGAGCATTCCCATACCGCTAGTGTCGGCGCAGAAATCTAGGCCATCGATTAAAATTGCCGTATCAATCGACTTCGATGCGGTTTCTGGATGGCTTGGCACCGGCACTTCTCTTGAGAACAATCTCTCGGACTATAGCTCAGGCTTTTTCTCAGCTCTCGTAGGAGTTCCAAGGCTGCTGAAACTGTTTAAACGACTGGGAATAGCCGATAAGACTACCTGGTTCGTTCCCATGCATTCTGCAGAGAGCTTTCCAGAGCAGTTTAAAGCAATCCTGGATTCTGGATGTGAATTAGGATTACACGGATATTGCCACGAGGGAGCTCCGCAACTGACGCCAGACCAAGAGCGCGATGTTCTCGAGCACTGCATCGCTATCGCCACAAAACTCTCGGGAAGGAAACCACGCGGCTACCGCGCACCACTGTATCAGCTTCGAGAGACCACCATTGACTTACTTGAAGAGCACGGCTTTTTGTACGACTCCTCGCTCTCGCATCACGATAGCAAGCCTTACCATATACCGCGCCTGCCACCCATAACGCAACCCAGCTTCACGCCAGAAGCCAGTGCCAGAGAGTGGATGCATCCACTGTCTCAACCCGAGTCACCAACATCCACGACGTTGGTAGAGGTTCCAGGATCGTGGTACGTGGAGGACATGACGCCGCTGCAATTCTGGCCCCACACGCCTAATTCTCAGGGCTATGTGGATGTTCGATTAATCGAGCGTATGTGGATGGATCGCTTTGAATTCCTGCGTGGCGAGCTAGCAGAACAAGATGGAGATGAGTTGATAGTGTTCCCGCTCGTTTTGCACCCAGATACGAGTGGTATGGCCCATGTAATCGGTATGATTGAACGAATATTGAATTGGCTACAAGGATGGGAAGATGAGGTGGAGTTCATGACCTTCGAGACAATTGCAGAGATTTGGAAGAAGGGCGAAAGAAATAAGATATAGCCAGGACATGAGCTATCCAGCTGCTGCCGTATTTTGCTTTCTCGGTGAGTTGTGTTGGCGAACACCTTCTCCTGTATGTGGATTGTTCTGGAATAAGAATGACTCCCATCGTGAGTTTCATCGTCTTGACTGGCTTGCACACCTCACTCCGTCAATCTCACTTTCCGAATAGCAATCCTCCTGTACTCTAGCAATCAGGCAATGGGTTCGTGCCTTCTGATAATCCATGCTCGTCACGGCGACGCTTCGTTCGGTCATCCCAGAGACTGAAGACTGTATCGCATAGGCCGCACTGTATTGACGGTTTACATGAGCGGCCAGCTCTATTGATGCGTCAGAGTCAACTTACAGTGAAAGGCGCAATTAATTCTTCTGGTATGCCCAAAAAAAAGTCCTCCTCGTTGTGCACAATATACCATGAGACGTCCGAGTCAGCCTGAAGCGACTTGCGTACGGCTTCAAAAGAGGCCGGCACTGGATTTGGCAACATATATGGCTTGACTTTTCTCGCGCTGTGCATATAGAGCCACTTGCAGCAGACGAATAGATACGTCGTGAGGCTGTATCCCTCCCTTTGTGGCACGAAAACTCGGACTTCGCAGTCGACGCCTTTAGTTGTAAAGAGATCCGCTGTGGCTGCCATGTCGCGTGGGAAGAGCCGATATCTACAACTCGGGGGAACATTGCCTGCGATGAGAAAGTCGTCAAGTTTGGTGACACAGAGTTTGAAGCCTTGAACGAGGGCGATCACGGGCATGGTGAATAGGATCCTGTTTCTCTACCCGCGCAAGGCGCAACCGAGGAAAAGGCATTGGGGAAGGTGATGACTCGAGGTCTCTTTGACGACCTCGCAAGAAAATAAAGCCTTGGCTGTTATGTGGCTGGTGCTTTGGAGGTAGCAACAAAGTCGCCCGTGGCCAATGTAATCAATGATATAGTGCGAATCAAGATTTGATAACCGTATTCCAGCTCCAGAGGATAGCTAAGGGAAAGGACGTGAAAAGGAGTGAAATATGTTGCTGCCGTACTTGATTGGGCTTCCGCCTAGAACAAGACAGGCAAAGACAAACTCTCTCAGAGCTATTGAGGATTTCGCTCCCAGAGGGTAGGAGAGCTACTTCAAGGTATACAACTTTCATTGCGGTCTTCGTGGTAACCTGGGACAATACTTCGTGCGGCGAGCATTAGTCGAGATGGACGGCCCAAGGAGAAAACGAAAGACGGTGGTTTGAATGTGAAAGGAGTATGGTATGGAGCTCTGTATCTTCCTACAAAGGTATGCAACGTGGCTGGGGCCCATGAAGAGCGGGTCTGCATATAAGAAATTCACCTTTTTGGTCTTTACCTCGCCAATTGACTTTCTGCTACCCTGATGACGCTGGTGAAAGTCCCTTGGCGTACCATGGACGATACCTTTGTAGGAAGTCAATATTGACATCACGTGTAAACTCACGGACCTCGGGAGAGCCGTCGTCATTGCTTATTGCTCTGCTGAGCAAAGAGGCCTCTTCCGACCACTGGAGCACTCCGCATATTCTGCCTTTCAACCACCGCTTTCTGCGCCTGCGCTCGTGGCTCATCAGGCCCCCGGCCAGCTCAAGGTTCTCCAGAGGTGCCACGGGTTGTGACCGTTCCGCGCCTGTCCTCCCAACCCTTCCGAACTCCGCGCGCCGCCGTAAATCTCACCCAGAGCGCGCCTCGACAAGCGCAGAGTCTCGTATCCAAATCCAGGCGCATCGCCCTCTCATCTCCGTAGAAGCGCTTGGAGGTCGTCATTCACTCGTTCATGGCTTGCCTCGGAGCATGAACTCTCTGAACATCCTTTCCGCCATCGGCTCAACTCCCCCTCCGAGCCCTCCACGGTCACGCGCAGGATCAGAAACCAGCATTCCCAGAGCGGAGCCTCGGCCTACATACACAGAACAACACGAGAACGATGAGGGTCTCTCTGGCATAGAAGCTGTGAATGAGAAAGGCGACATGGTTGCTCCTAAAGCGGAGGCTCTTGTCTCCAACGAAGACGACGCCTTTGCAGCCCAATTCGACGAGAAGTCCCCCCTGCTCGGCGATTCACGGGACGGGTCATTTCCAGAGCCCAATTGGTCGAGGACATGGCTCATACCAAAGCGCGTCTCACATGCTGTCGTGGGGACGCTCAAGGTTCTGATCACGGCTATAGTGGCACCTGGAACATATGTCATTGCGTGTTTCTATGATGACGAAGGCCATTTCTCTATCCTCTCTCCAGTATACAAAATAGCGCGTCCATTCTCTCGCAAGCGGCGGGGTCCTGTAACAGACACATTGAAGAGCCAGGAGAGTTCAGAGACTAAGGAGAAGGACGAGCGCGAAGCCCGGAGGGTCAGCACAGGGAAGCCGCGTCTCAAGAGACCTACCAGGCGGTCTCCATCCATCGCGTCAACATCGACAGCAATAACGTCAGACTCCGAGATCGAGAGTGAAAGACCTCCCACTCGGGACGAGGACAATGATACACCCTCGCGCCACACACGGTCGAAGTCGATAGCATCAACCTCGGCCGAAGAAATTGCACCGGCCAAGCGATCAATTCGCATCAAGCTTCACAACGAAGACGCATTGAGACACCGCAAGGCAAAGAAGGGACAGGCTCAAAGAGGGGCATCCGGCTCGACAGAGCAGGTTTCGGCAGAAGCAGCAGCTGCCTTGAAGTCACCCACCAGTCCCGCTTCGTCCGCGAAGCTCACCAAGTTTCCTCGAGCCCCACAGCCACCACGGCCTTTGGTGCCGAGAAGGCAGCCCTCATACACCACGTCCGGGGTGTCAGCAGTCGGTCCACACCAGAAAACGCTCATAATTGATCTAGATGAGACGTTAATACACAGCATGGCCAAAGGCGGTAGATATACCACTGGCCACATGGTGGAAGTCAAGCTTCAGCAGCCTGTCGGCGCAGGAGGCACGATGATCGGCCCCCAGGTCCCAATTCTGTATTACGTGCACAAGCGACCACATTGCGACGAGTTTTTGCGCAAGGTTTGTAGTCATCGAGCTTATTGACGGCCGCAGCTAACATGTCGGCATCAGGTTTGTAAATGGTACAATTTGATTGTTTTCACTGCATCCGTCCAGGAGTACGCCGATCCGGTCATCGATTGGCTTGAGGTGGAGCGGAAATACTTCGCGGGACGATACTACCGCCAGCATTGCACGTTCCGGAACGGGGCCTACATCAAGGACCTCGCGCAAGTTGAGCCGGACCTAAGCAAAGTCATGATTGTGGACAACAGTCCCATGAGCTACATTTTTAACGAAGGTACGTTTGCTTCCGGCCCGAAGGTACGGTCACAGCACGCTGACCTGATCTCCAGACAATGCCATACCAATTGAAGGTTGGATAAGCGACCCAACGGACAATGATCTGCTCCATCTCATCCCACTGCTGGAGGGCCTGCAGTACGTGACGGACGTACGAGCATTGTTGGCGCTGCGCTTGGGCGAGCCGCAGACGGCGTAAGCCTGGTATCTCAGAGCGGGTTGGAGCATTATTCAGGAGACAGCGTTTTGTCTGTATTGTACTATAGAGCCGGCTGGAGGAGCTGCGCGGTTGGTGGTTGGAGATACCCTGAGCAGACATTACCTACTATATCTGAGCGCGCCAAGAGCTGCTTTTTCTCATTACCAAATGTCACCACGGCGCCGGATTGGGACGCGCAGCGGACCGGTGCATATGCTGCCCGCTGGCCACCCGCAGTGTCTCCACCTGTGTGAATCCGGATCACCTGGCAGCATTGGCGTGGGGTGGTGCCCGCGGCGGACGCCTGCGGAGCTCCCGTCCCCCACGACGGATTCGGCGTCGATGACTACTGAATTGCTTCTGCAAGGTACGACCCGCGCTCGCAATCGTTCAGCCTCCAGTGTGGGAGCTGCCCGTTTGCACGATGGATCGCTCTGCGCCCTCTGCTAAAGACTCTGCATCGCGCGCGCCATCTGCTTCCCCATGTCTGCGACAACTCCTCTCCAGCTCAGGGAATGGCTGCGCTCAATCCAGACCAGCTGGATGAAAACCGAATTGCCGAAGAACTTATAAGACAGCGCAGATCTGCCGGTCCGATGCCCCTCCAATTGCGCAATCAGCACTGACAAGAAGCAGCACAGCAAGTCGAGCGCATCCGGGCATGGTTGTCGGCCCCGGATTGGAAAACCTCCTACGAGCAGACGGTCCGCCGGCGATGTGAGTGCACGGGACGGTGGTTCCTCGCGGACCGCAGGTATCAAGCCTGGCGGACTGCTCAGCTTCGAGGTAAGGAGCCAATCAGTGTGCGCGGCATCCTCGCCGTCGAAGGTGTGTGTCCGCGAGCAATAGAAGCCCTGGCGATTTTTTGATGTTGATTGATTGATTGATTGATTGAAGCGAAACCCGGCTTTGGCAAGACTTTTCTCACTGGCATCATTGTCGATGACTTGAAAGCTCCCGATGGGCCCCTACACCACGTACGGCCAGAGAAGCACGCTGTCGCCTTCTTCCATTTCGTTGCTAGAAATCCGGACACGCACAGGAGTTCGATGCAGGCCTTCCGTGCGGTTGCGACCCAGTTGCTCGAAACCCATCAAAATGACCGAGACGCTATGCATCAATTGGCCTTCTGGATTGAGAAAGAGTCCAGTGGCCAGCAGCAGCCATCGTTCGACGACGTCGTTTGTGTCGTCCGGATCCTTGTGCGACATTGCCCGACCTTCTTAGTCTTTGACGGAATCGACGAATGTTATGACAACGAGGTGTTTCTTGCAGCCGTCTATGATTTGTGCAGCTCCGAAGAGTGCAAAATACTCCTTCTGGGGCGACCTTCAATAAGCTTTCCACAGGAGTATCAGAACTGCGGCTCCCCTTCGAACTGGCGGGTGTCACTAAGCGACCACGAGAATTTCGAGGATATTGGAGGATTTCTTCATTCGAGGATAGAATCAATGGCGTCCAGAGGTCTTTTCGGGGATCAAATCGTCGACCCAACAGTCATAGAGGAAGTCACTCGCCGAGCAGACGGAGTTTTCCTGTGGGCAACTCTCTTTGAGCAGTTCCTGACCTCAGCCGCCCTGGCTCCTCAAGAAAGATATGACACACTGCACAGACAGAACCATCTGAGAGGACTTGGTGCGCTCTACAACGGTATACTACATACGCTCACTCGAAGGAACGAGAGAGAGAAAACCATAACCGCGGACATATTCAGATGGCTTGCCCATCCCATCAAACCGCTCAGCATCGAGGCCCTCCACACTGCGCTCGCTGTGATCCCAGGACAGCCAACCACCGAAGCGCAATATCTGCCCAACTTCCCGAAATGTGTTTCAGAAATTACATGTGGCCTGGCTGGTTTGGACTCCTACGGAACCCCGGTCTTCACTCATCGATCCGTGAAGGACCACTTGCAGTCGAATCAGTGCGTTGTTTTTGATTTCTCTCTGTTCGATGAAAGCGCTATGCACGCTCATCTCGCTTCGCGCTGTATCTCGTATCTGGCGCATGATATCCCGAAACAACCACTAGAGGCCTCTGAGCTCCAGCAACTTCGAGGACCTTCGACTAGCTCCGGAGCTTCGCTCCGGACCGTTCAAACTGAGAGGTCTGGAGATAGTGGCTTTTACAGCCAATCTTCGGACGAGGACGTCCCTATGGAAATCATCACCGACAAAAAAGACTTCGAAACCGCATTTCCTCTACTACGTTACGCGGTGCTCTGCTGGCCAGTCCACCTTAGTCGAAGTCTGACTCTATCCCCAGCAACAGCACAAAATAGCCAGTCTTCTCAATATGCAGCCCATCAACCACACAATACATTCTCCACGTTTACGATTACCGAATTCCACCTTGGGTGGGTCTCTGTACTGTCTCAATTCTTACTCGATCGACTAGCTGTGACGGCTTGGGTGGAATCATCGTGGAGTGAGTTCTACAGTTATTGGATTTTGCAAAGTCAGCTCTAACGTTTGCTAGGGTATCGTCTCCCACCGAACCTCTCTCGGTTGGTCCCGCTCATGGAACGCCTACATACGTCTATTGCGTCGCAGAAGAATGAAGCCCGTGAGCTCGGTTGGGTGATACTCGGCGTGAAGGAGCTCCGTGATGCGCTCAATGAGCTCCGATCAAATCATCTGGCTTCTCTAACAGCTAAGCCATCACTGATATGGCAAAGAGGTACACAATCGAAAGGGTCTCAGAGCTATTGGCCACTTTGGAATCCCCATACAAATGGCCAAGTGGGCTCTAGGTGACGATACGGCTGATATTTCCGACTTCTTTTCTTATAAGACGACTTTAAGCTCTTTTCCACTCTTCTAGATGGTGTTTTTCTTTGAATGATGGAATCGTATGCATTGCATTTGCTGGATTTGGTTGGGAAAAGGAGTACACAGGACTCACATTGCGAGGGAAGATGGCATTGGAGGAGTAACAACATGGCATTCATAGATGCTGGGAATCAGGCGAATTTCTTCTATCTAACGACTAGACCATAACCAAATATCCTAGAATTTAAGATCTCACTCCCTCCCGTGATGGCAGGCTCCCTTGAACAAAAAGTGGCAGATAGTCTACGAATCTGGGATTCAATTGCAAAGCTTCTCAACCGTGCCTAGCACCGCTGGAGGTCTCCCGCGATACGTGGTTAAGAATTGGAAAACGACATTCCAACAAGCCTAATAGCCCCTCAAACGGAGTTAGAACAGACTTCCACTTTATAGTCAACGGAGCCTGGCTGGCGCAATACCCTCCCTGCAAAGCTAAAAATGACTTGCTGGGGGTCCCCCCGGTGACACATGATTGGCCAGAGCTTGACGACCACTTCTTCACAACTGAACACGTCTATCAAACTTCCAACTCACAATTCCTACACCTGATCTAAAGCCTATCACCAATTCAGCTGCGAGTCCCCTCTCCAGCCTCTCCGCAACCAAGACCATGCCGACGCCTTGAACAATCCGTCCGATCTACACCACCATGCCACCCTCCCCCCTCACCCTCCTCGCCTCCCCCACCTTCCTCCTCACCACCGCCTTCGCCCTCCTGCTCGCACTCACCCTCCGCCTCCTCGCCATCCTCCCACCGCGCCCCCGCCGCACCGCTCCGCGCCGCATCGGCGACCCAACCCGCCTCCTCGTCGTCCTCGGCAGCGGCGGCCACACCGCTGAAATGCTCTCCGCGCTGCGCCAGCTGGACACCCAGAAATACACGCGCAGAACATACGTGGTTAGTTCTGGCGACGCCTTCAGCGCCAGAAAAGCCGATGAGTTCGAGCGCGGGCTAGAAACGCGTGGAGGTGGAGACGGAAAAGGGAAGGGGAACACAGGCGCAGGGGCGTATGATATAGCAGTTGTGCCGCGCGCGCGGCGGGTGCATCAGTCGCTGCTGACGGCGCCGTGGAGCGCGGGGAGGTGTTTGTGGGCGTGTTTTGGGGTGCTGCGTGTGTCGGGGAAGAATGGGGATGTGGTGGGCCAGGAGTACGACTATCCGGATCTGATTCTCACAAATGGGCCGGCGACGGCAGTGATTGTCATTCTGGCGGCGTATATTTTGAGATTTTTTGATGTCGGGGGCGCGAATTCGAGGGGGAAGATGCGGACGATCTATATGGAGAGCTGGGCCAGGGTGACGACACTGAGTTTGAGCGGGAAGTTGCTGCTCTGGGTGTTGAAGGCGGATAGGATGCTGGTGCAGTGGGAGCAGCTAAAGGGGATGGGAGGACGGGCGGAATTTCTAGGGGTGCTGGTTTGAAGTTCTGGGAGTATCTGTCCGCATTTGAGTGCGTTCAAGCGTTGGCGTTGGACAGAGAAAAGTACTTGATGGATGGTATGATATGGGTTCCGCGAAAGAATCTGCTGATCTACACTAATACGGTATCTACATATTGTACAAGAAATCCATACTCCACTGATGTTGCTGTGCATGTCTGGCTACGAAGTTTGTGCTGTTTTAGTTTCTTGGGCTGCCCGGTTCGCTGCCATAAGCTCTCCAATCCTTGCCAGCATGTCCTCGGTGAGCTGCGGTTCTCCCCTGGCCGCCTTGTCTGCTCGTTGCTTTTCATGGAGAAGCTGTATGGGCATACGCATAGTGGACGCCCAGTTGTTCTTCGCGTTCTCCTGTTGCTCCTTCTCGACCTGCCTGGCTATGTAGTCTTCGTCATGCCGTGTCCTGTACTTGCTGTACTTCCCCCTCAGCTCATCGATGACTGACGGTGGCATTGGCGGGGTTAGCAGAGTCGGAACAAACGTCGGCTTGTCGACTGTGAGTCGAAGTGTATCATCGTGGTGATCTTCGAGGTCGGGCTCGTCGTCGTATGGCCATTCGATTTCGGAATCTGTGCCAGGGACGAATCTCACCCATGTCTTCTCTCCCGTATTCTTATTGATCCGAATACGCCGCACCTCGACCTCGTCGACAATGACGTCGCGTCGGGTTCCGGTCCTCGGGTCTTCCATCGTGTGGATGAGACGGACGTCTTCGTATTTGACTGCGACTTCCACGGGTGAAATCCTGCTGGTGTCGCCGTCGAGCTTCCGGAAGAGCTCTGGTTTTTTTTGATACGCCTGGCCGAAGCAATCAGTATTCATTTTGGAATTAATGAGCAGAAAAGCCGATACGTACCATATTGAGCTGATTGACGATTAGATGGTTCGTCTCCCTCAGCAGCTGCTTCACTATGCCAATCTGGCCCTTGTCCAACCCTCGAAGCAGGACAACCCTGTCTCCTTCAACAATATTCCAGTCCTTTATTTGCATAGCTTCTGGGAGCGGGAAAGGGGTGACGGCATCGCGGTCTACTCCGCCAAACGTCTCCCCGTCCTTTCCATAATTCCGATTCGGCGCAAGAGATCCCAGTCTCCAGTCTTGCCGCTGGGCATTGCGCGCGAATTTGAGTTGTTCGACTTGTAGTGCCCGTTGCTGTTTCGTTTGCCTTCGCATCTGGAGACGCTCAGCTACGAATTCCGTCCTTTTGTTCGCAGCAATCTTGCGAGCTTCCTGCTGGTGAAGCGTCGCGGCGCGCTTGAGTATCCGCTGCATCGTGGCCGGAGGTGTATCGTCAATTAGATGGAGGGGATGGGTGCGCGGCGATGCGCAGTCGCTGCAGTGGGTGGCGGTGCGGTGAATCGGGAGTCTTCACCAGGCACTTGGGCCACGCCAAGACATAAAAGTGAGGAGTAAGGTGGTGGTGAATAGAGAACAATAGAACAGACGACAATAGCTCTCAATAGAGCTGGCGAGTGAATCTCACATGATGGATCTTTTATAAATCCCCTCGAAGCCCCTGGAGGGTCGGAGATTCACTCATCTCTCCTCCTCACTCGCTCCCAAAAATCATCGCGCTGCCGCTTCCCCGGCCGCTTAGAGAGTACTGCTCGCCGAGTCACGTCAACATGTTCAGAAACATTCTCAACACCAACAACATGCCACGGCTATTACGGCGCAACCTCACCTGCTTTTACTGCGGCGGCAGGAGCCCGAATTCGCAGACAGGCCAGGTACGACAATGGCACTGCCAGAAATGCGACGCTGTCAATCATCTAGACGAGGTATGTCTTCTGCCCAGAACGCCTACCTACATACACTGCTAACATGTCGAAAGAATGGCCAAATCACCGATCCGCCTGCCTCCGAACCCCAAAACAACGTACAATACGCTCATGTCCCTCCTCGCTCGACATCCCCGGAGCTGGCCTCCGCTGACCGCGAGCTGTTCTGCAATACCTGTCAGAAGAATCAGTACCTTCTCACCGAATCCCTCGCCAACTATCTCCCCTCCCAAGAGGACCCGAACTACGCCAAATATGAGGCCGCAGCTACCCAATACAGGAAGAGCTTGGAAGATCGCTACCCCCAGGTATGCGAGAACTGTGTCCACAAGGTGCGCGACCGCATCAAGCTCGCGTCGTACGCTGCAAAGACAGACAATATGAGGCGCGCATTGCAGCAGACGAGGCAAAACGGCGTCTTCGACACGGCTTCTTGGGGCTGGAAGAATATCGTCGTGTTCGCAGGCGGCCAGGCCTACATCCTCAACCTTGTTCTCTGCCTCCTTTGGCATACCTTCGGAGCGCTATTGACTGCGGAACCTGAGGATGGAATGAGCCCCGTGGATACTCCTAGCTACCAGATGTGTTTCACCCAGGCAGCGACTCAATACGGCGTTGAACCAGCTTGTTTCTCATTAGTGCTGCCATTGGCCAAGTATGCCTTCATTCTAGCCATTTGCTCCGTCTGGTGGAACAGCGCGTTGCAGAACTGGGTGCGCCGATCAAGAGGACGAATGGTCGGCTTGGGTGATCATCTGAAACTTCAGTTGATCGTTCTCGCTGTCAGAGCTGCCAGTCTCTGGTACCTCCAAGAAGTCGGAGTCATGGCGATGGCACTGCATGTCTTCAAGGCCGGCCATACCTTTATGATCATATTCATTCTGCTCACGAGCATCATCTCCACTTGCATGGTCCGAATCGACAGGAAACCGAAATTCACTTTCAACGATTCTATCGACCATCTTCTGCCGACTGCACCTCAGAATCTCAACATGAACGGCGCATACACACACCCTGGATCTAGTCTTGATTCTATGGCATCGTCTCTTGGTTCCTCTTTTCCTATTAGTTCACTAGCGCCTCCTTCACCTCCCACATTTCAATACCCTGCTTCTCCCACCATTCCATCATCTGCGTCAGTCCGTTCTGAGACTGAGACTACTTGGACAACCGCCACCGAGAAGGAAAATCGCATGGACTGGACACCCACGCCTCCGTCTCCTTTCCGACCCCGGCGCCCGATGCAGCCAATTAGGCGAGTTGAGCCGGTTCAGCCACAACAGGAACAACCTGCTGTGCGATCTCCTTTCTACGGAGCCATTCCACCCGCGCCAAAGACGCACGCCCAGAAGGTCGCGAATCCCTGGCCTCAGCCTGTTTTCCAGCGGGCTTCGGCTACCTCTCAGAGCGACTTCTTTTCAAAGCTGAGATTGGAGACTGCGGGTGCTGGATCTGGAGGCCAGATCGGTAACGGGATGTTCACTCGTGCCCCTCGGGAGGAGTTCCAGCTTCGTGAAGCACAATTCCAGTTCAAAGAAGATCCGGTTGACACTGGTCTCGAGGCGATGTTTGGGACCGTCTTCTCAATCGGAGACGAACCTGCGGAAGTCCGGGCGGCACAGGCGCAAGGACGAGGTCACGGCAACGAAGATCCCACTAGATTCTGGCCCAAGCTTCTGCTTGGATGTCTACCCATCGGCATCTGCGCAGCTCTGGCAATTTGCTCGGGCAAGTACGACATTCCATGGACAAGCCTGAGCGCCATTATGAGATGAAGACTATCTGTACGCCGACGTTACCTTGTATAACGAATCTCCTTTGTTGGAGGGTCATTTGGTTTTGAAAGCATGGCGATTGAGTTTGCATTTACGGCACGGCAGGATACCCTCACATCGTATGGTGTTGGAATAGTGCTTTTTACAGCTTCGGGAAGCTGATCATTGTTCTAGAGAGCCTGTGCTCTGAGTTAACAAGATTGTATTAAATATCATAAACATCATGATTACTGTGCCTTGCCATATATCCTAGTGCACTTTCCTGCCACTGCTTGTGGTGCTTCAACGCATTTTCAAAAATATAAACGAGATAGAAGCTCTTGACTTTGGGCTATGTGGAAACTTGTTGAAGCACTTCAAGCAGTGGCAGACAGGTACACACGACTGCACGAGAGAATGCTTGCTTAGCCTCGCGAGCTTACTATAGTTGTCCAAAATGACGAACTTTTCTCTTGCTCGTAATGCTGAAAATATCATAAAGCTCCTCACGCAGCGGTAAACGAGTGTACTGATTTCTATGACGAAGCATTGTAGCGTTTTCCAAAATGAGAGCAATTCAATGGCCAAGCCAAGCGAACCTAGTTACAGCGTCAAGGCGCATCCGGTGAACTAGCGCAGATTTGAAGCCACAGGTGGAATAAGTAGGGTTAGAGCGGAGGAAGCCATTTTCTGGATATATTCTTACCCTTGTACCGAAGCTGGGCTAAACCTGCTAAAAGCTCGCTACCATGAAGCGTTATTTTCTAGATTATCCCTCTTTTGCGGCTGACTTTCGTGGCTTGATATCCGCGCTAATTCATCGGACGCGCCTTAACGCTGTACTTGCAGAACGCCCGTAACGCCACAGGAATGCTTGTCTGTAGGTAGTGCTTACATGCTATTCTACCATGCGCTCACCTACGAGCCAGACCCTCCCTCATATTATAATAAAGTCCTACCACAACATGCAATAGCGGCTTGCGATATCTTCTTCTTTTGGCCCACCTCTAATACTTAGGGAGGTAAGCTGCAGATCATCATTTGATCCCAAGGGCCACGGGATGAGCCGCCCATGGATACTCTCTGGCTCGCCACCAGAGCTGCCTACCGTGGTACGCCTTCTTAGAGAAGTTACTGCCCAAGACCCCACTGTCGCCCGCCCGGTGTCCCGCAAGTCCGAGGCAGCCGAAGGAGGTAGGCCTCATTACTCTGATTGGGCGGTGCCGCATTCCCCTTCACGAAGAGATCTGCGGCGTGCGGAGAGCAACAGCCCAAGGCGCGCTAGGCAGCGGAGCCTTACCCATTGCTGCCAGCTGTGCTACCATAGTAGACCAATTGACCAGTAGGAGAAGCGGGGCGAGGGAGGGATCTAACAGTGCACCCCCGGCCGACTTCGGTCCGGGTTTCTTTAAAGACGGCACGGTGCCTTGGAGCTGGGTCGTGACGCGAACCTACTGCTTTTTGAACACTGTGCTTTTCAGCCTTGCTGCCGGTTGGTGAACACTTCGTCTGTATTATCAATTGTAACAAGTGTACGAAATGTTTTTCCGGAGTAGTGAGAGTAGGTCCTCCTTTTTATATTACTTCTTGCGAGACTTATATCGCGGAGCGCTAAAATTACATGACAGAAGCAGAAAAGGTGCACGGCGCCGACTCGCCACCGCAGTATCCTTACGGCACCGATGAGACTGGCATCGAGTACGACGATGACCTCGGTGCTGTTTGCCCACCGCATACAACCGAGAGGCGGCTGGTCAACAAGATTGACTGGCATGTTCTTCCGTTCTTGTGCATCATGTATCTTTTGGCCTTTCTCGACAGGTGAGTCATTTTCCATTTGAGCTTTTTGGAGTAGCATATTGACACAAGAGACAGAGTGAATATATCGAATGTAGGCGCGTCTTGACCGTTTGAGTCTGCCCGTTGCTCACCAACTTCCCATAGGCAAACGTATTTGGTCTCTCTGAAGACTTGGGAATTGTCGAAGATAACAAATACAACAACGCCCTTGTCATCTTCTTTGTGCCCTACATTCTCTTCGAGATTCCGTCCAACATGCTTCTCAAGAAATTGAAGCCGCATATCTGGTGTAAGTCGAGCTTCGTGCCGTGGCCCCTCTGAGTCGTATTTAAGAATCATAGTATCGGCATGCATGTTTCTATTCGGTCTCACCACTGTATGTCAAGGCCTGGTCCAGAATTACTCCGGCCTGCTTGCAACTCGTGAGTAATGCGGAACCGCTTCTGATAGCCGCTCCTAATACGTAAACAGGATTCTTCCTGGGATTGTTCGAGACGGGCATGTTTCCAGGATGTAAGATGGCCTCCCATTTTAACTATCAGAGCAAGCAAATAACCGGGTTTAAGGTTTCTATCTGATCGGCATGTGGTATCGCCGGCACGAAGCCCAGCGTCGATACAGCTTCTTCTTCAGCAGCACAACTCTCGCAGGAGCATTCGGCGGACTTCTTGCTAGCGCCATTGGAAAGATGGATGGTATGCGAGGATATGGGGGCTGGAGATGGATCTTCATCCTTGAAGGCACCCTAACCTGCGTCGTTTCACTTTCTTTCTTCTTTTTAATTCCCAGTTTTCCCGAGGAAGCAAAATGGCTCCAATCCTCCGAGCGCGAATACATCGCCGCCCGTCTCCGTCTCGACCAAGGTCGCTCAGCTGTAGAACGCAAAATCACGTTCCAAGACGTCAAGAACGTCTTCAAAGACCCCAAGATCGTCGTTGGCGGCTTCATGTACTTGGGCCTCATCGTCCCCGCGTATGGCTACGCGTACTTCTCACCCGCCATCATCAACTCCTATGGCTACTCGCCCATTCAGACACAGCTGCATAGTGTACCTCCTTGGGCAGCAGCTTTCGCTTTCGCCATGATCATCGCGTATGCCAGCGATAAATCACGGCATCGATTCCTCTTCGCCATCTTCCCTATCTGCGTCTGCATCGCCGGCTTCGCGATCCTCCTCGCCGTGCACGACAACACGCATGTACAGTATGCAGCGCTCTTCCTCGTTGCCATGGGCGCGTACGCAGCGATGCCAGTCATCGTGTGCTTCTTCAACATGAATCTAGGCGGCCATCATCGGCGCGCTGTGGGCACCGCGTGGCAAGTTGGATTTGGAAACATCGGCGGTATCATTGCTGTTTATGCCTTCTTGAAGAAGGATGCGCCAAAGTATATTCCTGGGTATAGCATCAGTATCGCTTTTGTGTGTTTGAGCATGCTAGCCACAACACTGTACTTCCTCATGTGCTTGAGGCAGAATCGGAACAGGGATAAGGCTGGACGAGATCTTAGTCTTTCGGAGTCAGAGAAGACGGAGATGGGCGATATGAGTCCGGATTATCGATATATGTTGTAGGGAGGGCTACGAAGGAGCGGCGGGTACTTTTAAGAATGACAGGGTTGGAAATTGGTATATAGCAAACTACCATCAAGCATTGAATCCAGAGCTTACTTTGTAACTCCTGATTATGGCTTTAGGAACATGTAACGAATACGAGCTACTTAGATTCCCTAACTCGATGCCAGATCTGGCAAGTACTAGCGCCGATCTCTTCCGCGGGCGTGGCGGGCGTGGCGGGGTCTCACAGCTACCACAAAGCTTATCCACCGAGCTCAACCTCTACTCGGCCCCTCACCGGTTCTTCGAAATTCGCTTCGCGAATGCCCGTATCCGAAAAAGAGGGCCGGAATGCAGCACCTACACAGCTACACCACAGGGTTGATTTGACCACAACGCAACCCCAATACTGAAGCTTTTTCCTGTAGCTAAGCTTAGTTGTCTATCTTGGAGCTTCGTGTCAAACACTGGTAAAGGCCTATTGGAAAATTAGTTGAAGTGTGGGTCTGATTGTGTTGCGTTGCAGGTGCTTTTATTCCGGCCCCGAATTTCGGCTACGTAGAGTCAACTCCATCGCCAGTCTCTTTTCTCCCCTCGCCCTCCACAACCACCCTTCCATAATGGCATCCTCGCATCCAAACACCAATAATTCTCCACTAACAAAAACAACCTCGAACCGCCTCCCCGCCCCATCCCTCTTCGTTGGACCCCCCTCGCGCAATGCGTCGAATACTTCTCTTCTCCCAACAACCACCAACACAACGACCCCCCGCATCCCACTAATCCGCCAACGCTCCCTCCTCGACCCAAAACGACCCACACCCACCTCCAACCCGCACGATCCCACCGCCTCTTCCGCCAATGTCAACGCCAATGGCCCGGGGCCTTTCCAGCCTCCCTCCTCCATCCAAGACCCCACCGTCCCACCGACCCCGACAACCGGCGCCACCGCGCCCAGCAACCCCAACAATGCGGGCTTCTCGCGCCGCCAGCACGCGCAGGCGGCCGCCGCGGAAGCGCAGTCCGCCGAGCGCACCGACGCCATCTGGGCCGAGATGCAGAACACGCTCGAGGAAGTGGAGCTGAGCGCGGAAGGGCCGCACGGGGCCGACGGCGGCGTCTTCGGCGTGCGGCACGAGCGGGCGCTGGCCGGGCTCCGCGAAGCGCAGATCGCACTGGCGGAGGCGTGGGGCCGCAGCGAGGGGGAGGTGGAGGTGGAGGGGGAGAGCACGAAGGAGGAGGACGGGCGGCAGGCGGGCGAGGAGCAGGTGCTGGCGGATGTGAAGGGGCGGATGGCGCCGGCGGAGAGGGTTGGGGAGAGCGGGAAGAGCGCGCTGGAGGAGGAGACGATGAGGGATGTGGAGGCGAGTCGGCGGCGGCGGGAGGCGAATGAGCGGTATTTTCGGAGGGTGAATGCCGGGGTGTTGGAAGTGGTGGAGAAGTTGGAGGTTGTGGCAAGGATGATGAAGGGGGTAGAATTGGAGAGTAAGGAGATTTGGAGGGATACGGAGAGTGTGGAGACGGGGAGTACGGTTTCGTGAAGGCTGGATATCTTCTCATTACGGGAGCAGGAAACAGCATCATTATTTGGGTTCACAGGCTTTCTCGAAGGCGTCTAGGTGTCTGACCCAGGAGATAGCATTCGGAGTTGTCAGGAGATCAAGATACCCCTAGAGTGCTTCAATGCTCTAATGTACAATTCATTCTACGACACCAATTTTCGCAAGCTCCAGAAAAGCCTTCATCCCATAATGATTTCAGCCGTTGTCTATCGCTGCGTTGCGAACAGGCCCCTGATTCATTCTCTACTCCCTACGAGCAATCCCCATGCACAGCAGCTCGCTGAACTTCTCACCGCTACGTCAAATCACACAAAGCCCTACTAATGCACGTGACAATCGGTCTCCGACTAAGTATAAAAGATTCGTATTCTACCACCAATTTCAAGAACCAAAGGTGGGAGTAGAGTTTACAGCACAATCTGTTGAATTATGAAAATCACCTACAGCAATCAATGCTAGTAGCAAACAGGGCGCTTCCATGTACATAATGTCGCGTTCTATCAATGTTCAGATGCTACGGCCTGCAAACCAACACAATCAGCCAACAACCCCATATATGGGACTCTCAAACTAGCCGTCGAACGGGAGCATGGAGAGACGTGGCCGGCGGTCCAGCTTCAACACAACGAATATTCTCTCATTATGGAGAAGTTCAAAAACTGTATCTGCCTTCTCGTGGTGAAGGTTGTGCTCGTGGGAGCAAAAAGTCTGGGTGATTCGTTACATGGACTGGCGGCGGAGTGAGACTACTACCATCAGTGATGATGCTAAGCGTCACGAGTAGCCGATATACCTTCGTCGACAGGCAGTAAAGATGGGTATCATAGAAACACAGTGGTAATGGGCTCCGTCAAAGTGTAAGGACGATTCGGATAGCCAACATGGGTAGATGGAGATCAACACCGAACCTCAGGCTTCTTGCTCGACGATTCACGGCTGTGGCAGCCGGATTCTCAGGCCAAACCGGATTCTGATTCCCTTCAAGCGCAGGGAAATTCAAACGAGGGTCACTTTGCGGGTGAGCAGAGCTGACCGCTGCGCAGCGTCAACGCCCAGTACGGCGATCCCTCGAAGACTCTGCTTTTGTGCGTCCATAGCTTGATTATTTCCTCATTGTGCGGGTAACCCCAGACCGGTTTTCTGCTGTCTACTTTGTGGCCTGGATAGTAGCGTGTGTGTTGGCTTTTATCGTGACTTGTGCGCTGGTCCCGATGGTGGGTGGCGTGTAGAATGGCGGGGCATAGGCTGTGGCTTCAATAGCGAGGAGAAGGCTTGCTTCGATAGCTTGTATGCTGTCGATTCTATGGTCGGGCATCGGAGGTACAGGTAGGATGGATACGGCGAAGGCATAGCGGGCGAGCCAGGCGGCGTTGCTTGAGGAGGATCAGGCGGAGGTAGGGTTCGCTGAGGACATGGCACCTCCGGCATCTGAAGCCAAAGAGCGTGTACGGTGGGCTTTTGGAAATCTGCATAAGGAGCGTTGAATCAAGCTGCTCTGAGGTTTGGCTCCGGGCCTGTCCGGTGGGGTGAGGGAATGGGCTACATCGCCCGCGGAAGCTCAGGTGCAGCGACATAACGAAGACGCCGGTGAACGAAGCATGGCCGGAGCAAGGAATTCACCTTGAGATGAAATGAATGGGCCCTCAGGCTCGTCGCTCCCAGTCGCGGGAGTTTCTAGTGAGGCGGAGGCGTTGAGACGGTAGCAACACCAGTCCTCATCGGAGGCTATCGTGAGTTGCTAAGATTGCTCGTCAGCGGAATTCACAAACGATGAAGGGCTTCATGAGGTACTCTAGCTATGCCCCGCCGACAGACGTTGACCCAGGCCATCGCACAAAGCAGTCATGGGTGTCAAAATTGCGTCCACTCTGCCCGCCAGCCCACGATCGCAGCCAGCACCAACACCACGACTCCAAGTCGATTGCAGGAGTTGCAGAGATGCAGTTTCTTCTTCGAAGTCCCAGACCAGCTGAGAAGTTCAATGAAAAAAGTTCGCGTCGGCCCGAGGCAGTGCAATACGAGCGACACTGTGCTCCTGGACATAGGCAAGCCCAGCGGCCCAGGAGCGGTTTCCAAAGACTGGATTAATCTTGAGAGATCCCGTAGGATCGTTTCAGAGATTAAACTGAAAAGAACAGATACTACACTTGATCTAAGCCAAAAGGCACTAGAAGAAAAACGTTAGCAAAAGCGTCTAAATTTTGGGGTGATTTGAAAACATACAAGAGAGCTGATTTCCAAGTGTGGGCGAGGACGGGGTCTTGTAGTAGAAAATCCAGCAGAGTCTTGGCGCTTACTCATCAACGCTAGCACTTTTAATCGACTCCTCTGGGACATTTTAATCGACTCTCGCACGCCTGGGCCGTCAGGCCTCACCGCTAGGTTCTGCCTAGGCCACCAGGCCACGCTCCTCGGACAAAACTTGGCAGTTTGCGCCTGGAGTTCTATTCTGGAACTTCACAGGCCGGTGTCAGTTGCCTAGCACCATTTGAGGTCCCTTCGCACGTTAGTGAGGACTGGAAAACAATAAGTTTGACAAGCCTGATAGCTCTCCGGGCCACCTCAGGTTAGACTGCCAATTTGTGCTCTACAAAGCCTCACCACACTTCCTTCAAATACCTTTCCAGCAACTCTTCCTGTACGCAATCGATAGGAGCTATACATGACATGACAACTTACACTTCTCTTCTAGTGCCTTTCGGCTTAGGTCAAGTGTAGCGTTAGTGCTCTCCTCTCCTCGTTCAAAACGACATTCTTGACGAGGCAAAATCCACAATTGCTTCTTCTTCTCACACTTGTTTGACGCTGTTGGGGTCCTTCCACAGAATTCAGAATATTCAGCATATCTCACAGTCACCGACCTGTGGAATCAATCAACACACCAAGATATCAGGATGAAGCCGCTACTGGACCTTCCGCCCGAGCTCCTCGATTGGATAGTTTCCTCGCTCGACCCGCTCCAGGACAGACGAGCCCTCTACAACCTCTGCCTTACCTCCTAAACCCTCCGTCTAATAGCCTAGCCTGTAATGTTCTCCGTCTTCGCCTACGTCGGCGAGCGGCCGGAGAAACGTCACAAGGGTGAGACAATAGGCTCTGCGCCCGAGTTGCCACTGTTTCAATTCGCGCGCACTCTTATTCTTCGTCCAGACCTGGCGCTCAAAGTCAAGACTTTGGACACCAGCACCTTCTACTACGACGAGATCGATTACAGTGACGAAGTAACCGACGAGGATCTCGACATCTTGACCCAAGCTGTCGTTCAGCTTGGAATGCCCGACGCGGAAACCTGGCAAGAATCTCCAATGAATTTCGAACGAACTGCCGGCATCGCACTCCTGAATTGTCTCCTCCCTAACGTGCAAGCCTTCCACTTTACCATCACCGAAGAGTCGCTTTCGTATCTGGAGTCATGGGCCAGCTTTGCAAGCAATCAGAGAGCTCCTCGTCCTGCCCCTTTTTCTTCCCTGAAGAGCCTCCATATCACTGGATTTTTCGACGTTTTCGACAATCTCAACGGATTCCACCTGAACCAGATCGGCCCAATCCTCTCCTTACCTACACTAGAGATCTTTGCAGTAGAAAACTGCTTTTGGGACTTTGACTTTGACAGCGGTACTGTCGATACCTTTCAATGCCCAGCCGGATCACTGAAAATCTCTACTATAGCTTTGACGACGGGCGTCGTCAGCACAGCATGTATGAAGACATTGGTCGCGGGGTGTCGGTCGCTGGAAAAGTTCGAAGAAACTCGAAGCATGCAGGACCTCGAATATTTCGGATATGACGTAACATCGTGCGGCGTGAATGGCATATGCTCTGCGCTTCATTCCCATGCCGCCTCGCTCCGGGAGGTCCGACTGAGCATATGCGAAACTGGGGAATATATTCTGGATCTGGAGTCATGCCAGCGCCTAAAGACACTGGGCCTCTGGGTAATTAGAGATGTAGCTGTAAGCGACCAGCGATTACCCTCATCACTCGAATAGCTATGGCTCAGGGGAAATTGCCGTCAAGTGGAAGTCATGATAATAAAACTTGACATTCGATCGCAGAAGAGGATGACTCCTTCATTCGCCTCAATCGTAGTCGACACCGCGGAATTTCGTAGTCCAATCTCGGATTACTCTTCCGATTCGGCTCCCCCCACTGAAGAAGAAACACTGAAGCTATACTACACGTGGAAGGAAGACTGGTTGAACGGAACGGATATAGAGCTCGTCTTCCTCAACAACTCACTTTTTCCGGATTTTGACAACTCGTACGTTCCGTCACCTGAAGGCCTCAAGGTACTTCAAAAGATACAGGACGAAGGTGTGACCGTAACACCAACCCCGAACGAGGGCATGAACGCATCCTAGACACTCGCCGACCCGTGCAACAAAACCGCCACACTTGACACGCCTCGAGGCAGCAGCCACGAAGTATTCGCAAGTCCTAGTCACGGCCCTGCATACCCCCTCCGCCAAACCCCCCCTCTACTTCTCTCGTCTCACCCGCCACCCAAACTCTACACAGTAAATCTTGCATCACAGACCCATTCATTAATCGCTCTTACTCAGCCACACCCCTCCCCATATCTACATACGTAGCTGTCTTTCAGCTCAGCCCGCCCACACACTGCAGCCCCCCCTTCAGCTCGCCTACTCCTTCCCCCTCGGAGCGGTTCACGAGAGCTGCCCTAGTAAGCTTGGCTGGTGGCCTTATCTGACAAGGGAATTTGGGGGCGAGATGTAGGGGGGGTGGTGAGCTGGCCGTTTTGGGGGCTATTTGGGGTCTATTTCTAGAAGCATGCGAAACAAGCGCGGTGCGTGGCGGGGTGGGAGGAGGAGGAGGGGATTGGTAGGGCATTGTATGCGGGTGAGGTGGCGATGAAGAGGGGGAGTCTTGCTGGTGTGGTGTGGAGCTGGGGTCTGGGTGGGGTGTCTTGAACGACGACGGAAGAGGAGCAGGGTCATTGGGGTTGCTGGTGGCTGGAGGCGCGTGCACGGGTGAGGTGGCGGCGAGATTGTGGATTCGGGTTAACTCTTGATGTAGGAGGCATCATGCGGTTTGACTACTTCACGTCGTTCGACACATTCTAGGCAATCTATACGAAAATAGAAGTTGACTACCGTTCGATAACTTGATCATTCGGTGACCTCGTAAGAGCGCATCTACATGATACTAGTAGATGATATCGTCTGAGGTCGCGTGGCGAGCTCACAGGGTGTCCAAAACGGTTCGGTTTCACCTTGTTCAGGTTCATGAAAATGGGTCGAGGGACTTTAGACGGTGGCACCCAAGTGTACGCTGACTCGTGTATTAGTAAGGCAGATACTGAAGTCGAATGAGAAACTAAAATAGCTCGTCTATTCATCTAATGAATCTCGTTTATTCCTAAGCCCCGTGCCCAGAAATTAAACAAGAAAACGCCTGGGTAGTATCCTTATCACACACACACACACACACCAAGACAAATCTCTCCATAGCCGTAACTGGGGATTCTTAAGAAGTCCCGTCATCAACCGTAAGCCTGGCCTGCGCAAGGCATCTAACCCCAGTGCTAGAAAAAACGCAGTGTTGGAGAAAAGTGGTATCCAGGCAAAGTGAAAATCAAAAACAAATGAGTGCCAGAAGCAAGAAACGAAAGTCATGAAAATTCATACAAGCCTAAAACGTAAAATGCGCCTTAAACAAGCGCAATGCTCGAAGGTGAAGAGATATAAAAAAATTGGAGTTAATAGAAGGTTCCGCAACGCGAAGAAAAAGTCAATGATGACAGTCGATTCGATCAAAGTGTCCAACGACTCCTCCGGCCAGTGTGACCATAAACCACAATGGAGGGAGAACCGCGAGTATGTCGGATTTATTGTCGTCCCCAACACGGGCTAGCGTCTTATAAGACGTCTGTATTGGAGCGTATGGGAACGAGTGGTGGTGCATGTGGACAGGCATGCGCTACCTGTTACCTTCATAGTCACTTGCCCATCCACCTGCTGTGTACACGCCCGATGGATTGGGTTGCCCGTAGCTCTCGTCTTCCTCTTCGTAGTACTCGCCGCCGCTGCTGGCGTCGAAGCTGCTCCGGCCGCTGATCTCGCCTTCGATGTCGTCAGGGCCGCCTGCTGGGAGCTGGTCCCATTGGATTCCGGCGAGTGCCGGGTACTGTGCAAGCAAAGCTGCCGGTAGGCCGTATTGCTGAGGAGCAGGTAGACCAGATTGGTCCATTCCACCAGATGCTGAGGGGTAGCCCTGGTAGCCCTGTTGTTGCGGAGGCACCATGCCGTAACCCGAAGGTTGCATGTTGTTCCCAAACGCGTTGCCGTTGTCCATCGCTTGCTGGCTCTGCGGGTCCCAGGATCCGCCCTTTTCTTGCGCCTCTTCTTCTAGTAGAGGCCGTATGCAGACGCGACCAGCCTCAGAGCGGAAATGACGTCCAAGGGCGTCGGCACGAGCAAACCGCCTTCCGCAGCCCCAGCTTCCATTATCCTTTAGCACACCACGACACACAAACTTCTTCTCTCCCGAATGAAGCCCTTCGTGACGTTTTCGATCGTGCTGGCGAGCAAATGCTTTACCACAGACGCTGCAGACGAAAGGACGCTCATCGGTGTGGGTGCGGAGGTGGGATCGAAGATTGTACGCACGAGTAAATCGTTTCGGGCACAAGTTGCACTGGAAGGTTGCTGGATGTTTTTGGGTGCGCTTCGCATTGGATCCGGGGCCTTCAGCGGGTCCTCCCGCTGAGGTCGGCCTCGAAGGATCCGCCAAGTCCAAGATGTAATCCCGGTGAGGAATGCTAGATGTTGAGGATCGGCGAGAGGACTTTGTAGACGGTGAAGGAGAGCGCGATGATGACACCTTGGCGGCAGCAGGAGAAAGCGATCGGCTGGGATCTGAGTGCCCGCTCGCTGGTGTGGAGGCGCGAGTGCTTGCGCCACTGAAAGGGTCCGACTTGGCACGCATACGATTGCGGCTTCGTGCTAAACACAGCTGTTAGATATGGTTGATACAGAAAGCTCGAGTCTACTTACATCGATCCGGCGGGCTGAGCGCATCGGCCTGCGTTTCCGGTCTCGCAGGTTCGAAGCTCGCTTGCCGCGAAGGAGGCGCAAAGTCAATATTGATCTCCGGGGGAGACATGGTATCAGCTTGGCCAAAATCTCCGCCCTGGTTTATTGTAGGGAATGGCTCGTGGCCTTGTCCCTGGTACATTTCCAGTCCTTGCTGTCCACCGTACTGGTTGTTCATGGCCTGGAGACCATAGCCGTTGCTTGAGGTAAAGGGAGGTAGCGATTGTTGCTGCGGCATGAGACGAGGCGAGATGTGTGGGCTGTGGCCGGGGCTGATATGCGACTGGTTTTCGGAGAGAGTGAACTGTCCAAACTGCATCACCTCTTGGAACATGGCGGGGTCTTGCTGGGCGGCCAGCAGCGGTGATGGGTTGTCGTTCGGCTCGAAGTCGCTGTTGCCAAGGTACGGCGAGGGCTGTGCGGAGGACGAGACATCAGAGTATGTATCCGACGGTGCCCTCCGGTGGCCGTGGAAGCCCATGCCACCCCACTCCGGGCCCTGAGGTTGTCCGTATGCTGCGCTAGGGTCTAGTGACGCATGCCGGGAGTGGTTCGGCGAGGGGAATGCGCCTTGGTTCATGTTCGGGGAGGCATGCGGGCTGCCGTTCGGGCGGTTCATGTTGGGCTGGAGGAGATGGGGAGGAGTCGGAGAGTGCGCCTGCGTGGTCGCCATCTGGTTCATGAGGTTGGAGGGGTCTACCGAGTGGTCCTGCGGCTTCGCGTCGAGCAGATGCGGATCCAAGGTCCCGAGAAAGGAGGGATCGATCGACTGCTCTTGATTGATGTTGTTGCCTTGGTAGAACTGGCTGAACTCGTCGTTGTTGCCACCTTGGTTGTTGATATCAAGGAGCTCAGGCGCAAAAAGGCTGCCTTGCGGCCCGAATTGCGGACTGGGCGAGTGCTGGTGGGAGAGGCTGCCCTGAGCCTGAAGGAAAGACTGGTCGGCGGCGCTGTGCTGGGGGAACTGCTGGCTCTGGCTGGCGGCCAGGTACTGCGATGAACTGTCGAAGTTCTGGCCGGAGAGGTTGTTGTTGTTGTAGGGGTTGTTGGCGTATGGGTCAGGCGAGAGCGATTGATCGAGGCCCAATCCAGATACGGTAGTGTGGTAAGGCGCGTGAGGGGACGGGGAGGGCGAGTGTCTTATATTCTGATGCTGGCCTTGCGAGGGCGACCTGCCCCGCTGGTGGGGATCCATCGTGCTCGAGTCGTGTTGCTTTTCTTGGAGACAGGACGGGCCGCTTTGACCATGGATCGCCGCTTAGAGGCGACGCGGAGGCACTGGGCTGGGCAGACGTGAGCGCTGGGCGGGGTCGGGGTGCGGTGAGTGGTGAGCGGACAGTCGAGCCGGGCTGTGAGGCTCGTGAGGTCACGATAGAGGAGGATCAGGACGGTGGTGGAGGGGCTGTGCTTGCGCCGTCGGCAAGAGGGTTGAGGTAGGGCCGTGCTGGGGCGCTGGCTGGGCGTGTGCCGCAAATAGACTGCGATGCGCGCGGGGAGGTCGGCACCAACTCCTGCGCTCCAAATCGTGAGAGCTGTTTCAGCGCGTCCGCATGAAACAGAGGGCCGCTGCGGGCTGCGGCGGTGCGCGGCGAGCTCGAGCAGGCGTCAGGACCGCGCAGGAGAAGGCAGATCTGGCGGCGTGCTGGTGGCCGAAACGTCGTCTGTCGGAGCAGGAGCGCGACTATCACGGCCGCACAAGAGGTCGCGGGCGGCGTGGATGCGGTGGGAGACGTTGTCGAGGCGTCGGTGTGCTGCGGATGGGAAGGTGGTGGATGACAATGAGCACAAACTCGTGCGGATGCTCTAGAGACAGGTACAGGCAGGTCTAAGCCTCGCGCGAGGTACAGAGACCTTTAAGCAGTTCACGCAGCTGTACGGTCGCCGGAAGATTAAGGTATGCGCAAGGCCTTAGCGACCGCCCTCGACTGGGCGTTTAGGCAGGGCATGGGCGGCGAGTGTGATGCTCCAGCAGTGCGGCCAAGCACGTAAAGCCGTCAGCGCCAGCACCACGGCATCACGGCGCTGCAAATCAGAGCCGCGCGCCGGCCGACTGTCTCGAAGAATCTATTTTCACCGCATCAACAGCTCTCCGTGTCGAATCACGACGAGCGGTGGTGCGAATTGAGCAATCCGTCGTCGTCGGACGACGCCAAACGCCTGCGCCTGCGCCAGAGAGCACTGCCACACCTCAAGGCTGACCCGGGAGACCCTACACTCCACGAGGCAGACTTCCCAGGGCCCGTCTCCACGTCCAGCGCACCGCTTCCGCCCTGCGTTCCTGGTTCGCGGGACTGTCACTTCGTCCGTTGCGTCTCCCGAGTCGAGCCACAGTTAATAATAGCACCATGTGCCTGTCTGTGGCTCCACCGCGATCCTCCCGCCTGCTAGCGGGGAGTTCGTGTGGGATGTATGGACCTGTTAATCTATCTGTAAATGTGCGAGCTTGCAGCGCGCATTTGCAGACGAAGCCGTCAGAGGTAGCCCGACGGGCTTATAGACTATTCGAAATGCTGAGCTTCCATCCTATTCTGATTCCTCCAAGTGTATTGGCATTCCACCCAACGGTAGGTAAGTGTACACAGACGAATGAGAAATAATGGTGAGGTAATTGTCCGTCAACCGTTCTGGCCTAAAGAAACGTAGGAAATCCAGCTGGCGCCGCCTGAGGTAGCCTAGTAAGGTTAGTTAACAGTTGTGCAAAGTAGTTGGTTTCTCTCTCGTCCAGATTCGATAAAGGGCTTCCGACGGGTGAGCGTATATAGCCGCCGGGCCCGCCTGTAAGTCTTCCTTTCTGCCGCTGCTGTGAGCTTCCAAACAAATTCTGAGAAATCTGTTAACATCATCCAACGGATTGAGCTTGGACCATCAAATTCCATGACAGACGCCGCTGTCTGAGATGGCTTAGCGAGTTGACCGAGCGTATAAACTAGTAGAATCTGATCTTGTTCAGATTTCTGAAAGTGGTTCGAGGTACTTCAGACAGCGACGGCCAAGTGCACAGATCTCTGAAGATTCATTATATTAGTCTAATCCTGCGTCCAGCCCACGGCTTCGACGAGTGTTGGTTTTGAAATCGAATGTATGCCTGTATCGTATTTGAGTCAGTATCTAGGGGCATTTCATACAGCGGCGTACAATTATACAAGAGCAGCGGATGGTCAGGTACCTTCGCATTTGTACAAATATGCAATTCTCAGATTTGCCGCTCGTCTGGCCGCCTGACTAACATTTCCACTTATCCAAACTTTAAACCCTTTGCCGCATCCCACCGCCCATCTTGAGGAGGTCCTGCAGTAGGTCGCGATCCTGCTGGCGCAGCCGGTGCTCCTCCAAACCTGATACCAACCTCAGGCGTCCACATGCCAGTAGTAGGGCCGACGGCTCTGGTAGGCGTTGGGGCTGCTAACGGCTCTCCAGCGTGAACATTAGCGCCATACTGTGGATTCTGGCTTTCCGCATGCCGCTGTTGCTGTAACGAGTTCGTTTGGAGGTTCATAGACGACATAGCCGTTGCAATGTCACTAATATGATGTTAGAACCGCGACAATAAGGACTTGATGCTCACTTACTTCTCGAGTTGTGAAGCCTCCGCCTTCCTCTGGTACGCGAACGTCCGGCAATCGTCCCTGAACCTACTCACGATCTTGGCAAGGTCGTTGTAGAATTTCCTCCCAACATCGAGATTCGAGATGATCTCCTTGTACTTGAAAAACGAATTCTCCAAGCTCTGCAAAGCCTGTTCTCGCTGCTTCGTCGACTGATCGCCCTTCCGAGCTGTCACAAAAGCTGCGTTCGCCTCCTGAATCCGCTTGATGGCGTCTTGTTGCTCTCGCTGCTCGTCCTGAACCATCTCTTTATCCACGTTGTACATTTGCAGGCGCTTATCAAACAAGTCCTCAAACTGTACAGCCTCAATGCTCTGCATGGGGTATTCCTGCTCTAAGCGAGTGGTTTCGCGTTGTAAATCTGGATCTTGAAACTCGTTAGTTTTTGATGGGGTGAATGAGCATGATATACTCACTGATTTCATCCTGCTTTGCTTTCATTTTGAGAGCTTCGACCTTCCGTCTCCTCCTACTTTCCAGGCGGCTGAGCTCATTCAGGCAGCCCCTGAGCTTTCCAGCCTCCCGGTCCACGACTGTGTTAATCATAGGTTTTCGCCCACTAGGAACAAAATTCTCAAGGTCTCGATCCGGGCCGCTTAACAGTTGGATGTTACGCTCGTTTTCTCTTAGCTTCGTCTTGACAATGTTGTCGCTGTTTACGGCGGCCTTAAAATAGCCATCAATCTCGCCAATCTGAGCATACAGCTTTGGTGCAGCTGCTTCTGCAGTTAGCCGGTTCCAGCGATCAGTCCCGTACTTCCGCCGGACAGCGTCGTCTTCCGCAGCCTCCGTCCTCAGAATTTCGCAGCCTTCGTGATATATTGCCTGGTCGCTCTTCTTCAACTTCTTCGTGTCCTCTACAGAGCAATGGAGGCGATTTAGACCATCATGTTGTCTAATTTCTTCAGCGTGTGCAATGAGGCCTGGAGGAAGCCCTAGCGGCTTTTCAAGGGCTTGCAACGACCCAGGTAAGTTTAAGCTGTTCAAAACTCTAGAAGGCTCGTTAATTTCCTGCCATGGCAGAATGGTTGGGTAGTGTGAATGGATCTTACTCGTGAATCTTGTTTGTTAGACCCTCCAATTCGTTGATTATGGTATTATTGATGAGTCGATCTCTCCGCTCCTCGTAGATGCTAGCTGCCAAGTGAACTGAGTAGGGAACCAACTTGGAAAACAATGGACGACCCAAGGGACGGTTGTCTCCGAGCATAGAATTTGACTCGGAGATTTCCTTTGGCACTTTGGCGGACACCATGTTGGCGCGATCCAGGGTTTTTAACTCCGATTTTGGCGGCACAGGAACTAAATACCGCATGCGTTAGTCCTCCATAGGAATGTATTGAATAGGGGCAGACGTGTATACTCAAATAGATCATGTCATTGTCCTTTTCAGCCCGCTTCAAATCTTCGGTAACGCGATTCTTCAAGCCGTTCAAATCCGCCAATACGGCCTTGTTGATGTAGCGTTGTTCTTTCAAAGCCTCATTTACACACAACAGACTGTCCCGTAATCTCGCGACCTCTTCTCCGTACTTCCGCTTTTCTAGGCAATCGCAAGCAGCTCGATATTGCGCCGCCGCAGCGAAGTGGTGATGCTTGGCCGTCATGTGGTGTATCCACTCGCTACTTATTGCGTCCGATCCGATTCCAAAGTCCCCTGCTTCCGAATATAGATCCGATACCCTTGCGGCTAGTTTCGAAATAGAAGCATCCTTCAGGCCGTCCTTGACAGCCTTTTGCCAGAAGCATTCCTGAGCCTGTGCCAACAGTAGCTTTTCAATACTCTCTAGCGTCATTGTGTCCATATCATCGGGTGGTGGGGCCCGCATTTCGGGGATTGTGTCAGTTCGAAGGTAGGAGAGGACTCCGGCACCTAGGCAGAAATTGTTGGCAGCGGTCCTCAGGCCATCTGACGTGCTTCGATTGGATGCCATGGCGAGCTGAGAGTACAACGCAGCAAGGTTGTAGATGATGTTTGCCAACTCGAACCGGATATTGTTCTGGGATACTGTCCTTATATCAGCCTTGTCCGAGTAGTTGTGTGAGTGGCATTACTTGGGCGATTCGTGTTATATCCTAACGCCGGATACCACGAGAAGTCAACTCCTATCTATACCCACTTCTGTTAGTTGAATTGTACGTGAATAGAGAGCGATATCGGGGCATGTCTTACATCTATTGGGAATTTCCCTCCTATATAGACAATTTGGGCAGCGTATGTTTGGAGCTTTGGAATGTTGCTGGGATGGGCATCTTGCGCGTGTGCTGCTGTAGAGCGTAATTTATCGATCGCCTCCAAATCCTGCGTGAACATATCCGGGTGCTGGTCATATTTGGTCGAGATGTACTGCTTGATGGCTTCGGAGAGAGAAACAGTATGGGTCCGTCGAAACGGGAGGAAGAGGATGTTGCTGTAGCCTATTAGTAAAGAGCGCGCAGGATAGTGAAAGCAAACATACGAGGCCATATTCAACGAGCTCAAGTGTTGCGATGAGAAAATCTCTGGTGTTGTTTACTGCGGGCGTCAAAAAGCGACGCGGGGCTGGCAGTGACGTTAGTTGGCCTCGAGCCACAGGACAGGGTTGGTGAAAGTGGCGCAATGCTTCCAAGGTTGGTTACGACCTGAGGGCCAAATAGTGAATTCCATACACTTTGGTAGGAATATCCGGTGCCTCTCCGGATGAATGCTCGATTCGGACACGCCCATGTTGATTGCGATGCCAAACACACGTGAGGCCAACGCGAAACTGCAGTGAAGCTAGGTCCGGACGCCTTGCGTGCTCAGGCTCACGCATTTTGTCAGCTCCTGCGACAAAGCAGCGGCGGCAATAGTAATCGACGGAACTCAAAGTAGCACCGCAACGACCCTGCCCGAAACTGCCTCAAAGCCCCTTGCCCTGACCGCTCACCATCTACTTAAACCTCGACAGTCGCCTCCATCCTCTAGCAAAGACCCAAGCCAAGAAGTCAGATTCCCAACCCCACCTCGGATACCAACCCTTCTTTCCAAGCCAGCCCAACCTCTCCACCAAACCGCCACTATGTCCGCAGAACACAACTACAAGTTCGATGTCAAGATGACCTGCGGTGGCTGCTCCGGCGCCGTAACGCGAGTCTTGTCGAAGCTCGATGGTGAGTTGCTGCCAGTCAACCGTGGCGTAACGCCACCTTCCCATCTGCATCGGCTTTCCAAAGGATACAGTAAGACTGACTGCGTGTGCCAGGTGTCAAATCCTTTGATGTCTCCCTCGAGAAGCAGACCGCCGAGGTCGTTGCTGAAGAATCCCTCGACTACAATACCGTCCTCGAGAAGATCAAGAAGACCGGCAAGGAAGTTAGGTCTGGGGAGGCGGATGGAAAGACGATGGAGGTTTAAGAAGTGGAATAGGGCTTGCGTTATACCAGGAGTTTTGCGGCATTGCGGTGGGATGGATGTCGGCACGTATGTCTATCAGTTTGAGTAGAAGCATGGCTTTTACTGTGCTTCAATCCATGCCAACATTGAACTCGGTTCTTTTGCTAGCCATGAAAGTTGTTTTACGTCCACATCACGCCTACGATAGGAAACTCCCTGTGATGAGATATGAGCTCTTTCAGAGCTGTTTGTTGCTAACTACTATGCCTGAAGGTGGAGCTTCTAGTCTGAAACACGTGTGACTCGATAGACCCAGGAACACATGCTTGTCGCTCTTTGAAGTGCTTCAATCCACTTTCAAGGATCTGGATGGTTCATGCAGGAACCGTCTTGAAGAATGTAGATTCGTTGGGCCACCTCAGACGGTGCCGGGTGAGGCTGTACAAACTCTCAGGTCTTTACGATTCACTGCGGCACTGATGATAATCAACAAACTTTGCACGAGCATTGAAGCAAGTTTCTAGCTTTTCTCGAACTTCAGAGCACAGTGAATTGACAACATACCATAAATAGCCCATAGAAGCATTCCGTCACGGGCACCTCAGACCAACCGATATTCGCCGAAACCATTGACTCACCAACCCCATGACCACTCCTAGACCCCCAAAGAGATCCTTATTTCAACCCCCATGAGGGTCGCGTCCCTGGGCCACGGCAAGCGGCAAATGGCTTATCAGATGGAGTCATCCACGTCAAAGCTGTCTGCAGGGTTTCGCGTTCACTGAGCGCGAATGCCTCTCAAGCCACTCGACACGCAGAGAATACTGCTGCCTGAAGGCAGCCTCTCCAACGCGCGTACCCCAAGTACTGGCAACTTCGCAACTCTACCTCGAATAGCGATTTCAGCATACGCGCGACAGCTTACGAGTGGCTTTCGATGATGTGATGACGGCTTCGACGTGGCTGGTGAGGCTAGTTCGGCATCCCCGGTGCCTGTCAGGCTCAAACCAGCTCCACGAACCGCTCCGCTGCTACCACTCCTTCGGTTTTTGACTCGTATTCCGACGGAGAAGATAGATCCGCACGCGACGCTGTGGTAGCCCATTGTGCTTGTCAATCACTGTCCTCATGACGCGTAACTCAAGACGGACGAAAAGGGTAGGTCTGTTCCATGCTTTGCTCGGGCCCGGATGTCGATGGCCTTCGTGGTCTATATAAGTGATGACACGGTTGGCTCGTATTGAGGATATAGAAATGATACGAACTTCATCCTACCGAAGTCCCCTAATTCCAAGATCACATTCTCAATCAGTCCTTCCTTTGATATATATTTATTGCTAGTTTCCATTGAGTCCTCCGAATGGTCAATGTCTCCTACTCCAGGCACTCCATACACACATCTCCCCTCTCAGGCGGATCTCTTCTATCTTTGCACCACTTTCTCTCAATCCGACGATGCGCTGACCTTCGACGTGCCTCCACCATCAAACCCTTCTCTACGGCTGGGGGTTCTCCTTCTCGGCAGCGACGACATTCCGGCTTTGGACCTTGCATGTATAGACGTATTATCAACCCTCACGAAGAGACGACTCGAAGCACTAAGTGCACCGGGCCATATATTGGAGCTAGGAATTGATTTGGACATATGTTTCTTGAGCGAAGATGGTAGTGAAACGTTTACGTTGACCAACGGAATCCAGGTTACTGCAACAGTGAGTTGATTTAACCAATAACGCTGGCATCGTAGTCTCTCTACATACAAGCATCAATCCTACAGCAACTCTTTAGGAAGCGTTGGAGGGACAGATGCGCGGGTTGAGTCCAGTCCGGTTCCACAAGACTCGAGGGTGGCAAGGGGGTCTTTGAAACTGCCAGGGCTCCAATTCGAAGGTGTGCGACTACGATAGCCTTTCTGAGCCTCCGATCCTATATCACTGCAGAATCTGACCTAGATGGGTAGGAATCTCTAGACACCTGTCAGCAACTTGATATTCTCATGGTCCCGAGCGTTAGTCCCTACTTCACACCCTCTTCCTCGACAGCCATATCTTTAGACTCTTGCATTTCTGACCCTACGACGACGATCATGACCCTTTCCACCGGAATAATACCTCTACTTAACTCTTCCCCCACATTCATACACTCGCGAATCGCCGCCACATCTCCTTCCCGCCTCCTATCTCTCCGCCAGCACTTCCCGGAAACCCAATGGGAAGAGAGGCGGTGGGCCAACGATGGGCGACTGTGGAGCTGCAGCGGCGGCATGGCGGGGCCGCAAATGGTGGCAGTGTGGATGAGAGAGTACTTCTGGGATCGAGCAGATGCGGTGGAGTGGGTGTTGCAAGAGACGGGACTGCTAGGCGGAGGAAGAAGATAGGTGGGTTGAACTGCCAGGTGGTATGCGGTAACGAGGTTATGAGCCTTTGTATTTGTATTTGTACTTTGTATTATAGTGTACTATACCCCACTCTGGCACTTGGACGGGCCATGAGGCGTGGATGAGGGCTACGGCCCGGATGGGTTTGGAATTAGAAGGGATGGGAAGGGAATGTACTCAGCTGTAAATAACGGCATCACATTACTCCGATACAAGCTTGTGGAGAGTGTAAATTTCCTCATGCTGAACTGACATATCGTATTGTAGGATACGAAATGGCAATATGTGTACGCCATCTTACCACCGTCAGGGGTGCTTCAACACACTTGCAATACTTTGAACAGAAAGAAGTCTGTCATTATAAACGATGTGTAAACTGGCCAGGCGGCCTCAGACAGCGATAGAGGTGTACTGTACTTAGAGTTAGAATTGGAACCGAACTATTTCTAGCTTCCAATGAGTAAAGAGACCACTCTACGAACGAGAAACTTCCTCATTGATACTGGCCTTCTGCTTATCACGAGATTGTTATGCAAAGGAAGAATATGAGACAAAGTCGTGACTTGATAATCACAGCCTCGGATACGACTCTCGCACGAGCTATGATGGAAGACTTCTGGGTCTTCGGTAACGATGTGACGACTCCTGATAGGCTTGTAGAACGTCATGCGGAGGCACAGAGGTGTGGAGGCAAAGACCGTACAGCTCAGCTGACCTCGGACAAACGCCAAGCCGACCCGACCCGGTCAAAACGCCTAAGCCACACAAACCTCACCCGACCTGCCCCATCTAATTCATTACTAATTCATTGAAAATGTCATTCACAAACGAAGTAAGTCCTCTATTAGGCGTCAGAAAAGCTGTAGCTAATTGATTAGGACGCGTACAAAGAGTACGCTGCCCTGGAGGAGCGTCCTACCAATGTAGAGCCCTGGACCAAGAATGTAAGTTGAGAAGTGAAATAGAATGGATAATGTATTGCTAATGCATTGGTAATACATTAGAAAGACGGCGAGATCGAAATTGCTCCTGGAGAACTCTTCTGCCGCTTTAACATGGCTGAGAACGACTTCGATGAGGTTGAGCTCTGCCCGCGCAATGTAAGTTTGAATGATAATTGTTTCTAATACATTGCTAATCCATTATCAACGCATTAGACACGATACTCCCACAACGGCAACCTGCGCGCTCACGTCAAGATCCACAAGGTGAAGGTGGCTAGGGTTCGTCCGGGTACCTTGAGCATGATGGAGCTTCGCCAGGTGAATAGTAAGTGGGCTGGATAATGCATTAATAATGTATTGCTAATTTATTATTATTAGAGTTCTATAAGGATTTGATGGCCCGGTATAACCGCCCTTATAATCCTGAGGCGGAGGATGCGGTCGAGGTTCCTAGTAAGTAACGCCTTTCAACCTATTTAGAATCTATTGCTAATGCATTGGCCATAGCTACACCGGTCAAGGGCCCTCCTACTCCTGTTCCCAAGACTCGTCGTCCTAGGGTGCCTCTCATCAAGACTGGGAAGAACAAGGGCAGGGTAAGAAACAATCTAATATATTGCTAATACATTACTAATGCATTAATCAGGTCAATCTTACTCAGGCTCGGCTTCTCTCTGGAGTTGTTGGAAGGCGCTGCGCTGCTTGTGTTAAAGCCAAGCGAACTGGTAAGTTCTCAGGTTGTGAAGAAGCAGTTCTGTGTTGATTTGAAGAGGCATAAGGCCCGTATATATAGCCTATGAAAGGGGGGGGGGTACTCCCCTGTTCCCCCTTGTTACGGATATGGAAGGATGTAACGCCACTGACACGCTAGTAGTGGCAACCTGAGTTAAGTAGTAAGATATAATGTATTCCTAATGCATTACTAATAGATTATCAGTCTGCCCTGACCCTGGCGACGTCACTACCTGCACGGTCTGGGAAGCGTTCACCGACAAGTCGTCTTCAGAGGAGGACGAGGAGGACGAGGACGAGGAGGACGAGGAGGAGGAGGGGGAGGATTGATGGGTAGGAATGAATCGGCAATGAATTGACAATGCATGGTAGCTAGCCTGGTAGCTAGCTCGAACGGAATGAACATGTCCTCCAGCCAATATCTTCTAATGCATTTGAAACTAATTCTTAATGCATTGCCCCTTGCAGTTTTAGTCTTCTTTCCTGCAGGTCTAACTCAAGCTGATCGTTACGCAGCATAAGAGCTCTTGCCTCCTCCTCCATTATCTTTACTTCAACCTCCAGCCGCCGTCTTTCTAGACTATTGTCCTGTTCAGAACTTACAACTTGAGGTTGAGTGAGGTTATTCTGTGACGCTTGTCGAAGGAGGGGGGTGCCCATTCTAGTATGGTTAATGGATTGTAAATAGATTATAAATATATTAAGAATATACCTTCTTACGCCTCTCGCACTTCCGCCCCTTACACTTCCTCCTCTTACACTTTCTCTACCACGAGACCTAGATCTGACGCTTGCTACACCAGAAGATGTTGCCTCTGATAGAAAGTCAGGAAAGTCGTCGTCATCATCGTTACGTCGCCGCTTCTGCCTTGCCTGAAGTTCTCTTTCAAAGAGAGCCTCTTTAGGAATATATTAGTAATGCAGTGATAATGGATTAATGACAACTTACTCTCCCTACGATTTGCTTCCTCATATCTAGTCGTAAGAGCAGTCGATCGATATGTATGACCTATTCCATGCCACGTACGAACAGCCTCTTGTTGATAGTCTCGGCGGTCAAGAATCTCTCCGCTATAGTATGTTAGTAATGATTTTATAATGCATTAACAATATCTTACTAATGTATTGCACGCAATAGACTTAGGCGCCGCCCCATAGAGTCAGACTTGTAGTGAGTTTGCTCAGTTGCATTAGTATTTTTTCTTAACTTGTCCCAGATCTCTGGATCGACGTCAGAGCAATACTTATTGAGTCCACTAGCTATTATAGGGTGGCGTTTATGTCGTGCCCACCCTTGGACCTTGTCTGAGGCAGTTAGATCTTAATATATTAGCAATACATTAGGAATAGATATATAATGTATTACCGTTCATTAGGAGATCACAGAGAGTCATATACTCCTCTGCAGACTGGCAGTGTTGGAGCGATATCATTCGATGCCATAGAGATGTTGGTCGTCGAGTTCCTATACCAACTGCGCGCTCAACACCATGTTGAAAGTGAATTGTGCAGTAAACAACTGCATGCTTGACATGCCATTGCCAGTGGCGTCGCTGAGGATCTATCCCAGAGAGATAGCGGCCAAATCCTAATACATTACTAATGTATTATCAATATACTAGATTGTTAAAACGTACCTGGCATCTGCTTTGTATCCATATCCATTACCATAGCCCGGAAGCCACGGCCATGTATATGAAACCATAGAATTGGAACCTCAAAAAGCTTTGAAACAGTGTCAAAGAACATTGAAAACATCCTCTCATATAGAACAACAGATTCGCGGTTCACTAGCACTCGAGCAAGTGTAATTACTAACCCATTAGTAATGTATTAGGAATGCATTGCAAAGTATTTACCTTTTCCGTGTTCCTGTGAGAACGTTGTAAAGACTATCTCCTTCTCCTCAGAGTTATATAGTCGTTTAAAACCCATTTCGCACTCATAGGATTCAAGCTGCAGTAAGAGCTTTGCCTGTTGCTTAAAGAAGCAGAAAATAAGTATATTCGCGCCGTCATTATAGATTCGTTGAATATACTGCGTGGAGTAAGTAATAGATTATTAATGCATTAGGAATATATTCATACCGCGTCTGGATTCCCAAGGTGCCGAGTTTTAAACTCATGCTCTACTCCTGCAATATCCTGACCCTCAGGATAAGAAAGAAGCCTCTGCTTATAGATAAGAACAGAGACTTTATCCATATTAGCAAAGCTTTTATGAACATCGATCAAGGATTTTCCCTGGTGCTGTAGGCAGAATTCACGAAGAGCGGGATTTTTGAGTAGTCCATCTAATCAATTAGTCCATCTAATCAATTATAAATACATTAGTAATGCATTTAGAGTTAATTAGCGCGTACTTACTTGTTGTGAGAGCTGGATCATTGATCCGACTAATAACAGACATTAGTCCTGCTATTAGCTCTTGTGGTGTTCGCCTTCCTGGCGGTGGAGGGTGTGTATGGGTTCCATGGGAGGTAAATAGAATATACTCGCACTCTGTACGATCCTTTGGTACAAAGATGTTGAATACAACATTACAGGTAGCCTGAAGTAGGCGGCCTGCCCCCTGGTCGTGGTCAACACCTAAGGAATTAGCAATGTATTAATAATGTATTAGGAACATATTACCACAAAACTTTTTTCGTGATTGGTTTGTTTCTATAACAAAGCAGTCCTCATTCTTATCAGGCTCTAGACCCTGATTGTTGAAGCGCATTATTAAGAATGGAATTTCAGGCCAGAGGTTTGTTGGTACTATTTTAAAATAGTGACCATTATGGTGCTGGCCCGTATGATTGATGCAGGAAACATATCGAATAGGAACGTTTGATATGGTCTAGTGTAATGGATTAGCAATGCATTATAAATGCATTGTAATCTACATACCCGCTCTGGTGATTCTCTAAGGTAAGGTGTGCACGTAGCGTTAGAGACCGCTCGTTGACATGCATTTCCTTTCCGGAATATGTTTTTCTGGGCGAGATACCAGCTAAAATAGTGTAAGTATGGATAATATATTCCCAATGCATTGTGAATGCATTACAAACCTATTTGCTTGCTTTCGAAGTGTACTTGAGCCATGCTGCACACGTTGATTCTGTATCTTCTCCCAATCCTCAGGCTGCAGTGATGTATAGGTCATATCTCGAATAGATGGACTTAGGTATTCGCAGTATCGCACGCCTGTACATAGCCGATTTGACCTTATGCACTTGACGTTATTAAAGAGCTGATTCTTTGAAGGGCCCTTCCATGCGAGCTTGTGGCAAAATTGGACCTAATAGATTAGCAATGAATTATAAATACATTAGTAGACACGAACATTTTCAAACGACATCTTGTACTGCTTCTCGTCGAACCCAGTTGTTTGTACAAGATAAGCAACTCCATTATCGTCTGAGTCTGGGTATTCTGGAACTTCTGGAACGTAGTAAAGCTTCTTTACTGTTAAGACATGCTCACTACCTGGAGTAGATATAGGAATAATTCCATCCCTTGGTTCGCCGAGCGTCGAGAGCTGTACACGAATTAATAGTGTATTCATAATGGATTATCAATACATTATAGCAAACCAAGCTCTCCGTTTCCTCCTCCGTAGTAGACGAATCAGTTGGAGTTGATGCATCAACGTCAGTTGTAGCCGCTACGCTACGAAGAGTGTCAAGCTCATCCTCCCAGTGTGCAATAGGATCAATCCAGGGTTGCACAACCACTGGAGCCTCAAAAGGCCTTGTGTCTGTTCGCACTGTAAGTATTTAATGCATTGGCAATGCATTTGGAATACATTACCGTCCTCCATGCAGGAGTTGAACTAATGTATAGTTATAAAAATTTACGGGGGCGCATTGGCTTATAAGGACTCAGCCGACCTGCTGCAAACCTTGGCTGACGTGGCCCCACGTGAGTGGCTTGCCCAGTCAGGTTAGCCGAGGTGAAGTGCACAGGTTGGCTGAGCTGCAACCTGGGAGGCAAAGCAGGGTCGACGGGACGACACGGGTGACGGGAGGTGGGAACGTCAGAGGCGCGCTACGCTGAGTGCAGGGCGAACCAACGATCTGGCCCCTGAGATCTGCGGGTTTCGAGCAGCCCTGCGGTTGGCCGGCGAGGGCCGTCGGGCATGCACGGCGATTTCTGAAAATCCTGACGCTCCAGCCTTTGCGGACCGCCGCCACGCCGCCGCTCGCATGCCACAAAAGGAGGCGTGCCTGCTTCCCTTCACCCACGATCCCCGCATTCTGTCCACCAGACCCTGATACTCTCTTATTTCCTTAGGTCATTCCTTTCAACATCAAAGAGAAGTGGATTCGCACGTACGTGTGCCTCATTCACCGCTCATCGCCGGCCAATCACATCTCCCCGATATTACCTGCTCGGCTTTCCAGCCGCTGGCCCTAGCTTTTGCCGACCGCGCCTCCGAACTTTTTACGACTCTCCTTCACCGACAATTCCACACACATCTACACACATCCATAATGAAGGTCTTCGCGACAAGCACCGACTTCGACTACTCGTGGGAGGAGGTTTCGACCTCCAACTGGCGGAAATACGGGCCATGGAATGAAAAGACGCCGCATGTCATCGCCGTCGACACCCTCTCGCGGACGATAGATCCCGACACCGGCATCGTGAGTCCACCACAGTAACGTCCTCATCAGTGATGCATTGCTGACCTGCTCCCGTCTAGCTACGAACCGAACGCCTCATCACCTGCAAGCAGACGGCACCCAAGTGGGTAAACACACTGCTGGGTAGCAAGGACACTTCCCACGCCTACGAGACCTCCTACGTCGATCCGAAGGCGAAAAAGGTCACTATTTGCTCCATGAACATGACCTACTCGGATCTCCTGTCTGTACGAGAAACCGTCGTTTATCGGCCTGCATCCTCGAACCCCAGCGCGCGCACAACCATGGAACAGAACGCGAAAATAACGGCTTTCTGCGGCGGCTGGCAAAAGATAAAGAACAGCATCGAGCAATTCACGGTTGAGCGCTTCCAGCAGAACGCGGCGAAGGGCCGGGAAGGATTCGAGATGGTTTTGGAGATGAGTCGGAAGGTCTTTGCCGAGCAGCGGGAGTTGCGGATACTGCAAGAGGCAAAGACAGCTCTCGCTCCGTAGGCCACCGTTCAGGACACCGCTTCGACACCAACCACCCTCGATGTTTACACGACTTGCTCTCTTCAATCTCGCCTCTCCCGACGTCACTCCGACCTCTATACATACAGGCATCCACCCTCGATCCACCATCCGGGCCCTACTCTTTGAGACTCGTTACTGCGTTAAAGCGATTTTATTACCTCCGGTGGCGTCTTTGTTTCTGAATAAAAGCAATATACCGGGTTTTCCGTTCCCTGCATGGCTCATTTCAAGCCCCTCTCCCAGTTGGAGATCATAGACGGCGAGCTTTCGCATAAACATGATAAGATGCAGTATAGACGGTAGACACATGCTTTTAGACGTAGACTTAATCGAATCACCCTGAACACCTTCTTTTCCCATCTGTGCCGTGTAGACTGACTTACCGTTACTTGAAGTGCCTCGATAGGTTGTGCGAATGCGCTAGTACGTAAGCCATTTATTTGTGCCTCCGAGAATTCCTGATATAGAACAGACAAAGCTTACCTTTTCAGATGCTTCACAGGTTCCCAAGGGATGGAACCCACACTAGTGCCGCTTGGTGCTGTTCCAGACTCCCATTGGAATGTTTCAACCGTGGTTTTGGTTCCCTATTGCCACCATGGTACCGAATTCCATGAAGCGAGCTCGATCGGCCACCAATTTTTAGCAGCATTGTATAAATCAACTACACCAGGAGAGACCCGCTAAGAATCAGCTCGTCCTCGATCTATAGCATTGACTTTATGAATATCCTCCTGCAAGTATCTGCAGCGCAAGGGTTTGGATGGCAATCATCGCCATATGCCCAGTGCCATATGAGTCCTTGATACTCCCTCTGCCATCCATGGATGCTTATGACCGCTCTGACACACCATCCGCGGATGCTCATGGCTGATCTGATTCGTGATGCGCACCAAGGCATATATCATTTTAAATTTCCGCATTTTTTCCTCACCTACACTACAAACCCAACTTTCTCCCCAAGGAAACCGCTTCCTCGAACCTCTCAAGCTTAGAGCAAAAACGTGAGTACTCAGCGTAGCTTCCATGGATTGCAATACCCCAAGCACTAAGACTTCCACGGTTCCCACCACTAGCCGTCCCAAACCCGCTCAAAAGACTACGTCACCCAACAGCGACAGCGGCGACACTCTTCAGAAACCTACTAAGAGAGTTTCCTTCATCGACAGCCCTACCATTCACTACATCCCCCAGACCTACGTGTCTGTTGTCGACGAGGTCGACAAAAGAGGCGTGAGAAGTGGCCACTACCTCAAGCGCCCCTTGGAAGACGCCGAAGGACTTACGGAAAAGCCGAAGCGTGCGGCGTTGTCTTGTACGTCATTTTTGGTGCCCGCTGCTGGACCTCAATAGCTTGTTCGAAAACTTCTCAAAGCTTGTGGAGTAGAGAAGAGAAGAGAAGAGCGGGAGGCACTCAACATGTCTGCCAGAAGCGACTCAGAGAGTTCACAGGGGACCATCGAAGGGGACGAGAAGAGCAACAGCCACCCGAGAAACGATGCCCAGAGTCCAGAGATGATCGGGTGCCAGGAGGAAAGCAGCAGTCCCACGAGAAACGACTCTATCTCCTCGAGTGGACACTCGCCGGCTTCCAAGCGCAAACGCGATGATGAGCAAGACTTTGCAGAGGGGACGATTAGAGGGGGCGAGGAAAGCAACAGCTGCCCGGGAAACTATGCTCAAAATTCAGACGCGATCGGATGCCAGGAGGAGAGCAGCGGCCGAACAAAAAGGCTTCAGCCAGCCAGAGAAAAGCTCAACATCTACCCGGCCAACTTCTCACAAAGCTCGACGGAAACAAAGGCCGTGCAAGATGAGAGAGGGTCAACAATGTCCACTAGTCCTTTCGAGAATAACGACAGTTCACCGGATAACAAGGCAACAAGCTTCTATGAAAGCGATCTAGTTCACTCTCCTAGACATTACAAACAATATCCTCTCACTATCCACCAACCTCCAAATCAAACAACGACCTCGCACAACCCCTACCACAACATCGACCAGATGGCCTCACCCGTGGAGCACGCAATCGACGATTCACCAGTTGAACATTTACCATGGAAGTATGCCCAACTGGGCAAAGCAGTCGTTTGGTCGAACGAAGTTCAAACGGTGGATGCCTTCAACGGCTGGCTGAATGACTCCATCATTTATTTCTTCCAAGAGTTCATTTATTCGAACTTCCCTCACCTCGCTCGCGGCTCCGTCTACATGATGTCGCCGTGTACGGCGGCATGCTACCGCCAATAATTCCTCAATCATTGCCACTCTAATGAGGAGCTGACCGAGACATTCACCACGCTGGCCGGAGCGTCCACAGAGCTCAATTGTCGATGGATTGTTGTGCCTTTCTCAAACGGCGACGGCTTCTCAGACGATGGTACTCATTGGGCACTTCTTGTCTTTGACATGGAGGGCGAGCGAGGTGTTGCCTATTACTGCGATAGTTTGGACGGCGCAAACTACATACCGGCAGAGATTTTGGTAAATATGATGAAGTACCTGACAGGCAAGAAAATAGAAGGTGTACCAATGAAGACGCCGCAGCAGGATAAATGTTACGACTGCGGGGTGTATGTTTGTTGGATCACTGAGAAGTTGGTTCACAACTACATAGCCTATGGGGATCATCTTGGGGAGCGGTCGCTGGAACCTTTCGAGAGTGAGATCAACCCAGAAGAGTTTCGGAGATATATTCTGAGGTTGATGGCGAGATACCCAGCTCTCATCAGGTAAGAGACTTCCTGACCGTGACTGTGAAAGTAAGACGCTAATTCATAGATAGCCCGCAGCCATCTCAAACGTCATCCTCACCCGACCACGAGGGTGATGAACAGCTACAGACCGGCGAGGAACCGGAGGCGAATGAACAGCTGCAAATGCATAAGCCGGAAAGAAGCGATCAGTCACAGATGGACGAGGAGCAATACAAAGCTGAAACCTCCCACACCGTCGAGCAGCCTCAGATGGACGAGGAGTCACTGTCGGACGTGGAGCTTCTTTCAGACGAGGAGCCTTTCGTAGACGAGGCTTCTATATCAGACGAGCAGCTACTGTCAGACGAGGATTCACTGCCAGAAAACATCTCACTCCCAGACGACGACCCACTGCCCAACGACGACCCACTGTCGCACGAGCAGTCACCGCCATACGAGCAGCCACTGCCATACAAGGAGCTTCGCGCAGTCTATACCATCGCACTAAGCTTAGTAGGATGAGCTGGCAATAGCGATTCTTTCTGTCCTACTGCGGACTCGGCGTTAAAGCTTCGTCGGGGCTTTCTTATCCAACGGCCTGACATAGAATCAACTTTTCGTGAGCGTCCTTTTTCCAATGTAGGACTCCCATCCGAGTCTGAGATGTATTCTCCACGCCTCCAGCCGTTCATATTCGGCACCTTCAGTCGGCCATCTTGACTGGTCAGACCACTGCTCTTCAAACCCTTTACACCCTGTTCACCACCATAGCTTCATTCCACATTTCCTTTTAAGCTTCCAATACACTCCATTACCCTCATCCCAATTAATCTCCAACCCCCAACCCCCCATCCCACGTCCCCCTTTACGCATCACAAATAAGATCGAAATCCGGAAACTGCGGATCCGGCCCAAGATTCGTAGTCCGCACCGCCTCAAAACTCTGCGTCTGGGCGCTCGCCTGCGCCGCTTCGCACTGCGCTATACACCGGCATCAGCATCCCACACCTCATCCAAGTCAGCTCAACAAGGGAACAAAGACACAAAGGAAAGCCCCTCTCCAACTCACTCCTCTGGCTATTACAGTCGTTTACAGAAAACGGCCCTTTATCCTTCGCATCGTTGGCCGCCTCGCTGCACGTATTCGCCTGGTTATCGCACGTCCGCTGCGCCGCGGATTTGAAGTCTGTGAAGGTATCGCCATCGACTTCGAACGGGCGCTTCGGGTCGCCTGGTGGAGAAAATTAGCCTAACCCAACCTAGCCTAGCAATGGAGCCCTTCTCTCCCACTGTCTTGCCAGGTTTGCGCATAGGGCTCATAGGCTGTTTGAGTCGCTACAATCCCTGGTATGCGTACACCGTCTTGCCGCGGCGTGAGGGGCTTCGACGCGTTTTCGGAAAGCTGAGCGAGAGGGAGATTGATTGTTTTGGAGAGGGCGAGATGTCGTTGGGCTGCCTCAGACAACGGTAACATGGGAAGGGCTCCGGAAAGTGGCACTGCCAGTGACAAAGAGTGTACGTAGAGCTAGGGCGAGATATTGCGAGATAAGCGCTTACCGGAATTCGAGATCGCAGGTGCCGCGCCACCGAGCGAGCCGTTGAAAGTCTGCAGGTTCGAGACTTGGCGTGAGAAGAGGGTGTGGTGGGGGATGAGGTGGATTTCGGCGTCGGGGACGAGGATGGTGGGGGAGAAAGCAGATGTAAGCGTGAAGAAGGAGAGTGCTAGTAATGAGTAATGCATCTTGATGTAAGGGTTGAAGGAGCACTGTGGATGATGGTGTTGAAGTTGATAGAGTCGAAATATTGATGAGGTCAAGGCGCAACCGTGGCGGCCGCCCATCTTACCTATATCAACTCGCACACCTCTTATTAAACTCAAGACAGTTTCGCCTTACAATAATGCCTTGGCTGTCGTTCGAACAGTTCAGCTCGAGGTGCGGCGCGTCGCACATCCTAAAGCGGTAATAGGCGCTGGGGGATGCGACGGATGCGAAACGAGAGCAGGCCCCTGACGTGCTCCGTTGAACAAAATTGGATACACGCCTGGGCTTGTGTACACTAGCTTAGCACCGCTCGAGGTCCTCTGATACCTTATCAAAGACTGGAAAACGATCATTTCGACAAGCCTGATAGCTCTCTGGGCCACCCCAAACGTTGCTGGACGCGAACGTCATTAGCTGAGAACGTTGACGTAGCAGGCAAGATTATCGTGATCTCATGGATTAAAACCTGTATTTCTCTCCGAACGAAGCTAACAAAAGAACGACAAGAAGACAGTCCTACGGAACGACTTTTGAGCTATATAAGAAGAGACGATTGGTCGCAATAACCAGCGTGTAGACACTCGATTATGCGCTGACGTCCTCCAATTACAAGTGTTATATATACTGTGTAAAAGATATAAGGAGCTTCTACAACTGCCCTCTTCTTACTGAAAGGTGGAACTCAAAGACAGAGTACAATCTCAACAGCAAAGCCAATTGAGATAATTTCGATTTAGAGCAAGCTGGCTATCCGCGCTAACAAATGCTCATCAATCAAGCCGTATAACGCCCCCGGAAGGAGAGCGACTTTGGCTAGCAACCTTGCTGCTATGCTCTTCCACCCAAAAATCCCACATGTGGGAGAGAATCAACGCTAGGAGAGTAAACGCAAAAAAAAAAAGGGGGACAATGGGGGTGTCATGGTTCGTCATTAACGGTGGTGTCGACAGTTTAGAAGTTGGCTGCGGCGTTGGGGCGTCCGCCAGGGTTGTGATACTGCTCGAGGTTGGTCTGGAATGGAGTGTTGGCGGCACCACTGTTGGGCTTCTCGCCGACGGCAGAGCCAGTGCCCATCATCAGGTCGTTATTGTCGTCGTCGCTGAAGCGCTTCTTGCGGCCCCAGACGCGCCAGGCGACGAGGGCAAGACCGCCGAGCACGATGGCTCCACCAACGCCTCCGACCACGCCACCGATGATGCTCTTGGTTTTGCTGCTCATGCCACTGCTACCACTGCTGTTGCCAGAGCTGTTAGGAGCGGCAGTAGAGGTTGCAAAGCCGGTGGTTTTGGCGACGGTGCGACTAGCGGTTTGGGTTTCGACCAAGGTGGAGCTGCCGCTAACGGTCGTGACGACGGTGACGAACTGTTCGACAGATGTTTGAACGAGAGCAGACGTATAGACCGATGGGGTTGCGGATGACTTAGTTGTCTTTGGAGCGGCGGTGCTAGAGGCGGTCTTGGTGGATACACCAGCAGCGGGAGTAGACGAGCCATCGTCGGATGAGGCAGCTGACGACGCGGCCGAAGATGGCTCTGGGGTTGCAGACGTAGCGGGGGCAGACGTCACGGCTGCGCTCGAGGGCGTTGGAGTGTCCGATGGGGTGTCCGATGGGGTGTCCGCCGGTGTGCTTGATGGAACTGGGGTCGCGCTGGTGGCGGCGGCGGCGGAGGAGGGTGTGGGAGTCGCAGAAGTAGCGCCAGTACCGACGGCATTTTGCCTCTTGTCGTAGTGCATGTATGCGGCGATGCCATCGAGGTCGAGTGCGGAGGTCAAGGCCAGGATGGCGAGGACGGTGAGCAGAACCCACGACTTCATTTCAGCGACGGCGATGGTGAGGGCGATGGATAACGAGAGGAGATGCAGAGAGTATTGATGAAGGGACTCTCGGAGTGCTGCGTCAGCTGTTTCAGGCAATCCTGGAGGAAGGGCGCTGGTAAGGGGTGAAGGGGGACGTGTACGCGAGGGTTAATGGGGGGACGTGGAAGTGGTTAAAAAGGCAACGAGGGAGAATCGAATGGACGTGAATGAGAAAGCAGCGAGTGTGGGAGCATCGGCGGGCTCGGGTGGTGTGGGCGGTGGTGACTGAGCAGCGAAAGGGTTTTGTCGTCAGGCCAGGGTGTGGCCGCTACGTGCAACGCGCAGCAAGCCCGTCACGAGACGCCCGAAATAGACACAGAAACAGTACGCCCTAGCCCGATCGGCCACTGCTGTTGTGATGCAACCTCGGTGCCTGTGCACCAGGAGAACACCGTCTGGGGTGGCTCAGAGAAGTTCCACGCTTGCCAAACTGCAGCTTTGCAGGTTTATGCAATGTGCTCGACGATCTCAAGCAGTGCCAGGCGAATGTACACAACTCCCTAGCTGGTGTTCGAAAGGAGCTCGAAGAGATTGCGTTCCCTAGGATATGAGGTCTGCAAAGGACTCGTGAACTGTCACTGTGCCCTTCTTTGGACGCGCTTTGTGCTATCAGCAATTGTATCCCAACCGCTGAAGAGTGCAGGACCTCCAGCCTCAGCCATTCAGCGCCTTTTGATGCTTGAAACCTCCCACCACTCGCGTTTCACGGCTCGTCCACTCACAGCCCACCCCTTTCAAGCATTTTCGGGCCCACTGCAGTTTTTGACAGCCCCGGTGGCGCGCCAAACTCGATCGGTCCCATCTCCACAAGCCGGCGCGCGGTACGTCATCGGCCCATCGCGAACAAACGACGACGCTCGTGCAGACTTCTCTGTCTCGCTTTTCGCGCCAATCCCGCTACCCTCCCCCTCAACTCCACCATGTCCCTAAGCGGTGCCCCAGCACTCGCAGCGATGCTGCATCTGTCGGCCCACGAGGCCCTTTCCGGCGTCTTCGGCTCCGTCTCATTGGCCTCGTGGATCTTCCTCTTGGTGCATTACCTAACTGAACTTCCCCTCATGCTCCCGCTAACCCGCAAATAGGTCCCGCAATTGATCGAGAACTATAAGCAGGGCTCCGCCGATGGCATATCGCTTGCCTTTTTGGCCGTCTGGTTCATTGGCGACATCACCAACCTCGTTGGAGCTCTGTGGGCTGGTCTCGTGCCCACTGTTACTGCCCTTGCTGTCTATTTCTGCTTCGCGGATCTGATCTTGATCAGCCAGTGTCTATACTACAACTTCATAAACTCGCGGAAGACGAGAAGGCCATCCGCCAGGTCGACCCAGACAATGGATAGCGCGGAGCAGCCTCTGCTAGGGCGGCGCGACAGCAATATCGGACTTCCCGGTTCCCACAGGAGACGCTCGTCTGCGAGGAGCCACAGAGAAAGCATCAACAGGACCGATTCACTTGCGTCCATCGTGGAAGAGGAGACTGGTGGTCGGGAATGGATCAAGAATTCTTTGAGCATACTCGGAGTGGTGGCCGTTGGTACAGCCGGCTGGGCAATTGCATGGAAGACTGGAATCTGGAAACCTACACCTCTAAGCGATGACGCTGGGACTACTGAAGTAGCACTGGGGGCTCAGATCTTGGGCTATGCTAGTGCTGTATGCTACCTAGGGTATGTCTGTAACTTCATCCATGGATACACAGCCATGCTCACATGCCATAGCGCCCGAATTCCTCAGATCATCAAAAACCAGCGGGAGAAGTCCTGCGAGGGTCTCTCTCTGCTCTTCTTCATCCTCTCCCTCCTTGGTAACGCCACGTACGGTGCAGGAGTAAGACATCACCTCAAGCCTCAAATAATGCCATACTTACATACATAGATCATCTTCCACTCTGTCGAGAGGGATTACTTCCTCACCAACCTCCCCTGGCTCATTGGCTCCCTCGGAACCATGGTCGAAGACGCAACAATCTTCGTTCAATTCCGCATGTACGGCGACAACTCCCCGTCCGCCGTTGTATAAACAAACTGTAATCACGGGCGATATGTAAAGGATGTATATCTACATAATCTTCGATACCCTGACAGCGCATATGGGTTGTTATTGATGGTATTTGGCGTTTATAGGTAGCGAAAACGTCTAGGCTTGGACTGAAAATTCTGCAGAATAGAACTCGTATCTTTGTCACTCATGTGGTCATCTTGGTAAAGGTGTACAGTGCCTCGTTATAGATATCCGTACACTTTTATCCCACTGTTTATAGGGCTCCAACATACTAATAGAAACCGGGGGCAGCGGATATACTTCCAATTTTCATACACTATGCTGATGCTGTCTGGGGTAGCCTTACGAGTTTACCAGTTGTCCAAAATGCTGAACTGCTCTTTAATTCAGGGTACTAAAAACACCATGAGGCTCCTCATACAGCGCCAAACGAGTGTACAGACATCTATGAGGAGCCATTGTATGTCATGGGGTAAGCAGAATTGCAAGCCTGGCCGGTCAACAGCGCCAGGAAATACTTCTTATCTCTTGTTGGAAGACATGGCTTTGACAAGTAGGAGGTATGTGATCATACCGTGTACGTTGCGTGCGATCGCATCTTGGGGCCTAGACTATGGGGTTCATACCTCGCCGGGGGTTCGAATCTCGGTCGACCTTTTTTTCTTCTTGCTTCCTCTCTATCGTATCACTTCATATGTGACCACCCCCACCCCGAATTGCACTATCTACCTCATTCATTACGCCAAGTCACGATACTCTGAATTCTATCGTCTACAAAACCTTCTGCGACCCTTGCATCTTCCAGCAACAGGACGGACTAGTCGGACTTGCCTTTGTCCATAGGTGGTTAAGGCTATCAAATGTGTATGCGAGAGACAAGAATTATGATGGTAAACGGCAACGCTAACAGAAGAGGAATATAATTATTAAGGATTCAAAATCTATAGCATCGGTAGCTTGGAATGACTCCTGGAGCTAAGAATGACCCCTAGCTGATCTATACTCCTTCGCTTTGAGGATGACGAGCATTCTCTCTACCGTTTTGAATTCCTCTTCCATTGTCGGACGCCTCGCCTGCTGTTGAACAGACCGCGCTTCATTCGCTCGAACATTTTCCAGGTTTACCACAGACCCACTCGAGCCATGGGGCGTAGGCATGATCTGTTTTACTCCCCATCAGGCTGTCCGAAAAGCCCGTGGTTGACAACACTTAGTTGCGATCTACACGGCGGAAACATGAACTCGTTGTTGATTTTAGAGACGAGGCCGAAACCTGTCATATGCTACTGTGAGTAATCACATCACAGGGCTGGACGTACGGCAGTATGAGCTGGCAGCATGATAGCATCGTGAAGCGTGTTGTTGAAGTTGCACAGTGAAGATGTCCACTTGAAACGAGGGCGTGACTAGCCCCTTTGCATATTTATAGTTTCTTGGCGCCTCCCCTAACTAACCGCGACAGAACGTCTAACTTCTGGCCTTCACACCACACCTGAACGTTTCGAAACGTCAACACACTCGTTCACTTTCTTTCCCCTTTGACCTATACGGTTCCCTCTTTACCTGTCACTCTTTTGCAGACTTTTATCAATCTTTTACCTTCACGCGTCAACCCGACAACCCAATCCTCAACCCGATACCAATCCCACGAATTCTTCGATCTACAATCCATTCCCAATACCTTCAATATGTTCTCCAAGTCTATCTTCGTTTTCGCGTTCCTCGCCGTCGCCAAATTGGCCGTCGCGACGCCTCCCGCGTGTCTCCTCGGCGCTATAGCGTACGTCCCACGGTTCCGGAGCCCCAGGGGGCTCGACGTAGAAACGGGCTGACACACCCCCAGGACTCAGGACGACCCGTCCAAGGTTAGCGACATCTGCAAGAATGGCAAGATGAGCGGCTACATTAGCAGCGCATGCGGCGACCAGACCCAACAGGCCCTGAGCGCCTACTCTGATGTTTGCAAAGAAGCTGGCGTCAAAGTCGGTACGTATTCCCGAATCTCTTAGACCTACAAATGCAACTACGCGCTGCGGCCTACCTACAAAACACACAAAAATACACTCCTCACCAACCTACACAACAACCTCATCTACATCCTACACGTCACCCACATAGCCACAACATCCATATTAATGGAAAGCCTGCCACCAGCCACCTCCTCGTCCTCGTCCTCGTCCTCGGCCTCCTCAAGCTCGCACTCAGGATCCTCCAAGACTAACTCCGGAACAGCGACCTCCGTCTCGGCTTCTTCCTCCTCTGCCAGCGCCACCGGCAAGTCCACCGCAACCCACTCCGCCAAATCCGCCTCCATCACCGAGCACGCCTCCACCTCGCTCGTCGTCTACACCTCGGCCTCCTTCGACTCGGCCTGCTCCTGCACCAAGACTGCTGCGATCACGAGCACCGAGGTCTCGGGCCCCACGGGCCTTGCGACCGTGGCGACCGGCACCGCGACTGGGACAGGTGTGCCGCAGAGCACGGGTGCGGCGGGACGGCTGGAGATGGGTGCGTTTGCGGCGGTTGCCGGGGTGGTGGCCGGTGTGTTTGCTGTGTTGTAGATTGAGAGCGGGTGATAGTGGCGTGGTGAGAGAAAGGGGTAGAATGTGGATGTTGAGCTGGAGCTCTGGATCACATTTCCTAACGGTTTTTGGGGGGAGCGGAGTTGTGCGAATTAGAGAAGTGGAGTTGTGCAGAGATGGTAGAGAGACACGGTTATTGAATCGCAGCTGGATTGGGCACATGAACCTAACACTAGCCACGGAATCCACTCGCACTTGTGCGATATTGTACACTACATCAAGCATGCGGTTTTTTCTCGACTTTAGAACTGTGTGGATGCCTCGTTGATGACTTGATCCTATCCCCAACGCCTCGTCATAAAAATCCGTACAGTCTCCTACTAGTGCTTGCGGTACCTCATGGTATTTTCAGAGTTCTAAATAAAGGGAGGTTTGCCATTTCAGATAGCTAGTAAACTCGCGAGGCCACCTCAGACAGTGCTAGAGAGGTTTACACAGACTTCAAGTGTAAATTAATGCCCTAGGTTTCTATTAGTACGGTGAAGCACCACACACGCCGGCGGGAAAGTGCAAGTTGCATGAAAGTGGATCGTAGGACTGGCAGGTTCGAAATCACCGAATTTTTCGAAGCTGACTCATGATACCTGATATATGGGTTTCATTTCTATATCTCAATCATTGTCAGAAAGCCTCCAGGTTTCCTGGTCCTGAGTTCCTGCAACTGCACCATCCGCTCCATGTTCTTGACCCATTTCTCCGCGAACCCACGGTCTGTGAAGCGGAGCGCGGACTTGCGAGCGCGGAGCCGCATGGCGCTCGTCTCGGCCGAGGAAAGCGAGAGCGCGTTTGCGAAGGCGGAGGCGTATTCCTCTACCGTGCTTGCGTGGAAGCCTGCACATTAACAACAGTTAGCAACTCGGCACTTCGAAAACCTGATGATTCATGGGCTGCATATTACCAGTCGGCTCGCCATCGATTTCAACGACGATATCCAGCTTCGGCCCGCCAGAGTCGTTCACCACGCTAATGAGACCTGCGGCTTGGTATTCGACGACGCCGATGCCAAAGTGCTCGTTCCACATGCCGTTCACGCCGACGGAGGCGCACTGTAGCCAGTAGAGGATCTGCGGCCAACTCGCGTCACACACGAACTCGACTTTTTCTTTGATCTTGCGCTCGTGCGCGAGCAGGCGCAGGTTGTAGACGCGGGTGGCGTCGTCGCTGTCTCTTACCGAGCCTACGAGCACGAGTTTAGGGGGGGTGTTCGGGAAAGAAGGGAAAGCATTGTGTTGCGCGACCAGCTTGGCGAAGGCTTCTATTATCAGCGTGTGGTTCTTCTCCGGTCGGAACTGCGCGATGTAGATGATCGTCGGGCCACGCTTGCTTTCGCTTTCAGGGGAAACATCGATCGCATCCGTAAGCTCTTCGACGGCGACGGGGGGGAAGACGACGTCGATGTCGGTCTCGGAGGCTTTGGCTGACCGTAGGCGACGAGCGCGCCGCGGGCCCCAGAGGGAGCGGATGTGGGATTGCGTCCAGGTGGAGTTTGTCATGACGACATCGACAGTGCTTCCGACGAGGCAGTACAGGCGGGCGAAGAGGGACCAGTAGTGGCGCTTTGCGAAGCCTTTCCAGCCTACACCGGCGCCGGCATTCACGCCTTGGCCGTTAGGAGAGAGGGAGGCGAGCATGTCGGTAGAGATGGTGGGGTAGTGGACGTATGCGCCCGTGGGCACAGCGGGAAAGAGGAAGGAGGAGAGGGCCAGGGCGAAGGCGTAGCCCATGGTGTCGATGAAGATGTCCGGGACGAGGAGACTGAAGGCATCGTAGGCGAGAATTAGGGAGCCGAGGGACTGCCCTAGAAGTGTGAAGTGTGGCCATGTGCTGCTCAGGACGTAGCGGCGGGTCGAGAGGTAGAGGAAGTGGACAGTTGGGGGGTGGAGGTGGATGTTGAAGCGATTCTGGCTGTATTAGCTTGGTCATTTAGACCAGGGAGTAGACGACATACCTCTACTCGCTTTAGTATGGCTGCCTTGTCCACATCGTGGTCTCCAGTGTATACAACGCAGACGGCATCCGGCCAGCGTTTCTGGTTTGCCCGTATGGCAGCCCAGAGAACGCGTTCTCCTCCGCCTCCAGCATTACTTTAATGTAGCAATCAGCTCCGTACTCATGCTGTAGACCCAGGATCCAATGCTCACCAGAAAGGGTGAAAGAATCCTATGATACCTTTCCAGTCCTCGCCCGCTTTCGCTCCGTTGGCGGCCGTACCGGCAGCATACCCCTCTACTTCCTCCCAACCGTCCTCGTCGTTGGCCGGAGCTCTTTTGGGATGAGTAGAAGCGTAGGCCCGCTGCTCAGTCTGCACCCTAGCTAGCAAGAGCTCTTTGCGGGTGCGGGAAGCTCGTCGGAGGTAGTAGCCCACCACCTGTCCTAGCGAGCCCAGGATATATAGGCCGAAGAAATAGGCCAGAACTACAGGAATGCTCAGTAAGAGGAACAGAAACGAGAGATTCATGGCTACAACACGGGGACATCAAGACGAGGGAAAAGCAAGTGCAGCTGCCATGGGACTCCAGACGTCGCCAAAGTATCGTGCCTATTCGCGGGCGTGAGTGGTGGTCGTTCTAGGGTCACGTGCCTTGAACTTCACCGCCTTTGCGGAGGTCGGGAGAGAAGTGCCCATGAAAGCCCTGAAGCTCTGTTGCGGCTAGAAGCATCCCTCTTTACTAGATGCATCCCTCTTTACCACAGTCCCTCCTTTCCGGTCCTTCGAATATTCGCCCCGTCACCTCAATGCTCACGTGTCGAACTGCGGTGCGGCCAAGCTGCCATTTGCTCAAATCTCCCCAACATCTCCTTCGCCGCCCCCGACAGCGAGCTTTCCATCCATCATCACCTTGCCACGGCCCCCTCGTCGACCTCCTTACAAGCGACGCCCATCTCCTTTACAATGGCATGCACTCTCTAGGCCTTCCCTGGGCTTGTGCAATTCCAGCAAGTGCGCTGTTTGTGCGGGTCTTTATCCTAAGCCCAATTTCCTACTGGGCACTCAAAGCCAAACAGCGGAGAGCCGATGTCCAGCCCCTCGCGTCAGCTGCGACAGCCATAGCCCTCAGAAATTTACAGACAGTAGCAGCTCGCCAAGAACGGAAAAACGTAACAATCCTCTACGACCAGATCCGTAAATGGCAGCAAAACGTTGTCCATGGCCAGCAAAAACGATGGCGGATTAGCTTAGGGTATAGCTTTATCCCAATCATCACCCAGCTTCCTGTTTTCTTGATTATGGCGGAAGCCCTTCGACAGAAGCTTGGAATTGGCAATGGTCTCCTTGGGATGGTGACCAATGGTATAGCAAATATTTTGAGTGCCATAGGAAATGCTGTAAATGGCACAAGAGACTCTCTAACGGGCGCGCCCATATCGACAGAGGACACTTCTGTAATCCAGTCCGGGGAGATAGCCACGAGCGTCGAAGTTAGCCAATACCTGGAGCCCAGTCTCGCGGATGGAGGCATACTCTGGTTTCCAGACCTGACCGTCGCAGATCCGCTGCACTGCCTGCCCTTCGTCATATCTGGTCTTACCTTTTACAACATCTGGAGTGGTTCGCGAGATGTGGAGTCAAGAATGACCCGTCCTCTGTTAGTGCTTGCTGTTTGCATGGGTCCAATACTATGGGACGCACCCGCTGCCCTGTTGCTCTACTGGATAGGGAGCAATGTTTCTGCTTCAGTCGCCAACAAGGCGTTGGAACGGAAGTGGCCTATGAGAGTAGCCCCGAAGGCATGCAAACGACCGCTATGGATACCACGTCGGAAGTTCAACCTGCACAAGTAGCTTGCCCGCCTTTTGCACCTACGCATTCTACCGTCACGTACAGTACTTAGTCAAGAAGCTGTAAGCTCAAGTCACCACTGATTGGATACTTCCTCAATAGGTAAGACAGCCCCTCAAGATGATCATATGGGTAAGCTAGTATTTACATTCAGTAGGGGATATGAAACCGAAGCGCGGTAAAACGGATGCCGCTGTAGGCTAGATACACAATTGAAGTACGGATCACGGTCTGGAATTCTTTACATCACGTGTACAAGTCACTCACCTCCATGAAGCCACTTAAACGCCGTCATATCATATGCAACTTGGACGCAGACACGCCTCAATGTCAAGAGTAGAGAGATCCTAGTAGAGTTAGATAGCTATATCGCGTTCGGTCTAATCCAGGGTATCGAAGTCCTTACATCCTGTGTCCAGCGTACCCATTCTCACGAGGCCACTCAATCACCGTCGTAGCCCAAGCAAGCTGTCGCACACCCGCCTCGAAGTTAAGAGGAGAGCGTTTTAAATAGTATTAAATCGATAAATCGTGTCCGTTCAAATTCACGGCGTCAAAGTTATTATATCATGTTCACATATCCTCACAGTTATAAGACAGCATAAACGCTATCATCACACACGCAACTCGCTAAACCCGCGCAGCATAGTCATTTCATTCAGTTATAGCTTATCCCTATCCCACGAGAAGAAGATCTCCAAATCTCTATGAGAAGCATCTGGACTGAATTGCATCGTGTGATAGATATCCGGACATTCTCCACCAGAAATCTAGAGCAATCAACCAGAATTCCGATTCATGTACAACGTTCTGCCGCTGTATAGAGTGGTCTCACAATTTATCAGTAGCTCCAAGACTCGAACTCGGCCTCGCTGGTGGTGGCTACTGAGATCGAGATTATGGTGTAGGAAGGGTAGGGGTTTGGCTATGCCCAGACTTCAGCCATAGGAAGCTCGCGTTGAACGAGATGGAGTAAGAACGTATTGGTACCGAGACCAGTCACCCGGCGCCAGTCGTGATATTCACTTCGGAACGCCGATTTCGCTCAGTCTCGAGAAGGGAACTGTCGTACAGTAGCTATGGTAGAGCTTCAAGAAATCGCACCACGTCCTACAATTCATCATGCTTTTTCGCAGGATTTTTTTCATCATCCAATCCATCGTCATCCCCACCAGTCCCAGTATCTGACTGATACACCTCATCCACGTCAAATGAATCCTCTTGAAGCAGCGTATCATCTGTGACTGGACCTGGTTTAATTTTTCCTTGCGCCATATCCATAATCAGTCCCTCGATTGCAGCCGCAGTGACCGTCTTTCGCTGATCGAGGGGAAACACGTCGTTGGTCCTCACATCATGAATAACAAATGCCGGGAAGATGCCCGGGCGCAAATCCATATTCGTGGCCATATGGCTATACTCAGCAGTATCGATGAGACCAAAAGCCATATACTGGCCATACTTCTTCGCGACGGGAGTGAGCTCACGGCGCAGATCCACCTTCTCATCCTCACTGGATGCGAAGATGTAGGCGATAGGTTTTCTGGCCTATATCGAACCTGTGTCAGTCCCTATATGGTGTGTAAGGCTTCTACAGAACTCACGCTCATATAGACGTCGATGTTTCTCTTCGTAATCTCCCCGATCACAGATGGCGTTGCAGTAGCGAGGAACTTCTCTAGGGAATCTTGGTCGAAGCGACCGTTCATGGCCGTGTTGTCGCCTTCGCGAATCTTGAATACAGTTACTGACGGGACCGGAAGGTCATTCATCTCCGCAAGCCGAGCCTCAGTCGCAATGCCAAAGACGATCTCATCGTGGTGTTCTTTGGCATATGTGCTAAAGATGTCTATGAGCTCTGCATCTTCTGGATCGAGATATGCCACGACAACCACATCGTCAATCTCTCGAAATTCCGCAATGCTATCCTCATCCACATGGGTAATTGGTGGCAGCTGCTCCTTGATCATGTATGAAATGATCCTGGGCTGTATCAGTACTCGAAATCAACTTTGCACGGTTACACATACGCGGAAGCTTTCCTAGGACCCCGGTATGTGCTAGTCTCATTTGATCCGCGAAAAAGCCTGACAGCTGGATAGGCGTTTACGTCGTACTCGCGACACAAGTCAAACTCCTGGGCGCAATCGACTATCACTAGAGGCGAAGTAAGGGTGGCAGCTGCTTGCTCAAATTCATTGTGAAAAGATTCAGTAAGTTTTCTAGCGATGTCAGCTATGGGAAGAGGCGATTTTCAGTCTTCAGTAGAACTTACACTGCTTTCTACAGAAAGTAGCATCAGCTTAGTGCCGTTCTGTTTAAGGTGTGATGGAGTTATACTTACGGAAGTGACTGCAGCCAATTAGCGCAACCTATCCTCCAAGTTATGGTATCTTGTCGGACAATTATTTCACTCACAAGCTGCTAGCACTATGCTATTTTCGCGAATGACTCTCTGGAAGCCGTTCGAAGAGACGTTTTCCAGTGTCGAGCAAGAGACTAAAACGGAGAGCCATAACACACTAATTATGGATATCATTATGAAAGAAGACCTAGGTATCCCAGCTCGCTGCATTCGGGTCGTCCGAGAATCAATGTAGAAACCGCGGGGAAGTGTCAACTTTCTTGAGAGCGCAAACACGCAACGAAAATGAAGCGGAAAGTTTTCCCAGATGACTCGGGGTGTTTGAATGCTCGAAAATACCCGGTGGAGATCAAACACCGACCCTTGCAGCTTTGGGTATCAGATGGGATTTCTAAAGCGTTTCATCTGCAACCCGAATGTTCCATCCCCTGCCTACCTGTCGCATCGCGAAGCGAGTGGAGTTCGAGGACCTGCATACGCGCTAGGATAATGATTTAGCATAATAAAACGTCAGCTTCCCAGTGATCTCATAAGAAGAGAAATCGCTAGAGGACGTTGGAGCATCTTCATCCAAAATGCCACATATGTATAATACAGCTCACACAGCGGCAGCAATAGTGCTCACGACCATATTTTCTCTGATATTGCTTGCTGGAAGCACATCAGCGAAAGATTCCGGATGCCCAGATCATGCATACAAAGTCCTCCTCTTCTCGCAAGACCCACTGGTGATATACATTCCCAACTTTCTCACCGCGGAGGAGGCAGACTATCTCGAGAGAACCACGTAGGCATTCCGTCAAACATCAAACCCTCTCCATTCTAACAACTTCCCAGCAAATCCAAATTCACCAAATCCGAAGTCGCCGATTCTCACGGCCACCAACTAAACGCCTCAACCCGCACCTCCCGCTCTACCAGCCTCGCCAGCGACCCCATCATCCGCTGCATCGAATCCCGCGCCCTCTCCTTCCAAGGCTTCGACACACCCCGCTCCCACCTTGAGCCCCTCCAGCTCGTCACCTACGGCCTCGGCGAAGAGTACCACGCGCACACCGACTGGTTCGAAGCCGCCTCGCAAACCAGCGATGCGTACGGCGGGAACCGGCAATCCAGCTTCTTCGTGTACGTCGCAGCAAGCAGCGATATCACGGGCGGTGGAACGAACTTCCCGCTGCTGGATGCGCCGGTGGACGAGCGGTGGTGTAAGTTTGTGAACTGTGACGAGCCGTGGGAGGCCGGGGTGACGTTTAGGCCTGTGCCGCGAAATGCGGTGTTTTGGGTGAATTTGCTGAAGGATGGGAGGGGGGATAAGAGGGTGGTGCATGCGGGGTTGCCGGTGACGAGCGGAACGAAGCTGGGGATGAATATTTGGACGAGGGAGAGGGCATTGCATCAGACGTTTAGGAGTGATGGTGCTGATGACGAGGCTTTCAGCGAGCTGTGACTTGTCGAAGATAGGAAAAAGACCCGAGTGGGATATGATACCAAAGAGAGGTGGATTCACGATCCAATGATGATAGGAAATGGAATGAAGTGGCATTCACACCGCAACTCTGATACGCATGTAGGCAATACGCGATGTGCCATACGCATTCGTCGGCCCGATATTAGCCTTCATATTCTCGGGTACCAAACTTCTAGCATCAGCCCTAACCTTTTAGTTCAATCACAGCCCCATAAGCATTGGATGATTGAGACCTTGGTGTGCTATTCGTCTTCTTAGATAAGCACTAGATGTAGGCACTTGCTGTCATGACCCACCTGCATGATGTATCCCTATTAAGCGCTAGAACGCTGCTTGAACTTTGTCAATTTGAGTTTCCTTTAAGGCCGCCCAAACGTCTTGTTAAAAAGACCTGGCGCTCAAAGACATAGGCATCATGGCCGACCCCAAGAATCAGCCTCCCTCCCAACGCGCCGTCCCACTGCGCGTCCTCGTGCTCGGCCAGTCGCGCACAGGCACCTCTTCCATGCGCGCAGCCCTAAAAATTCTCGGCCACGACGAAGTATTCCACTTCATGCACCTCTTCGAGAACCCACTCCAAACACCTCAATGGGAGCGAGCCTTCCAGGCCAAATTCGAGCCCGACACCTCCCCACCATTCACAAAATCCGATTGGGATGCTCTTCTCGGGCACTGCTCCGCTCTGACCGACACGCCATGCCACATCTTCGCCGAAGAGCTGGTCACAACGTACCCGGACGCGAAAGTCATTCTAACGCTGCGTGATAGTGTTTAGGACTGGTATCGCTCGTACTCGACGACTATTTGGCCGTTTCTGAAGCACGATTACGTGACCCCTACGCTTCTCTGGCGCGCGGTTATGTGGCTGAGACCAAAGATGCCGTTTGGTTATCTGGATATCTGGATATCATGCACCGGTGTATGGTCCGGTACACTAGTCTGGGTCGAATCCCAGAGGAGGGCCGGCAGTACTACGAGAAGCGGAATGAAGCGGTTCATCGACTGGTGCCACCTTCGAATTTACTGGTGTTCAATGTGAAGCAAGGCTGGGACCCACTGTGTCAATTGCTAGAGGTTGATGTGCCAGATGTTCCGTTTCCGCGGCTTTTTGAGGCTGAACAATTCAAAGCGGTTCACGAAGACTGGTTACAGGGCTCGATGAGAGGAGCGGCATGGAATTTGACGAAGATTCTCGCTGTGGGCGGAGCAGGCGTCTGTGCTGTTTGGTATTACATGCAAAAGGGGATTTAGTATCCTGGCTCTTTATAGAAGAATCGTTAAAATGCCCGTAACGATGGCAGCCAAAGCCATGGTCCATATCCAAATGCTGTTAATGACACTCGCGGAACTTGGGGCAACCTTGCCCACGACTTGGCTCTGGCCTCCGGCTGTTCCTGTAGCTGTGCACTGAGCACCGCAAGAGTATCCACTATACACCATTAAGTCAGCTTCATTCCAACAGTAGATCAAAAGATAGTTATGAGCCCCCTTACTTAAGACAACAATTGCCCCCAAGATTGGCGGCACAGCTATACCAACCACTGGGACACGAGCCTCCCTGACCTCTGGCAGTCGTGGCCACGCTCGCGCCCGTAGGAGCTACAATAGTAATGCCATCGCTCACGATGACACTCACACTGGCGGTCTGGATGCATGAGCCAGTAGTATGGCAGTCCATGCCAACTCTGCAGCACCCACTTGGGTAGTAGGCACTGCATACGTAGAACCCGGTTGGGCAGACCGAGGGACCAGTGATGGTTGTAGTTGTGACATCAGAACCAGAGTTACTGGTCGGGCGAACAGGGGCTGATGGAACCATACTGCTGCTCGTCCTAGTTGCGGAATCCGTCCCAGAGCATATGATTCCTGAACCGCATTGGCGTCCATTCTGACAGCAACCACCGCCCAAACTAGCTGCGCACGTGAACCACCCTGAGCTACATGTGTAGGTGGAAGACGATGATAGAGAGGTCGGTACTACCACTATAGCGGTGCTTTTGGAGGATGCCGCTGAAGAGATGACTGCAGACGAAGACGAACTTGGGATAACAGACGAAGCTGGGCTTGAGACAGTAGACGACGAGGATGGTAATACAATGGCAGTAGAGGTGGCAACCGCAATGCCTATCCCAGATATTAGCATCTTCAGAATTTACATCCACTCTCGGGAGAGACTTACATCCGACATCTTGACAGCTATAACCAGGCAAGCAGCAGCCACCATTGGGGCTGTCAGGACAGCTTGTATACCCCTGCGCAGTATCGCATGAGATGGCACCTACACAGTTCTGGCCTTGCGGACAGCACCCGACAGGACCATAGCCATTATCTGGAATCGTGATGCATTCATCGGATGTGGAGCAGCAGCTGTCTGGCTGATTGATCGAGGAGCAATTGTTCGTTCCCTCGGGGCACTTAAATCCGCGGTTCATGAGGAGGCTGCGTATAGCAAATCTTGCATACGAGTCGCGGAGACCTGTCTGTTCGGAATGCGGTCGCAATGGCGAGAGAGGTTGGATGAGTGTGGAAATGTTCGCACTTTGGTCTCCTAGCTCATCTGGCTGTTTGTGCTGTGAAGCATGATCCGGTCCGGCGCGTCCCAGCAGTTCCTTAGCTTCTTGATCGCCTTGGAATATCCAATTGTCAAACATGAACATTTCCCCCTCATCCGTGCTCATCTTCTTTACTCCAACAGGTGTTTCCCATGCCAGCCGCTCCTGGATTTGCAAACCCCTCTTGACATGGACTTCATCCTCTGGAAAGTATTTCATATGTTTCGGCAGATTGTGTGGCCATTGTGTCTCTACAGCGGCTAGCGAAGGGGATATCGTGAGTAGGAGAAGGGCGCTCGGGAGTGATAGGAGGTTGAATAAGGTCGGCATCGGAGGCGATTTGCGGCTTCTAGAATGCTGGATCTAAGAACTGTGTCGCACTAACATGCAGACGTCTGCTCAAGTCAAGGGAAAACGTAGTAGAAAAGATGGCTGGAAAACAGGGCGGATTACCCGGAAAGTGCTGGTGAATAAACGACGGGGCTGGGGGTGCTGGCGCCACAACCCGGTGCGAGCGCAGGAGCCACAAGGGACATGCTGAATGGACACGGTGAGATGCTAAATAGCTTCGTCGTATGTCCAGACGACTCACATTAATCTCGAGTGGAGTGTTGTCATCATACACGTAAGTTGCACGAGGAGAGGTGGGGAAACGCTGCAATTTTACACGTGATGCACCAGGGGTATCTCTATCAACTCCATCCTCATTTTTCATCCATTCAAGTTCGCGATGATTTTCTGAATATCCTCATCAGAAAATCCCAGATCCTTTTTCACGTAGCCTTCCATGCCGCCGTACTTCCCTTGCACTATTTCCAGTACTGCCTTGATGTTTGCGCCCTTGATTTGCGAGAACTCATGCATACCAGGCGTCTCCATGGTCCAGCTCTTGTTCCATTGCATCAGCATGCCAAGCAAAGCCTCACGATGCGGCTCGATTCCCACGCGAGTCATCGCGTAATCGTTTGCGATCTGGTCGTCCGAACACCCTGCCAGACCCATGATGACAGCTGCCAGCACACCAGTGCGGTCCTTACCAGCTAATAGTGGTCAGCCTTGCTTCAGCCGACTCACAACAGCCTCAGAACAGCATAGAAGAAGATTCAGAAGCACCAGAGACAAACACCAGGAGCCTCCTAGAACTTACCAAAGCAATGAAAAAGCAGTCCGCCCTTCCCATCCCTCAAATGCTCCAGAGCCCTCCGAATACTCGGTCTATGTATATCCATGATCTCCGCATATATTTTCAGGTAACCCTTCCTTCCATCCTCCCCCATAAAGTCATCCAGTTTAATAAGCTGCGGTGCCTCCGTGCTCGGAATCTTGACAACCTCGATGCCGTCAATATCCGGCTCAGGATGCATTCTTGTTTCCGTTTCCGAGCGCAGATTCAATATCAAAGTGATGCCTAGATCCTTCGCTAGAACAGCTTTGCTCTGATCGCCGAGGTTGCTGAGCCCACCGGAGCGATAGACGAGGTTGCGGCGGATATGAGGGGCACCGTAGACGCCGAGGTCACGGAAGTTGAGAACGCCAGGGACGGGGATGAAGGGGTCTCTGGAGAGGACATCTTCGACAACGGCACTGTCAATGAGCTCGTTGATATCTCTGTTCACGAGGTCTTGGAGGTTGTAGTCAGGTGAAGCTGCAGCCATAGTGGTAGTGGTCAGTGCTAGGTCACGGTGAGGCCAGCACCAAGCTTGGATTTATACATCTATCGAGGCTAATTTAGGACTGTTGTCCGTGCTCTCCCAGTGCCTGACAATCAGAGTTTACCTGAATTATTCTTAGAACCCATCGTATTTCGCACGCGATCAGTGTGGAATGCGGGGCATGACGAGAATGCCAAGGCAAAGCTTTCGAGCTGAGAATGATTGACGTGGCAATTCAACCTTGCAAGGCTGATACTTAAGTATTGAAAATAGCGCGCTTATAGTAGCCTCTACGTTGTCTACACCGGAAATTGTATCGTATTCAACCCGAGAATGTATGTTCGAACCGAATATGTACAAAGCCAAGCACACCTCCTATCGTCATCGTACAGCTTCAAAGCTTACTCTTGAAGTCTCGACTCTTGTCGTTCTTGAACAACACACTACTCTCGGGGTATGGATCGACCGTTATAGCGTTGAGAGGGTTTAGTTCGGACGCTCTGTGGAATAGGTCCTCGTATACTTTGCCGTCGTACCTACCGAGGCTTGAGTCCAATTGCCAGTCGGGGAAGTCCCAGGAATCGACTAGTCGAACAGCATGTGGCCGGATCTCCTTGAGGAGTTTCATGACCGTGTTGGTTCGCGCGAGGATGATCTGCCGTACGGTAGTTGCTCCTGACTGGTAGAACTCAGAGCTTTCCTGCTCTAGTGTGTTCAAAGCAAACAAGCGGAACAGCTTGTGGAGGACGGTACGGGTCTCTTCATTCAAAACATCTGTTGTAGATGGCGACTGGAGGGCTTCATAGAAGTTCTTCACAACGAGATACTGTGAGTGGGCCTTGCTCAGCCTGTAGAAGTCGACGAGAAGATCGTTCCAGGCTTTCTTCTCTTCGTCTCGGTGTTTGTAGGCTTCGAAAGTAAGGTACGCCGTTCGCCACGCAAAAGCAGCAACCAAATCTTCGTCCTTGCCGATGATATCGAAAGCAGCGCCCATATCAGACCGTGCAAGAAACTCAGTCAGAATTTGAGTTGTATCGTTGGTCGGCTTCTCTCCTTTCTTGACTGAGCGAGCTGATTTCAAGAGCTAGAAAATCGCATTAAAGGACCGGGCCCGAGAAACTAAATGAAGACACTTACATAACGTGCAACTTGTTGCGATAACATATAATTATCACCCTCCCAGGTCGTGGTCGGAAGATAGTCGGCATACCATGGCCCAATGCCACTGAAGCTGCTATATCCATGACCTCCGCAAGCTCTCCGGCAAACCTCAAGACCTTCCGCGGCAATCGAACTAGCCAAGGATTTCAGTCCACATGAAGCTGCATGTAAATCGGCGAGAGAGTCGCTTCCAGCATGCGTTTCCTCAGGACCGGCACCCCGGTCAGCAGATGCTGTGTTGGCATTTCCATGGATCTTCTTCTGGCTCTCCGCGTAGAACCTCATCATACCTTGGCCTGTGAAATGAAGAGCAAAGGTAGCTGCCAGGAGGGGAAGTAACCGAACTTGAACCATTGTATAATTGAGAACGGCAGTTTCTCCTTTCTCCGATTGCGGAGCGTCGCGATCCTGGAATTGGCGTCTGATAGCGCAGTATCTTGTTGCCATCGTCACTCCTCGGGCCAGGACAGAGCCGCTCTGGAGCACTATGTGGGATCGTACCCATGTGAGAGTGCCGTATACCAGGGACGCCGACATTGGCCGGACATACTTGTTTGTCGATAGATCAACGCTCGAAAACCTGGGATGATTATTAGAGAATGGATCACCCTCATCAGAAAGCTACTCACCGAGCCAGCATATTGACATGCGGGATTTTGACGTGATTGAATAGAAGGAAACCATTATCCATGGTGTTGTATCCGAATTTCGGTCCAATGTCACCAACGTGTACGTTCTCCAATGGCTCATGGGTCTTCAGGTTTCGAACTTGCACGACGAAAGGATGGGGCCCATAAGGTTTGCCATCGATGATCAATTGTGCCATAACAACAGCGTAGTTCGCTGTACGGCCTAGTGACCCAATCCACCACTTACTTGCTGTTAGATGAGGGGAATGGATTATAAACGTCTTGTCTTCCGGACTCCAAGTTGCACTGGTTGATGTCAATCAGCTTTGTGATTTTGAATCTTCAATGTGGAATGTAAGAACGTACGTCGTCTCTAAACCGCGAACATTTGAGCCATGGCCGAGCTCTGTTTGAGCGTAACAGCCAATGATCTGATAATTCTCTGCCTTCTTCAAGAACAGCTCGTGCTGCTCGGGAGTACCTTGGTCCCGCAGGGTGATCTGTTAAGAGGTAAGAAACGTCGATGACCGTTACCCCAGCTTAGTCTCACCAAGAACATAGACTCATGCAATCCATAAGGTCCCGGCTCGCTGATGAGATCGTTTGCAACAATGGAATCTTCCTGATTCCAGCCATGCTGGACCTTCAATTGACGCAGTCTTTTGGCTCTGGCCAAAGCTGTCTCAAAGCGATCGACCCGTCCGGCAAAGTAGTTCTGGTTCTTGTTGAACACCTTCTCAGACTCAAGAACTTTGAGAACCCGACGCTTCCGTTCGATGGCTTCTTTCGTAAATAGAAATTCTGAGAGCTTCGCCACTGGTACAGAGGATTTGTCGCGCTCTAATTGAAGAAGCTCGTGTCCCTGAGGGCCCGCAGGCTTCAATGCTTGCACCCAAGGCGGATTTGGAGTCATTTTATGTGAGAAGCTCAAAAAAGAAGAAAGTAATAAGAATGATGTTTGAGAAAGCGTCGGTGATGACTTTCGAAGTCGTTAGGGCCAATGGGCACTAGTGCACTAGCTCAACCGCGGTAGAGATATTCTGTAGCGGGGTTCTAGACTCGGAACCCCCTTAGAATGAACGACATCCAAACGCCTTGCCGAGGCAGACCTCACATCTCGACTCGAAGCCTCCTCTTTACCAAAGAGGTACCTAGGTAAGACTGTGAGACCTGTGAAGAGCTGGGCCGACATACGCTGTAGCGACCTTTACATCATGTGATTATGATGGATGAAGCGTGAGAGTCTTTCGGATGGTGGCAAGTACATCTTACGCTTGAATCGAAAGTCAGGGCAATATACGATGCAACAATTTGCCATGGTGTCTTGGTTATGGATGAAGCACTCCAGACAGATAGACAGGAATAAGTAGGTCTGCATCAAGGACCCATGCCCTTCTTCCGTTTCACGACCTCTTGGATTTGACATCCACCCCCTTAAATGGTGCAAGGCCTAGGTGTAGCTGCCCGCCTTTTAATGATGCGCCAAACAATATAGCAACTATTACAATATTAAGACTTGATCTATATACTGCTAAAGTTTAGCGTCTAGTTCCTTCGCTCTAATTCACGGCCCCGGTGTTGTGACATCTACCTCCACCGAAATTCGAAGGTCTAGGGGGACCACGACTCTTTTACTAGTACGTCAAACTAATGCGGTAAGCAACACAATGCTATTGCTCGATCCACACGGCTCTATGTTTGGCGTCCCATTTCTCTCGTTCTGATTTACGCTTCTCGGACATGACATCCGCCTCTACCAAAAGCCAAAGGTCTTGGGGCATCGTGAGCCTTTACAGGTACGTCAAAACGGTGTAGCAAGCGCTACGATATCAACGCTCGATATGTGTGGTCTAGAATTGAACGAGATTTACGGCCTTGTGTTTTTATATACCCTTTCACAGCGTTCATTCAGACGAGTCATCTCCTTCTAATTCACGGCCTCTCGGGCGTTACATCCACCTCCTCGGGATTACGAAGGCCGAGGGGTACCATAGGGCTTTTACTACTACGTTAAATCAATGAAGTAAGTGTCATGATACCAACGCTTAATACGTAAGACTTCAGGTTTGAGCCGATTGACAGAGTAGTGCCACGCTGCACTCATTTCACATTATGATTCAGGAACATCAAACCGCAAGCCCCCAAAAAACCACCAGATTTTATTGCTCTGCTCTCGTCGTCTCGACCACCACGGGGCCAGCCCGGGCGTCTTTGTCTTGCGTCAAAGTTGGTGGTGCTCCCCCCCAGTCCTCATCCCCTCCATCCCCTCACGCCAGATTGGCCGCGAAGCAGCGCCCCCAGCAGCACTCGCACCAGCCCAATTCTCCCCTCTTCGGATCTGATTTACACGTTAGCGTCCGAAGAATTAGATTTGAGAGTCAATATTACCTCCGCCTCCTCCGACTACGCCCCCAGGTCCCCCTCCCACCCCACCGGCTCCCGCAGCTTCTCCAGCGCCTCCAGCCCCCGTCTCATCTCCGCCCAATTCCTCTCCACCCCGCACCAGGATCTCTGCCCAGAGGAGGCTTGCCAGCCGGGGCACGCGCAGCAGAGGCACCCTCGAGGGACGCATGGCGGCGGTGGGAGCGACGGCAGCGGTGGTGGAAGTCATGGCCGATTTGAAGGCCGTATTATGATGTTGATTATGTGGGTTTGCGAATTAGGCTCGTGCGCGTGAGGTGTTGGAACGTCTTTTGAGGTCTTGTGGATACTCAGAGGGATTCGACGTTGCGGTGATGCGGTTGGTTCTGCGGCGGGATTTAGGAGGTTAGGAGAGGGCCTTTTAATCCCCAGTGCGGAGAATCAGGCCGGCATAACGGCATCGTTGAGGCCGATGAGAACCGGTTGGGGCGGCTTCGCAACTCTATCGTGACTCCCAGGGGGCTTGTGGACCGACGCCGAATCAGACTAGATTGCCTGGCCTCGGGATCCTCGAGCAGGCGTCAAGGGGTAGCTACTAAGGAAGGGAGTCTTAGGACTAATAGCAGAACAGCCAACGATGCATCGTAAGACTTAAGCTGTAGAGCTGTATCGTGCTGTGGTGGTGAAGAGGCTAGCCTCTGAGCACGAGAGCTCGAGAAACAGTAACAAGATAGCCAACAATGCACGATAAGACTGGATATGCGAAGCTGTTCGTAGAAACAAACCGCTGCGCAGTCCATAATGATGCTCTTTTGCTCGTGAACGTGATGTACTGCTTGCCATCAGAGGGCTCAGGCTCTGGGTGGTATCACTCTGCGGCGGCGGAGGCGATGCTTCTAGCAGCCGAAGTGACCAGCTTGCCTACCTTATGCACGGATCTGCGTCTCCTGTACGGTCCATGAGGCACTGATAGAGCCATGAGGCTGATCAGGTCGCGTCTGTGGTGTTGACGGAGCAGCCAAACATCCTCCTTTGACTGCAGCTCTTCCAGCAGTTTCGCGGGACCAACGAGCGCCCCAAAACACCAGAGACACACGACGAGAGCAAGGCCAAGCACACCGAACGGCAGCAGCAGCAGTAGTATCAGCCTCCGTACCAAAACAGAATGAAGCCTCCAAGGCGTCGAAGCCCACCAAGGAGGAGGCAGCCTGCCGACAACCATCCTCTCAAGGCCCCCGACGACCCACCACCAATGACCACGCATCGAGATGGTTGGATGCAGCGGCGCCATACCTAGGTGAGCGGATATACACAGCCCTTGTGCATATCGGTTCGATCGCAGACATGGAAGCGGCGGAATAGGCATCTAAAGACAAGATACCATAACCACAACGCGACGACGCCGCTGCCAGGCTGGAGGGAACACACTGCTTGTCGCGCATCAAACGGCTACGGCTAGTCACATACGCGATACTTTTTGCTACGCGTGCAGCTTCCGCAAGCTGTACCGACAAGGCCTGTCTGCGAGTGCGACCAGCTCATGAGACCACGCAGTTTGGCCAGATGTCTCTCAATAGCAGGGAACTTTGCGTTGGAGAAAGCCGATACGAGGCGCAGTAAGGCGAGCACCGGTACACCCAATACTACACCAAGGCTCAAGTTTGATCTTACAGAAATGCGCTTTGAGGGACAGAGACAGACGGCATATTGGACAAGGTAGCCACGGAACAGCGTGTCTCTAAAGAAGCCGGATAAAGAGTAAAGAAATAGGAGGATCGAGGTCTGAATCGTCCTTGAGGGTAGGTTGCCGTGCGTATACAGCCCTAGCGCATTCGAGTACACTGGACCACAAGGACCAGAGCTCCGTGCGGAAACTGCATAAACAGACAGAGACGAATATCGAAAAAGGGTAACGCCGAGCAAAGAAAGCTAGCAAGGACGTTCCGAAACGCTTCGGACGGGCTCAGATGATTGGCTGATAGCCGGGGCTCCTCTTTCGAAGAACAAAATGAAGGAAGAAAAAGGAACTGTATGCTTGATTGAAGCGGAAAAAAGATTGCAACAAACTCAGCGGATTTGAAAGAGATGTTCCATTGGAAATTTGATGGAAAAGAAAGTTCGAAGCATGCCGGAAGTCGTACTGAACTCGCGACAGCGTATAAGTCTGGAAGAAGGAGAACCATGGCTCAATTTGGGGCATCCTTGTCGACTTTGAACGGGATATCTTTGGTTTATTCTCATCCGTGGTTCAATTACCTCGATCTGTGAGGTTATTGCCGCCCTGGGAGCGCATCATTGAACGAGAGGCGACTGGTCTCTATATTGAACCACAAATCGTATGGAACCTCAAAATATCCATGGTAAGAGGTATTCTCGAGCTCTTCTCCCTTACTGTTTCTTGTCTGTTGTTTTCAATGGCCATAGTTGGCTATCATCGGGCTGAAACCGTCCATTACTTCCTCGTATTTCTTTGCTTCATGTGAAAGCCCTGAATCTGTCGCTTTCGTCTCGTATTGCCGTCCGTTGTACCTTTTCTTCCTTTCTTTCCTTTCCTTTCAGTTGCCAATGCTTTTGCTTCAAGTCCACTCGTAACTTCTTCATAGCTAATCTGATTTCTGACATCGATTGATCGTTGTTGTGTCGATAACACCCTCTTGAATCTCTTTGGAAGCTTCTTTGCTTAATTACTTCCGCTGTAGCCTCAATGCTGTCCCACAAAATTAGACGAGAAGGAACGAATTACCTTATCGATACTAGTCTGCTTGATTCCTCTAGCACACGTAATAGCGTTCGAATGCGCCCAATACGACGATCACCAGCTCTACCACGCTGTCTGGATCCCCTAATCAGAGGGCATAGACCCAAGCCTGCATGCATCGAAGATGTCCTCGCGTCTGCCCCCCCAAAGGCTTTCGGACGCCGTTGTATGTGTGAACGTCGGAGGAGACGACCCCTAAGCGCCAAGATGGACTCGAATACTCAGGGCCAGTTGCCAACCTGAAAACGAGAATAAATCTTCTCTATCCACTTGCTGCAAAAGAAGGCTAGGCGGCGATACTGTCCTTACAGGTGTCTCTTCGTATCAGTTGTTGGCTTCGTACTTGGCCTGCCCCCTGTCTAGACTCGAGGAGCCATGCCAATGTGTCGATTCGTCATACAAGGGTGTCTTGCACCTCGAATTGGACAGGCGACGTGTTGTGGTTGTTCGGCTTGACGACGACTCTATCTCCGAATCAGCTTCGTTCGACGGACGTGTTGCATCTCAGATCGACTGGGCGTCGATAGGAACCGGAAGGGAACGAGTTCGAGGCTCCGGTGCTCATATCCCCGAGCAGAGTCCAAGGCAGCGTTTGCGTTGTGTGGTGACAGAATGGTGGTATGAGGTTGCGGGGAGAGGCCCGTCAACGTCCGATAGAGACTCCACCCAACCCAAGTACCAGTTCATGAACAACATCGGCTCGCTCCATCAACCACCAAACTGTCCGCGGATGATTCACTATATTGTCGGCCCAGAAGACCTCGTAGAGGAGGACGAGTTGGCAATGGTGGAGGGGAGCTCCAGAGCCAGCCAGGGGGTCTAGCTATCACGGCCCAACAGAAGCTCCAAGCTCTTAGCTCTCAAGACTTCATGGCCAATTTGCTAGACGGGAAACGACGGCTAGACGTCATGATCTTAAAGCATCATCGGGTGTGTTCTGCAAGGGACGAGGGGCAATTCTCAAAGTCGAGCACGAGTCGGAGGTTTTAGAACGCTCGTCAAAGCATGGACAGTCAACACGAATCATATTCCTAGCTAGAAACCCCCGCAGCGGGACACCAATGCTCTCCACAATGTGGCTCGCCAATTGTTGGACAGTGGTGCACTTCTGAGTCAGATGACAGGAGCAACATTCACGGGAAGGGATTGACTGGCCCAGGCATGTCTACACATGCGGAGTGCTCCTTGTTTGGGGCAGTGCTGTTCTCAAGACTACACATAAGTGCCCAAGTGAGATACGAGGCAGCAATTTCACGGTATTCTTCGACCTTTGCTCGTCGAGGGCCGAATGCTATGTAGCTTCTCTGACATCGGTCTCCTTCCACGACAGCAGACCCCTTTCTCCCATAGACAAAGCTTCATTAGAGTCGCGAGAGATGCCTCATATCTTATCAGCCATCCCCGGGGTGCCACTATCTTTCTAAAGCAAGCCCTGTGCCTGGATCTAGACACACTTGAGACGGATCAGAAAACGCCCAACGCGCTTTCGCCGTCGACATGGGTTGTTCTTGCCCTCATATTGCCTGAGAGCCACAAAGCAGACTCAGCCTGCTTTATGCTCTGGCTGCGGCGCAGTGAAGTGCAGCGTTATGACAGCCTGCTTGGCCCTGCGTGTTCCACAGAGTCGTAGTGGGCCATACAACAGTGACAAGAAGGCTCCCTGCAGCCAGCCGCTGTGATGTTTATGGTAGTGAATGCCCTGTGTACCGGTGAATCTGGAACTGTGGCGCGGTTGACCCCGTCCCCTTTCGGTTAACGCGACATGACGATTTGTCGCTCGGCCTCTGCCTTCTTTGCGTCCTACATACAACACACGACACTGCCCTCACCCTTCTGCTCCACCCATATCTCACCTGCGCCGCTGAGGAAACGCCATCTGAGGAGGACAACGGATCTCATCTATCCCACATACATTTCGAAGGCACAGACCTACTTCTCAACCCCGGAACCGCACCCCACCATCACCTGGCCCAAATCTATGCCCGCGCAGCGCAATCAACTCACACTCCGTCTTCGCTCTCCAAACCCGTCCTCACAAAACTCACTTAGCAAGTGAGCAGGATGGGGCAAACTCTCTCTGAGCCTGTGGTCGAGAAGGTAAGTCGTTCCAACTCGGCGCCTCCACGCCCCCGCTACAGGCGCTCGGCCGTTGCGAGCAAGCAACGGCTGCTGCCTTGCGAGCAACGTAGAACCAGTATTTTCACGATGGAATCCTGCTGACCTTTGACCTGTTCCAGCATTCGGACAATGGCGAGGGCGAAACGCTCATTTACGGTGTCTCTTCGATGCAGGGCTGGCGTATCAGCATGGAGGACGCGCACGCCGCCGTTCTCGACTTGCACGTGGACGGCGCTGAGACAAGCAATAAGGTAGCTTCGACTCCTCTGGACCAGCGGCTCAGCTTCTTCGGCGTGTACGATGGACACGGAGGTGACAAGGTGGCTATCTATACTGGGGAATTCCTTCACAAGATCGTCGCGAAGCAGGAGGCCTTCAAAAAGGGTGACATTGAACAAGCCCTGAAGGACGGCTTCTTGGCCACTGATCGAGCCATTCTTACCGGTAAGAAAATTCCTCCGCGAAGCCCTCACAGAGCTGACTCATCTCTGCAGATCCTAGGTACGAAGAGGAGGTATCTGGATGTACGGCGTCTGTCGGCATCATCTCGAAGGACAAAATTTGGGTGGTGCGTGTTCATTCGACAATGCGAGACGATCTCCGCTAATGACCTCAGGCGAATTCTGGTGACTCTCGGAGCGTCTTGGGCGTGAAGGGCCGCGCAAAAGCACTGTCGCATGACCACAAGCCGCAGAACGAAGGTATGCTTGGCACCAGCTTTGGATTCTCCTGAAACTAATTATGTGCAGGAGAAAAGGCACGGATCCAGGCGGCCGGTGGATTTGTCGACTTCGGCCGTGTGAACGGCAATCTGGCACTTTCCCGCGCTATTGGTGACTTTGAGTTCAAGAAGAGCGCCGACCTCCCCCCCGAGCAGCAAATCGTCACTGCGTTCCCCGACGTAATCACACATCAGCTCTGCGAAGACGACGAATTCCTCGTCATTGCGTGTGATGGTAAGTTACTCTCTCCTGAGGCATCGAAACCAACTAACCTCTTCCGATCAGGTATCTGGGATTGCCAGTCCTCCCAAGCTGTGGTCGAATTCGTGCGACGCGGTATCGTAGCGAAGCAGGACCTGTCTGTCATATGCGAGAACATGATGGACAACTGTCTTGCCTCCAACAGCGATACTGGCGGCGTTGGCTGCGATAACATGACCATGATTGTCATTGGTCTTCTCCAGGGCAAGACAAAGGAGCAATGGTACAAGGACGTTGCCGCGAGAGTAGCCGAGGGCGATGGGCCATGTGCCCCCCCTGAGTATGGTATGTGAAATTGCGATTTCTTACGATTTTTTCAAAAGGCAGGAAGGCTAATGTCTCTGTCCTTGTGCAGCGGAGTTCCGTGGTCCAGGGGTGCACCACCGCGTTGACGACAGTCCCGATGATCTCGATATGGACTATGACCATCGCTTCCGTCCCAACAGTGGGTTGGGCGGTCGCATTATCCTTCTGGGAGATGGCACCGAGATCACGAGTGAGTCCGCGGACAGTGAGATGTTTGATCATGACGAGGAGGACAAAGATTTGGATCATCAGGTTAACCCACATGATTCAGTACCGATTGCTGGCTCTGGCCACAGCGGTGCCGCAGTCCGAAGCATCCGCGAAGCGACTCCGGGTCCTAAATCGACGAACGAATCTTCCAACTCTCCCTCTTCGACCGGCACTGAGAAGTCAGAGACAGTCCAAGAGCCAAAGCCAATTTCTCCGACCGATAGCCGTCTTCCGGAGAAAATTGTCGAGGGTGTGAGTGAAAAGTAGAACCACCAACACATGGCTCGCTTTCCACTGCCCTCAAGTACAAAAGGTTTCATGTTTCTTCAAGCTCACGAGGCATGCGGCAGGGCGAACTTTACGGATTGTTTCATGTCACTCGGGGAAAGGTCGTTACGAAATGGAGGCTCCACAAGTCGAAGAAGAAGAAGAGGAAGTTTGACGATGATGATGGGTCATGAGGAACAACGGCCAGTCTACGGCGTCACACTTTTGGGGATTATGCCATGATACCGGACGCAGCCACGTCGATTTCTTCCCCTTAGTGTTTTCTCTCAATTCAATCCTGTCCCCCTCGGTTTTGTATTGCTCGCTATGCGAGTATCTTGGTGGGAGGTGCTTCTCTTGATCATACTCCCCTGCAGCATCCTGTCTGGTTATAGCGGAGTTGTCTCCTTGCACCCCCTGGTTTTGTCAGCGATAGAGATAGGTATAGGTGGGCACCCTAACATTGAAGGGCGAAGCCTTTTGATATATACACAATTCGACTCAGTGACACAAGAGACCTCTCCTTCCAGTATCAACAAACGTGAGAACAATTTGCTAGGGCACGTGACCAATGGATTTTCAATAACATTCCTTTGCCTTGTAAGTCTAAAAGTTCTAACAAAAAGCGCTTTCTAACAATGTTGTCCTCTATTTACAGTCTTCAATGTTCTCCAATTGCTGATCTACTGCACGATATCTAAAGGAGAGATCTTGGCAGACAACTCAGACCTCGGGAGAGGTCGGAGAATACTCCGTTTCGAAACTTGTCGAAGACAAACTTGAAATATCAGCCCAACGTTTCGGGTACGTCATAGACTAATCTCAAAGTGCTGACTTCACTGGAAGAAGCTGATAGTTCTTCTCAAAAGAGTCTTAATCAATATTAGCACCTGCAGCATTCCATTTTGGACAGAAGACTGCATACCGAGTGTCTTCCGGTTAATCTGATCGATATTCTGGAAGCCGGCCACATTCATCAGAATATCGAATTCAGCTAACAAGCTCTTCATGACATGCCGGACTCCAGTCTCTCCCATGATTGAGAGACCCCAAACCCAGAGACGCCCAACGAAGACGAATTTGGCACCGAGTGCGAGGGCTTTGAATACGTCGGAGCCTCCTCTAACGCCGGAGTCGAACATGATGTAGGTCTTGTTCCCCACGGCTAATAATGACGATTAGCAATGCTGCGTCTTAAGCTTGCGAATATGTCCACACTAACCGTCTACAATTTGTTCCAAAGCATCTAGACTCGCAACTGAACGCTGTTAGCACCTCACCCTCATACCTTAGACTCATATTCAACTTACTGGCACCATCAACCTGCCTCCCAGCATGGTTACTCACCACAATCCCCTCACACCCAATCTCCACGGACTTCTTCGCATCCTCCACACTCTGAATCCCCTTTAGACAGAACGGCAAACCCCCTGAAATCTCCCGCCACACGCCCATCACCCACTGAACCTTCTCCCACGTATGGGCGCGCCCGTGCCAGACATTATCAATCCACAACGCGCCCGCCTCGTTGGGCTGCTTGGCCGGATCGATTCCCTTCTCCCTCAACCGCTTCTTGAACACCGGATCGCTCAAGCCCAAGTCCGCGCCGATCCCGTGGTAGAATGCGTAGTTGCTCGTGGCGACATCGTCGTGGCGCCAGGCCAGCTGCCACGTGTCCAGCGTGAGGATACACGCCTTGAATCCGCCATCAAACGCCCGATGCAACAACGACCGCGTCAGCTCATCGTCATGCGGCATGTACAGCTGGAAAAACCTCAGCCCGTCCCCGTTCGCCTTCGCCACGTCCTCGATAGGCTGCGACCCCGCGGTGCTCAGGCAATAGGGCAGGCCGAGCTCGCCCGCTACTTTCGCGACGGGGAGCTCGCCTAGTGGGTGGTAGATCTTGTTGATGCCGATGGGCGCGAAGCCGATGGGGGCGGAGACGGTGTGGCCGAAGATGGTGGTGCTGGTGTCGCGCGTGTTGGTGTCAACGAGCATGCGGGGGATGATGCGGTGGCGGTAGAAGGCTTGGCGATTCGCGGTGTGGGTGTGGGAGAGTCCAGCGTTGGATGAGGCGTAGAGCCGGCCGTTTTCGGAGAGGTGGTCTTTCGCGAGGGCCTCGAGTTTGGCGGGGTCTGTGGGGGTGTGAGAAGGAAGCTGGAAAATGGATGGGAAGCAAGGTTTTGGGGGATGGCCAAGGTAGGGCATGTGGAAGAGAGCTTGAGACGGCTCAGTGGCTTGAGGGGAGACGTACCGGTGTTGAAAGGAACGGTTTCGCCATTATTGCTCTTCCAGAAGTTTTCACGCTGGTAAAGGCCATACTGTGGTGTTGACCTTGTTTCGCGGTTGGGGTTGTTGGGATCCATGATCAATGAATTATGTGGATGTGAAGTGGTTGCACGTATAGCTGTTGATGAAGCTGTGTGTGGTAAAGTGGTGGTACGTCTCTTAGAGGTTTATATATATATATGAATATGCTCCTTGAAACTGCATACATCATCATGATGATGCTTGATTAAATCCCTCGGAATTCCATATTTACGCAGGGAACAGAGTGCAAAGCTTGGTTGCGCTTCTCGAATTATCCCACCAATTGACATTGTCTCTTATATCCGGGAGCATGAAGATATCCATATTTCCCAGCTTCGAGATATCTTCTCAATCGGGATGAGGATGTGTTACTAGGGTATCCGCCAAGCCGGAGCTCAACGTCTTAGCCGTGCGCAAACAACGTCACATGAAATGCCAGAGCTAATCTCATGCGATTGGCCACACCCATCAGATCGGCCAGCTCCACCTTCCTCACCAGCTTCTGCGGCATGATGATCGCCGCCTTTTGCATGGTCCTTGAGCCTTTCCCAGTGGACCAAGCAATGCTAAGCTTCACCAAGACATACCAAGCTTTGTTTACTATTCCAGATATGGGTAAGGTGGGCGGAGATCTGTGAACAACGTCCTTTCGCAAACAGCGGGGTCGATTATCAGCCTGCCTCTTAATCCTAGAGAGGTCTTTGCGGGGAGTTTCTTCGCCGTGGTCGCGGAAACCTTTCGGAGAAATCCCCAAACCGCGAGCACCGGGTTTGCACCGAGTTCACGTGATGCATATCCTCAATCTTGGGGTAGCATTATTCCCGAAACAACACTATCTCAACCTAATGTTCTACACAGAATACCATGGCGGGTACGTGGTGTTGTAGCCCGTGTTCCGTGTGCTGTTCGAGCGCTGTTCAGGCGCTGTTCGGCGCTGTTCAAATAGACTTCATGTTCTACGTTTGTATGTTAGCGCACAAACGCATGTATTCTAACTTGTCGCATGCCACTAAATTGCATGAGCAGAAAGTGAGGACGAGCATCACGTGAACTCGGTATAAACGCGGTCTGGCGGTTTGGGATTTCTCCGTAAGGAATGGTTTAGTTTACCGCGTGCTTGGCATTCGATGAGCTCCCTTGAACGAAAAGTGGCAATGCACGAATCTGAGACTCTTGCTAAAACTTCATATACTCAATACAACCACTCTCTCTAGGCTTGGGTACACTTGCCTAGCACCGCTTGAGGCGCCTTGGTATGCTATTGCGACTCGAAAAACGACTGTTCTGACACGCCTGATAGCTCTTCGCGCTACCCCAGACGGTGACCGGCGGGTTTGGGGTGCCACTTTTTTCCCGCCTAGCGCGGGCACTCTGTGAGACCTCAACTACGAGCCTCCACGATTCTCAACCTCAGGCGCGGAACCACCCCTCTGGAGTTTCTCCGCTGCAACCACCCTCTCTTTTGCCGCCTTCTGTATCATACAATACCGTTACAGCTCTACGTGTTGTATTACCCTCCGCCTCGCGTCGACCTCAACACCATCATGAGTGTAATTTTGTGTACCGGTAAGCTCCTCAGCTACATCTCGATCTCAGTCAGCTAACTTGGACCCAGCTGGTTATGACCATACTATCCGGTTCTGGGAAGCTCTTTCCGGCATCTGTTCTCGCACCATCCCGCACCCCGATTCGCAGGTCAACCGACTCTGCATCTCCCCGGACAAGAAGTTCCTCGCCGCCGCCGGCCACCATACGGTCAAGCTCTACGACATCCGCTCCAGCAATCCCAATGCCGTTCTCACCTTCGAGGGCCACACGAGCAACATCACGGGCGTCGCATTCCACTGCGAGGGCAAGTGGATGGTGACTAGCTCCGAGGATGGTACCGTCAAGATCTGGGACACCCGTATCGGCACCGTCCAGCGCAACTACGCCCATGGTGTCCCCGTCAACGACGTCGTCATCCACCCCAACCAGGGTGAGCTCATCAGCTGCGACCGCGGTGGAAACGTGCGCATTTGGGACCTGGGAGAGAACAAGTGCTCCCACCAATTGATCCCGGAGGACGACGTCTCTGTCTCCAGCGTCACTGTCGCGAGCGATGGCTCCATGCTTTGCGCTGGCAACAACGCGGTATATGCTCTCATCCCATACTTCTAAAATTCATCCCATCCTCCTCCCATACTCCTGCCCCACCCCTCTCAATTCCCCCATTTTAAGACTCACGAATCTCCAGGGCAACGTCTACGTCTGGAAAATGGCCATGCGCGGCGAAAACACCCAACTCGCACCCGTCTGCAAATTCGTCGCGCACCAGACCTACATCACGCGCGTGCTGCTCTCCCCAGACGTGCGCCACCTCGCGACCTGCTCCGCCGACCACACGGCGCGCATCTGGTCCACCGACACCTCGACCCCGCATAACGTGACGCCGGCCGACAACCTCCCCGCCGACCGCGACAAGGACGCCTTCCCGCTCGAGACGACGCTGCACGGGCACCAGCGCTGGGTGTGGGACTGCGCCTTCAGCGCCGACAGCGCGTACCTCGTCACGGCTTGCAGCGACCACTACGCGCGGCTGTGGGAGCTGAACAGCCAGAGCATCATTCGGCAGTACAACGGCCATCATCGGGGCGCCGTGTGTGTGGCGTTGAACGACACGGCGGTGGGCACCTAGGGGGCCTGCGTAGCCTTACGAGGAGTTACGTTACGATACGATTCTCCTTCTGCTTCTTCTTTTGGAAAGAAAAGAGGAAAAGCGAATGCATCAGCGAAGGCGTTGGAATTCTGGTTGTTTCGATGGTCTCTTTGACAACGGTTACGACTTTATGAGCGGCCTCCGGAGTTACGGTAAGGTAGGTCTACACGACTGTTTTTCTGCACCTAATACCCCTGCACTCTCCCCCTAGCGTGTTCGAAAGTTATGGTGGTGGATTCTGTGTAGAGGACTGCAATGTGTGTACACAACAGTGCACCGACGGCTGAGGTGGCTAGAAGCGGTAGACCAATGTTCAAAAAGACGGGCAAAACGTCACGGAATGAAATGTGTTTCAGAAGCCTCCACACTGTGATCGATTCGTCCGCCGCTCTCCCCTCCTGTGATCGACTAGTCCCCAGATCAGGCCCTAGTACACGTGAATCTGCGACCTCTGTCGACACACCTTCCACCCCTGACAAGGCCATAAGAGACAGCACTCCATAATTACGCCCCAAAAGCACAAGAGAAAAACGCCAAAAATGTCCCCATCCAATCCAAACACGCTCGCTCAAACAATGGAAAAACCAGGGACGAAATAAATTAAAAAATAATAGAAACATAGGAAGACATGTCGGAAATGAAGAATACTTCGAGCTCGAATAGTCCTGTAATGGCGGCGCGGGGTGGAGCTCTATACACACTCCCCTAGCCCTCCACGCCCATGCTGTCCATCCCTTAATTCCGCTGTGTTTGTTCTGTTTACCTCCACATCTACAGGAGCGCCAAGCTAAAACTAGCCCATCAGCGCCCCAAAAACCCCGCCAACCAGCTCGAAACGTTCTTAGTGTTCGAAGCCATACTAAGCGGCAGACTCTGCTCGCTCGCGTTACTGGGCGCGGTTCGCGGCCGCTCGCAGGCCGTTGTCTTCGGAGGGCTCGGGACCGGTAGCGGGATCATTATCTTCGCCTTGGATTTGGACGCGAACGTGTGGGTATGGCTGTGTAGTCGCGAGTCGTCTAGCGGGACCGTGGTAGCGGTATTAGGCTTTGGCTTCGACCCTGGGGGAAGGGTCTTGGAGCGCTGGGGGAGCTTGGTTAGGATGGATCCGGGCGATGAGACTGGGATTGCGCTGTGGGTCAGCAGGGAGAAGAGGGAGAGATGGTACGGTGCGAAGAGAGGAGAAGATGAAGAAGGAAGTTAGTGCGATCAAGCAGGGCTCTGAGCACCTTCACCCGGCAGCACCTCCTTCGCCTCCGCAAACACCTCCGGCGGGCTCCCACTCCCCGGCGCATCCTCCGTAGTCGTCGTCTCTCCTCCTGCGTCTTCAGCGGTGTCATCACCACCTGCCGCTGCTTGTGCCGCCGCCGCCGCCTGTGCCGCCTTCGCAGCCTCTCGCTTCTCCGCCGCTGCTCGCGCGCGCTCTTGCTGCCGTTCCCAGACCTCGCGCCTGATGCGCTCGTCCTTTGCTTTGCGGAGCCGCTCTGCCTCTTCGACGCCGCCGCTCTTCTTGAGCTTGCCTTCTTCGACGAAGGAGCCGAGTTCCTTCTTGAATTCGCCCTCTTTGCGGCTCTCGAGCTCTTTTTGGCGGGCTTTCTCTGCGCGCTCGATAGCTTCGAGACGGCCTTCGTGGTTAGGTTGGAGCGCGCGTACTTCGCCGAGCACGCCATCTTTAGCTTGGCGTGGGTCGACTGCCCTGTCAGCACCGACAGCGTGGAGGAGGTTGCGGCCGCTAGCTGAGCGGGTCCCTACGGGGGTAGCGGCACCCCCGGATTGGAGATTTTGCTGTTTGGTAGCTTGCTCGACCAGCTCGAAGGTCTGCGCCGCCTTCTCGAGGTCGTCTTCCAGATCCGCGGCAAGCTCCTCTTGCATGGTGAGGAGATCGCGCTCCTCGCACACGGCTTGGAGTTCTTGCTCCCAGATCTTGGTCCACAGCGGCTTCTCGCGGGTGAGGAAGTCTTTAAGTTTCTTGAGCTCGGCGGTCGCGGAGGCAATGTCCTTGGCGGTGCTTTCGAGCTGGCGAGGCAGAGGACGCACGCCGCGAGAAACGACGTCCTTTCGGAGGTCCTCGACCAAATCCTGCAGGTTGTCGACGCGGTCGACGATCTTCTCTGAGTCGTCTTGGAGCTGCTTCTTGCCAGTGTTAACGTAAGCACGGCCAGTGTCGCCAGACAGGTCTGGTAGAGCGGCTTTGACGGCGGTGGATTTAACGGCGGCAGCCTTTGTGCGGATGTTGGCCATGCTAGCACTGATGTCTGATGTGAATGAGGAGAAGGTCTGGCGGACGACAGCAAGGTCCCGACGTAGAGACTGGACCTCGTTCAGCTGTGCTGCAGATGTTATCGGTAGCGCGGTTGTTGGTGCAGGGGATGATGGAGCGAGCGCCGTTGACACGCGAGCCGAGGAAAAGGTAGGCGCTGCAGATATGCTGGCGATCTCTTTGGCTGCGTCCTGCTGGCGATCCGAGACTCGTTGAATCGCGGATTGCTGATCATCAACAGCCGTCTTGATGCTTTCTACCACACGACGTAATCCCCCTAGACCCTCATCGAAATGCCTCTTGACTTCGTCCAAAACCTCCACGTTGAGCACAAGCACAGACCGATCCTTGATGTCGCTTAGATCCTCCAACTCATGCCGTACCCCAGAGACTGGGTCTTGGATGTAGATTTCTGGTAGGTCGAGGCCGTTGCTGTGAGTGTTCCACGCAAACTTCTCGATGAAAGCAAGTTGCAACCGTGCCAGAGACAGATCGTTATAGCCGTCAGGTAGGACAAACTTCTTTATCTTGCTCTTGTATTGCAGGAACAAAGTCAGTTCCTTACCAGGTTCAGGAGACTGCTCCGGCGTAAACTGATCCACCCTTGGAGAGGGAGACTTAAACTTCCTGGATCCATGTCTTGCCGGGATCGCTGATGGTTTTGGTTGCACTGGCTCATTTTCCACATCGTCCACAACCAATTGTACCGGCTCTCCCAGAGGACCGCTAATGGTAGCCCCAAGAGAAGGTTGATCTCTTTCCGGAAACACGGGGGCTGCACCCAGTTTATCGTCCGGCGTCTTCTCTATGGGGCTATCTTCTGGTTGCGGTTCCCTGGGAGGTTTAATTAGTGGTGCCTGCGAGCTTTGACTACTTTCTTCAGAGATGCGGCGGTCCGTGAGGTCGTTACGGCTGGGAGATGTGTCTATGTTTGGTCTTTGGTGAGACCTTTGTCGACTGTGCAGCATTGAGCCTCTTGTCCGAACAGCGTTCATTGACTCCCGCACGTCGCGCCCCCTGTTTGGTACAGGAGAATTTTGTGGAGGGAGCATGGGAATCCCATTTGAGCCTCCCAAATGTTTTTGAATTTGATAGGCCGAGAATCGCCTGGAAGCTCTTCTCTCTAGCTCACCGCCACGTTGAAGAGCAGCCAGAGCATCTTGTTGTTTCGGAGGAGGAGGGGGCGGTGGCGGTGGAAAGTCCACGTAAGGAGGAGGTGGCCCTTCGGCGGTACCAGGCATGTTGTCTTCCTGCGGGTACGGAGAAATGACGGGTATGTTCTGCATCGTATTGCTGGACATGGAGGAATCGTTGGAGTGCTGGCTCGCTGTAGTGTTGCGGTTAGGTCTGGGATTTGCAGGTAGGCTGTCATATTTGCTGGGTGAAGTTCTGCCTTGCACTGAGGACGTACGTGGAGGGAGGCCGTCAGGTGCGAAGTCGCTGCTATTTTGCCTGGGTGGAGGCACTCTCGTGCTAGATGACCGCGCCTGGGTATCCTCCAGTTCGCTGGTGCTGCCCACGCTGTCCTGTCGCGGACTGGTCCCGTTCGGGACTGTGCCATCTCTCCCGCTCCGCTGGCGCAACCGCTGTTGTTTCTTTTTCAACCCATGTAGCAAGTTTATTATGATGTCTCTTATCCTGGGCAGGAAGTTGTCCAAGCTCGACTGTGAAGCCTCTTGACTCAGCGTCTCTTCTAGTATGCCTCGTAATAGCTCCGGCACGTTCCCAAGATCCTGGGTATCGACTCCGATGGCGTTGAAGGCCCGTGAAGCAATGTTGAATTCGTATCCGAGGCGGACGTAGACGTCAGAGACCTCGCTCTCTGTCGCCGTCCCACGGGACCAGAGGGTGAGGGTTTCCAGCAGCTGCTTGGTGGCGACCAGCAGATGGGTGACGCTTTTCTCGATCTGCGAGAGCTGCTGTGGGAGCTGGAGGGCGATGTTAGCTGTACCACGTGGCAGATGGGTGTAAGGAAACTGAGAAGGGCGGAATCTCTGGACGTACATTCTGCGCACGGCGCGAGCCCCCAGAGCGTCCTGAGCCCTGGGATGAGCGAGGCCCGATATCGTCGCCTTGGAGGGTCATGGTGGAGGAGTGGGAGGGAGGGTAGAGCGTGGCTTCACTGTCCTGGGCAGGCGACGAGCGGTTGGACCTGAGGGATCCGGAGGGGTACTGCTGCATAGCTTGGGCACGCTGTTCCGGCGCGCGTGGATGCAGGCGGTGGTGTCGTTCGCATGAAGGTCTGCGACTTTGGTGGTGCAGGTTGGGAGACACCCTGGGAGAGGCTAAGCGCAGCCGCGAGAATGCATGGACGGGATTCTCTCCCCAGCCACCTCAGTGTCGCGCAGGCAGCGTGGTCAGGTCAGCGTCAGGTGGGCACAGGCTCGTATTGCTGCGTTGTCTCTACATCCAGCTGCCCTCAGGTCTCTCCTGCGCGCAACGCTACGTATCCAGGGGCGGCGGGACGGCATCGGGTGTTTACAGCTTGTGGACTTCACTCGGGGCTAGTGTGCGGACGCCACTGCAGCCCTAGAGAGGTGCATTTGCCGCGCAAGCGCCCCCAGACGTGAACTGGTCTCACAGTCTACATACAACGACGATGAGAGAAGCTTCGGGGGCGGTCGTGGAGCCTGCGGTTCGGCCTGAGCCCAGACAGAGAAGTGGGGCGGAGGGTGCAATCGCATCTGGACAGCGAGGCCGACGTTTAATGTGTGAGGCGCTGGGCGTCTCGCTGGCACAATGCGGCCAAATCAGAGCAGGCCTCCTGTGAATGCTCGCTGTGATTCGAGTGCACACCGCTCACCGGACAGGCGTGATGGAGGCAGCATGGAGGTGTGGATGGAGGTCCAGAGGCGCGCAGACCAAACGGCAGCCTGGGTGAATCCACGGTGGACAGCTCTGGAAACATGCACATCCATGGCTCTATGAACGGTGACACAACCTTTGGCTGCTAAAACCGGGGGGTTGCTGGGCAGAGAGCTGCTCCCACACGCTGCCGGCGCATCCTCAATATCTGGCCCGTCCTGCCTCTCATCGCGCGCCTCCGCTCCAGCTGCTCGTCGGGCTGCTCTACCCAATTCACTCGTCGCCTCGCTGTGGTCGGCCGTCTCCTTGTGGCGCCGTTTCGTTGTTGGAGCATCCTTCCACGCACCAACGACTGATCCGTGGATCCTCCCGCTAGCTCCACCGCAACGAGGGCGCTATAGTACCCCGTACCGTCGTAGTCCTCACTCTCCAGGTCTACAACTTCACACCTGCCAGCCTCAACTCCGTCCCACGCTCCCACATCTCTCTCTTCTCCTCGCGACGCCCCGCCGGGCCTCCCAGGACGCTCACAGCCCTCCGCCGACTCAGCGTGCGTGCATTGTCCGCCTTGCGCTGACAGAGACCCTGAGCTCGACGGCCCAGAGCGGTCTCTCCTACTCCTCTCCTCAACCTCAACCTTCCACGGCACGGTCCGCCAACGCCATGTCCACCGCGACCTCTGTCAACGGAGCCTCCAACGGGCCCTCCACACAGCAGCCCGCCGCCCTGTCCGCCCAGGGCCGCCCACAACTCAAGATGTCGTCGTCTGGAAAGTCCGACGCTGCGCGCAAGCAGGCTGGCAGTCCCCTTGATGGAAACCAACGGTAGGCCTTTACCCTCCTCTCCTAGTTCCCACCCTCTTTCGCGCTGTCGCCCATGCTCGAGACTTTCCCCTTCTGTCCCCGCCTCACTCCCGTCGCGGAGCTGGGCTCGTCTCGTTTCGTTGAGCGACACTTTCTCGTGTGACGTTCATCCAGTCACATGGATAACCCGTGCGACAACTTATCTGTGAATCGCTGCCATCGCGGGCCATCTTGATTACCGTCGCAGTCCTCTGCGTCTGCTGAATTGCTGCGGACCTAGTCTTGCTGGCCCCCTGCATTTGTCTCCGTCTGCTGACCCGGGATTGCTCTCAGGAAACCTCCCCCTCAACAGAAAGCTTGGGGACAGGGTACCAACCCTATCACCCAGCGCGCCTCCAATGCGAACAACTCCAATGGGGTGGCCAATCCCTCGAAAGCCACTCCAGCAGCCCAGGGCCCTCCCTCCTCTTCCAACGAATCACACTCATACATGAAACACATGAACGATAGGATGATGTTCCTGTTGGCCAGTCTCACGGTAAGAATCTCCCCCTACTACCCAATTTGATCACCATCTGTGGGCTGCGACCTACGTTGCACAACCCAATTACCCAGGAATCTCCTGTTACACCGCATGCCATGATCAAATCAGCACAAGCTAATACTTCTTTCTCCACTTAGGGCCTGCCAACCAACTTCACACTGAAGAACGGCGAGAAGTATACCGGTGTCTTTTCTGGCACCTCGCTCGATCCCTCGGAGATGCGCTACGTCTTCAAGATGGTGAAGCGTGTGCAGACAACCGGCGACCAGCAGGTCAATGGAGCTAGCGAGATATCAGATGACTACGTCGGCGTTGGCGACAATCATGTCATGACCTGTGACATCGGCGATGTTGCCCACCTCAACGTCGCCAATGTGGTGCTTGATAAGACCCGAGCGAGGCCACAAAATGGTAATGGCACCTTCCACTCAATCCTTCAACAGTCGCTCACCATGTATGCAGGAGTCTCGAGCTTCAGAACAGACGCAGATATCTCAGGCAATCTCGCAATTCGCGAAAGAAATCTCCAGCGCTGGGAACCATCCTCCGATGCTCACGAGGGCCTGACCTTGGAGGAGTCTGGCAAAGCTACTTGGGACCAGTTCGCCACTAACCAGCAACGCTTTGGCGTCGAGAGCACCTACGACGAGAGCATCTACACCACGACCATCGATCGCTCGAACCCATTATACCAGGAGAGGGCTGCGCGTGCAGAGAGGATTGCACGTGAGATAGAGACTAGCAGTACCTTGAACTCACACGTTAACGAGGAGCGTGGCAACGCCAATGTCGATGATAGCGGCGTCGACGAGGAAGAGAAGTGAGTCTTGTGTGCTTGTCTCCTCCATCAGTCGCTAACATACTTTACAGATATAGCGGAGTTCGACGAGACTTCCCACCTCTGCCGAGCGGACAACCTGGCAGATACACAGCCCCAGCTAAGCGTGCACCCACTGGTGCTCCATCAGTTCCTAGCGTGCCCGTAGATCCGGCCATCATCTCGTCACAAATTGCTCGCCCCGTCTCTACATCAACGAAGCCACCGGCAGCGGCCGATTCTTCGGGAACAGAGAAGCGTCCTACTCCAGAGGCCGCAAAGGCAGAACCATCTATCCCAGCTACTGTTGAAGTGCCCAAGGGCCCAATCGACTCAAAGAATGCTGCTTCAAAGCCGCTGTCCGAGTCTGCTCAGAAACTGACTGCAGCTCTCAAGCCCCCGGGCGCAGGCGTACCGGCACTACGCAAAGTTGGCCGGGGAGACAACGCAACAGCCAACGTGGAGCACGACCTCCTTGACTCATTCAAGCAGTTCTCAGCGACTGAAAAGCTGCGTGTTCAGGAGCGCCAACGATCCATGGCCCGAGAATCCAAGGCTGTCAAACTCAACGATCTCAAGAAGTTCTCTCAGAATTTCAAGCTTAACACACCTGTTCCAACAGATCTTGTCCCGATCCTTGCCAAGGACGAAGGGAAGCAGAAGCACATCGTCGAAAAAGCTCTGAAGGCTGTTCAGGAGCAGAAGTCGACTCCACCAAAGCCGGCCACGGTTGTTGCTGACCAGAAGGCTCCGCGACCAGCAAACGCCAAACCAGATCCCGTTCATACATCTCCCAGCGCCGACCGCCAGGCCATGCCACGACAGCGCCCCAATCAGAACTACAATTCAGTACCGATGAGAGGAGCAGGAGGAAATCACATCCAAAACCAAAATACGAACCAGCCTCCTCCACGATCTGGCACTGGCACAGGTTTGCTAAGTCAACGACTTGCTGTGACCCAGCAGCAGCACAGAGCAGGAACTTCACAGTACAACGTGCCTCAACCAGTCCCCATCCAGGATATGCGCATCGTCGCACCTACTGGACCGTCTGCGAATTCCAGTGGCATTCCAACTCCTACATCGACCGCCTCAACGAGATTTAATGTCCGAGCAGCGGATTTCAAGCCCAACCCCAATGCTAACGCTTTCACTCCCGGTGGAAACCCAAGCGCAGGAAGCAGCCCTAGACCTAACTCCGCAGCATCCCGCCCGGAGCCTCGCAAGACTCCCATTATTCCCATCACCAGCTTCTTCGGAAACCAGAAGCCTTCTGGTGAGACCCTACCCTTCGACGACGCCTTTAACCCCATCAAGCGCATGTTGAAAGAAGTCCAAGACGAGAATAAAACCAAGGATTTTGCAGCCAACGGCGGCATCCCACAGGCCTATCGTACCCCACCTACTTGGGACGTCCCTGACGCAAACAAGGAGAAGAATCACGTGGAAATGTTCGAGAGGCCCACACCCCCTCAGCCCATTTCAGCTCCTCACACTGCACTGGGCAACGGACCCATTCCACACCAGCATCAACTTCCGCCCCATCTACAGGGCCCCCAGAACATGCAGCAAGCGCATAACCCACAGCAAACGCCCCAGCACCGTGCGGTGCAACCGCACCACAACCAGAATGGTCCTCATCACTTCGATGGCGGCCACCACATGCAATTCTCGCAATCGAATTCGTCTGTGCACCCTTCGCCACGCGCGATGCCGCCGTACATGTACAACGGACAACCTCAGGCGATGCCAGTTTTCCAACAACCGCCCATGCAATTCGGTATGAGCCCAAACATGCATCCAGCAGGCATGCGTGGACAGCCTGGATTCCCCAATGGCCCCCCTGCGATGGGAGGACATATGATGACTAACCAGACTTCAGCTGGCCCGTACATGGGTATGCCACAGAACCCACAGATGCACATGTATTCTCCTGGCCCGCAGCCTGCCTTCCCTCACTATCCTCAGCAAATGACAGCACCACCTGGGGCGAATAGCTTCCCTAATAGTCCACGACCCGGCGCGCCGATGATGAGCCATCAAGGCTCGCAGCAAGGACATCAACAACAGCCTGTCATCTATATGCAGCCAAATGGTCAGGTCGGACCTCAAATGTTCGCCCAAATGCCACAGGGGCCAAGTAAGTATGCTCCCTCGCTACCGGTAGCTTGCAAGCTAACTATCCGCCAGTGACTCCGATGCGCGGGCCATATCCCCAGCCTCACCAACCTCACTACGGATCACCACACCAGCATAATCAATATCCGCAACAGCCCCATCGAGGTACTCCGAGTGCCAGTTACAGCCAGCCTATGATGCAGCAACACTCGCAACAGCACTCGATGCCTCCTCAGGGCCCTACACCGACCGGACCAGCCGCCCATGGTCCGGAAGGCGGCGAGGAGGTGAAATGAGGATCTGCGACTCGACGGCGGACGCTGTCGCGGGAACCCAGCTTCTCTTTGGAAAGCAAAGCCCCTGCACGGCTGGTCGCTGTAGATGAAGTTCGCATGCTTTTAGCTCCTTCTTTTACCGATACCCTTGTGCTGGATTCCGACTAATTGCTTTGCATTTAGCGATGGCTAGGCTACTCTCGGAGTGCGTGCGTCTTCTTTCTCGGCTGCCGCAACACACTAAAAGCATAGCATCAGCGACTGGCGTTACTACATGGGTATGGTTATGGGTACGGATGGGGGTGTCAGAGAATCAACTTGTCTCTGGATACTCTCGAGATGGTTTTCGGATGGATGGAAGCTTTGTGATATAAGTGTTTTGAGGCGTCGATGGCTTCTAGATGGATCAGGTCGTCGGCGGTGCGAAGGGAGGCCTGGTGATGATGGTCGCCTGCGTCGAGGTGCTTGGCAATGCTCCAAGTCTGGGAACTTGATTTGGGCTTCGGTTCGTGCGGATGGACGAACCAGAAATCAATTTTTTGGAATTGATGGAGGATGGGTGTTGGTTGGTGAGTAGTGAGGAGTTGAGTTTGCGGGACGAGCGAAGCTAATCCGGGCGGTCTGTCCGCAGAGGGTGGGTGGTAGGGTGGATGAAGGGGTCCAGAGGATGAGGAAGCTGTCGGCGAGTGTCTGAACGGCGTCCTACTACCATCCCCAGGGCTCCCTTCGGCTTGGCTTGGCTCGCCCGATAACATAATAGAAATCGATCAAGATATTGGTGTAAAGATAGTCCTTGTGAGTGATAATGATATAGCAGACGCGAGGCCTAGAGTTGAAGAAATGTACGACTCAAATTCCTTAAAGTGTCACTCCTGCTCCCCTCAAACCCCGGTCTCTGAATCTCTTCTCGACATCTAGAACGACCGCTCGATCTCCCCTCCCCTCAGAATCCGCTGCGTCGCCTCCAAAAACCCCTCCAGTCCGGCCGGGCCGCTATCCCCCCCACAAGGCCACGACGCCTCCCGCACCGACGCCATCCAAACGGTGCACTCACTCCCCTGCCTCCGCGCAGACCTCCCTGCCCAATATTAACCCTCCGGACCTCTCCTACCGCAATCTCAACTACGCCCACGGCCCAGCGCACATTCAATAGGGGACCTTACTCCACAACATCCACATATCCACTCTCCAATTAACATCGTAGAATCAGTGTCCGATTTTCCTCTACAACCACCCCTCCGCGACAACAGCGCAGTTGACGTTGCGACCATCAGCCGCCCGCAGCCCGTTACCGAACGAGCCCCTGAGACTAGGCCACTAATCTATGAGCGAAGGAGAGAGGAGGTGTGAATAGACACGAGATAGGCTCGACTGGTACTGGTCGTGACTTGCGAGTGAGTGATGCGGGATCCTGCTTGTGATGCGTTGGAAGAGTGACAGGTCATGTGCTAGTCACGTTTTGGTGCTTGGATTGGGGTATAAAACTTCGACGGGTGCTTGGGACTGTTTGCTTGATAGCAGGGGGTTCTTGGGAGGGGCTTGTTCAAAATAATACCAAGCCTCCCTCGGATGTGGCACTATTAACGCGGGGATTCTGTGGAGAGGTTCAACCCAACGAGGAAAGCCTTTGATGTGTGCACCGCTAAATATTTCTGCTCCTGTCCTTCATATTTTTCATATGATGGGGGTCATCTTGGTCGGATCTAAGTACCCATCGTTCCACGGAGATGCGAGGTTATAGCTTTGAAAGGTGCTGACGAGCATTAGCGTGGTCGAAGGATTATCCCCACATGCGTCCTCTCGATACTATCCGTTCGATCGCTCACGCTCACGCTCAGCCTCCACCCATACTTCTGGTTCATTCGCTGTATTTGATCCACAGCCACCAACTCTCCACCATGCAAGAAGAGATTGCGCATTTTGACTCCAGTGAACGAAACCTCCACTAGCTCCCATCGAACTATTCTGGAGGAGGTTTGATCGCCAACTAGCCATACTTTTCCGCCCGCTCAGTTTTTGCCTCCTTCCGCGTAGCCTGATACAATAGACCAAGAGAGGAGCTTTTATAGGCGCACGAAACGCCAATCCCGCCAGGTTAGTCAGCAAGTGCGTGACTCCCACACCACGATCCGATGATCTGAGGAAGTACGACGCCAAGCTTTCATCTTTCATCTAACACGGATAGAGCAGTCGCCCAACAACATGCTCCCAAAATCCTGCTCACCGCCGCTCCCACCCCTGAGGATACACGCCCATCTCCGCGGGAGGATACCCCTGTTCGCTTACAGTCGCGGGCGGATACCCATAACCCCCTTGTGCTTGCGCCTGCGGGGACGCATTCCCATGCAGTTCATGCGGCGGATAGTCCGACCCCATCTCAACTATCGGCACCGGCTGGTTCTTGTTGTCTGCACCGGGATACGGGTCGGCCGGGTACGGAGCAAGAACAGGGCCACTGCGGTTTCTGCGCTTGAAGAGGAGGAAGGCGACGAGAGCGAGAAGGGCGAGACCGGCGATGGCACAGCCGACGCCTATGCCGGCTTTGGCGCCTGTGCTGAGACCGTGGGAGGGGGTTGGTGTTGTGGTTGGTTGGAGTGATGATGCTTCTGATGTGGATGTCGATGGCAGCGTAGTTGGGCTTGGTGTCGATGTCGTTGTCGGTAAGAATGTTGGAGACGATGTGGAGCGTGAGCTTGGCTCCACTGAAGACGTAGAGCTGGGAGTGGGCGCTGCAGAGGAGGAAGCAGAAGAGCTAGCCGCCTCTCCCGCTACAGTAATGAGGCCATTCGACGATATCTGGTACTTGCTCCCGGTGTACGTCGTCCGCGAATCCGTGTTCGGAATCTCGAAGCGCAGCACGAACTCATCCGTCTGTGCGAGAATGTTATGGGGGATTTTGATCTGCCAGCTGTAGGTGCCGGGGTTCTTGATATTGATGCTCTCTTGCAGCGGCTTCTATTAACGCATATATTGATTGATGTTTGCAGGTGGATGAGTTACCAGCTAGTAGAAGGCCCAGTTTACTGTGTTCGGGTCGTAAGATGCGATGAAGAGGTCTGCGATAGTCACGCCGTCGATATAGGCGTCTGTGTAGCCGGAATCCCAGCCCGTTCAGGAGAGCCCTAGGGCGACACCGATGCCGAACCTCTGCGAGAGATCAGGCAAAGGTGCCATCGGGAACAATCCAGTGTGCTTAGACGTTATCGCAAGACACTAGGCGAACTACGGATGTGAGAATAAGGAGAAAGGCGTCTAGCATAGTGGCTATAGTTTAAAGAGGAAAAGAGAGGTGTGTAGAAGAGAAACTGTTCTGTTCGAGGATCAACGCGCAGTATATTGAACATTGCGGAGCAGCTAAGTAGATGAACGGGGTTCAGATCCTCCGTCTCTACCTTTGTAGGTGCAACAAATTGTACACAGTATTGATCATCCTAGCGACTAACCTGGCTTGGAGACTTTATCGCGCGCAAGGGTAAGCTGGCTCAGCAATTGGGCATACTGTTAGGGCTCGCATCGAAGGAGTTTCGAATGCATGCTGGCTCGCTTGGAGAGTGCTCAGGTAGTTCCGTTTTGCTGCACGATCCTAGCCCTTTCACAAGAGAGGTGCGTGATATCCCTAGCATTAGAACCAGCCTTGCAGAACCTCATGAGGCTGAAGGGTTACATTCTGGTCGCTGGGAAGAGGGGAACCTTGCAGGCTAGGCTAGCAACGAAACCCATGAAAGAGCTGGAACATGATCCATTGCATCCGGTCCGGCCTCTAGATCAACGCTTTTGCAAGCACACACGGCTTGGAGGTGTGAAAATCGGGTGACTTCGGCAAGGCCAGCCTTATGATGCAGCGAATGAGACGGCTGCACGCATGTTTGGGAATCTAGTTAGTGGCGTTCTTTTACTCATCTAATTCTCCGACCATCTCTATCATCTCCTCTCTCGCATCCTCTCCCCAGCTTTCCTCACGCTCTCCTCTACGCCCCACCCATCCCTCAACAGCCCACCAACTTCTTCAAGACTCAGGCCACACGTCTCGGGGTAGATTCGCCACACAGTAAACCAACATGCTATGCAAACCCCAGTATACACTGCGAACGTGCCCATAGGCGTGAACAGGTCCATCATTGGGAGAAAGGTCAGGCCAACGAGGAAATTAGAGCCCCAGTTTGTGGCGGTCGCGAGGCCGGAGCCGATGGAGCGGACGGAGAGTGGGAATAGCCTGGGGTATGATTAGCCCTGGCAGTAGATGGCAGGAAAGCACTCACTCAGACTGCTGCCATGGTACATTTCCCATACCAATGGCGTATCCCGCGACATACACGATCATGGCGATTAGGATGATCAGAGGCCATGCTCGTGTTCCTGCGTTATCGATCCCTCTTGTAGCAACGGAAGACTCGTGTGTAGGGATGTCCACGAAGTTGAAGGCTACACTGCAAAGGCCGAGACCGATGACCATAATGGGGACCGAATAAAGCAAAATCCTGCGCCGACCAATACGGTCGATGCTGTGGAAGGCCACGAGGGTGAAGGCAAAGTTGGTTAATGCGATTGAAAGGGATGTAAGCGTCGGCGACTGGAAGCCTACGAGTGCGAAGATTGTGGCGGAAAAGTACATAAGGGAGTTCTGGACACGAAAAATTAGCACGGAAGAGAGCACTTCGAGGGAAGCACGACATGGGGCACTCACAAATCCGCACAATTGCTGGAATCCTTGAAGCATGCATGCTATAATCAACGCTCTCCGGTTCCCACCAACAGCCACGACTTGCGCGAATCCGTCGTTTACTTTGGCCATCCTACCCCTCCAGCCCGTCTTGGGCAATTCTGGGTTCGACCTCTCCCCTGCTGCCTCCTCTTCCTCCATGATCTCCTTCTCCACTCGTCTGAGCACTGCGTCTACCATCTGTTTAATCTCATCGCCACCACCATACACACGTAGTAGGACCTGCTTCGCGCGGTCCTTCTGATTTGCTTTAACAAGCCATCTGGGTGTTTCGGGCATGAATTCTAATATGAGAAACTGGATCGTGGCCGGCGCAGCACCGAGACCCACCATCCACCTCCAACCATGCGGGTGCGTGGAGAAGAGCCAGCCGATGATGTATGAAACGACTTGACCGCCGGTAATGAAGAGACTTGCGACTGTGACGAGGCGGCCTCGAAATGGAGAGGGTGAGAGTTCGGATATATACCTATTACACCGCGAGTCAACAAATTGTTCTCCCAGTAGCTTAGCTTAAAATGTCAGGTAGGAAGTGCAAGTAATGGGAGTAATGGGAGTAATGTAGAAAATCTAGCAACATACAACGGCACCACAAAGCTCGCACTGCCCACCGCCAACCCAACTATGCTCCTCCCAACAATCATCCCCCACACTGTCCCAGACCATGCCTGCCACAGCGCGCCCACAACAAAAAGTATATCCGCGAGCAGTATGACCTTCTTGCGCCCCCAAGAGTCTGCCAGCACCCCCGTGAGAGGGCTCGCAATCAAGGCGAACAAGCTCGTAGCAGACGTGATCAGACTCTTGTCCAGCGTGGTGAGGGAACGGGAGGAGAGGTCTGAGCCGATACTCACTAGGGTTGAGGAGATGACGCCAGTACTAATACCACCCATACATGTTAGCAAATACTGCGCAACCTCAATGTATCTAGAGCATAGTATGGAATCCCGAGGTAGACCCTTGAAGCAACTCACTCATATCCAAACAACAGCCCGCTCACTCCAGCACAGAATGTCAGCACCCATATGAATATACCAGGCGAGACCAGCGCGCTCTCATCCACAGCATCAGAGCTGTCGTAGCTGTCGAGGCTGGAGCGGTGTGAGTCGGCATCGGAATCGTGCAGGAGCGGTGCATCCGCGGGCGTATCGATCATGCTTTGCAGCTCGAGGGTCTCGTGGGAGGCCGTTGCTGCGACTAGGTGCAGTGACGTCGCATGGAAAGGTTAGTAGAACGGTTTACAAGTATAAGGGGCGTTGTGGTAGAAGTTTGGGCACGCGGTCGTAGTTCGGAGGTGCACGCGGCGTGGAGAATAATCTGGGGAAGCTCGTTTCGGCATGCTAGTTTTGGATGCCTGGTTTAAGGTTACCTCGACGTCCTGTGTTCCTTTCACTTTCTACAATTCGCACATATCTATTCACAGCATACTCAAGATATTACGGCTGGAACATCGCAGTTCCCAATAATTCATAACAGATGGCCTTCAGGATCACCTAGCTTCTCCTAAGATGCCATTTCAACGTTCCGATATTGTTCTACTTACACTTCCCCTATTTTTATGCCATCTGGAAGTAAGAGCGGAAAACGTGCTTAGGCATTAAAGTATAAGCGGCGCCATGACATTCAGAACGGAAGAAGAAGGCTTAAGGGGGAGCGTAGAAAGATAGTCCTTTATCGAGGGCACGTGATAATCACCGGAAGGGTTAAGCGGGTATCAGCCTTGACATTCAAAAGATAACCTTTTCAGAGCACAGGCTAGCTAATAACAGCCTGTATTCTAGCAAGGCTGAAGGGTAGCATTCATGTTGTGAGGGGAAGCTTGAATCCTGAGGCCCGAGCGCCACCTGCAGCGGAGAATAAAGCGACGATTCCAGCCCTCTTTTCAAGATCTATTGTAATCGCAACTATCTAACTTCAATGAACGGTGCTTCTAATTTTACACTGAATCCATGGCGCAAATTCGTTGCGTAGACACCATCACGATTGGGAAGGTATGCGTTCAAGGGAGATGTATGGCGAGAGGTGACAAGGCTGATAGCAATATAAATAGGGCTGCGTAATGAAAGTGATGGTCGACGATTCAAAGCCCGACGGCCATCTAGACCATAACTGGACCGAAACGACATATGACGGCAAACCAGGGTCTATGAAGCTCGAGGTCCCGGGGCACTGGCATAAGTATCACGACGAATACATGGAAGTTCTCCGCGGGCGCATGACGCTTTATCTCGAAGGCACCGGCAGCGTGGTGCTGGCAGCTGGTGATGAAAGACTCAAGATTCCGCGGTGGCACGTTCATTCTTTTGCGGCGTTTGAGGGCGAGGAGGCAATGCTGAAGGAGTTGACGGATCCCAGCGGGGAGTTTAAGGCTGAGTATGTCGTGTGAAACGCTCTCGTCCATGCCTTCATCTCTTCATCCTCATGACTTTTGATTGTGTCGTCTTCTGTGCTCCGCTTTCGTGCAAAACACAGAAGGGCATGGGGAAGACGGTCGTTTGCTAAAGCTAGTATTTCACAGATTCTTCAGAAACATGACCCAATCCGGCAGCATGACCATCATCGACGCCCTGCGCGCTTTCTGGGACGGCGATGCATATATCTCCTTACCGGGAAATATCAAGCTCCTTGACCAAGCGGTATGTGTGGCTGTTTTATACGGCATGCACATGCTGACAGATATTACCGCAGTTCATGGCTGTAGCTGGCACGATTGCGAGATTCTTTTGGCCAGCGACCAGGGCGTATAAGGCGTATCCTGATATGTAACGTGAGGCTACGGGAAGAGGATAAAAGATATCTGTAATTGATTGAACTGGAGGCCGCTGAGCGATTGGGGCGTATGAAGGCTCTCAGCTCACAATATAGGTTAAAAGAAGTCATGTGAGGATCAGCTTTATGGAAGTTGCGTGGAGACTCGTATAAGAAAAGGGAATAGCTCCTAATCAAATTCTTGGACCCTCATACCCACCACAGAGCGAAAAAAAAATGCACCGAAGTAATACACTCTCAAAAAAGAAAGCAATGCCGACCAGGCACTGTGCCGACTCGAACCTAGAAGCAAAAGGAAAGTGTCCCGAAGGACGAGTACCATATGGTAGTTAGATATGAGATATCAGATAGATCCATAGAGCCACAGCAACTTTCCTGTGAGGCCAAGGAATTAAAGGGGTTTTATAGCCTTGAAAAAAAGAAAATAGTTAATGCGCGATGAAGACATAACGGGTGAAGACACGCGTCCTCGCCGAATTCGAGAGTTTGTTCCTTGGTTCTTTGGCAAAATACGTAAAGCGAACCAAGCAAAATATCACAGCCAAGCTCGATGAGGTAAGGCAGACTTCAGTATTAGAAAGCGTTCCTAATCGCAATCAAGAATCTGAAGAACGGGGTATTACAACACAGCACGCAACATCCTGTCAATCCCGCTCTTTTATATCTACCTCGCTCCGTCTGTGATTACCCTAGCTAGCCGGAAATTTCGCGTGCAAACCAGCGCAGCTCCGCTATACAGTACATGAAAAAAGTCCTTGCTACAAGTCCTGTCAATCCGTGATACTCCGATCCGATTGCAAGAGATGCCGCCACCGATGGATTACATGCCGTACGCCAAGAAATGCTGCGGAGGAGTTGAGTTGGGTTGGAGGAAGACTTGAGGAGGCTGCGAATTCGTGGGTTGGAGTGTTGAAGCGGGGTATGGGGGGGTGGTCTCGGTCGATGAAGCGAGGCGTAAAGAACGCTTGTGATGGTAGTGAAGTAGCATGATATAGCGCTTGTAGATGTTCATGCTTTCGTAAATGGCTTCTTGTCTATGAATGATGCCAAAGAGGCCGTTGGGGGTATAGAGGGGTATCCAAGATGCAAGGCACACAGGCTGGATAGGAAGGCGTGTGAGGCACAGATATGTACCGTGCAACTCTATTCCCAAGGCGACCAACGGAGTAGGTGCCAAACTGGAGAGTGGTGAATAGGGACAAAACGTCCGCGATGTGGTGTTCCCGCGCTGCATTGCGTGATGCTCGCAAGGTCCATGGGTGACCTTGATGGCTCAATTTGGGGCGAAATGTGATACGCCACGCCTCTTTCTGAATGCTCAATCCGACTTCCAGTGACTCGTGAGTCTCCCATCGTCATCCTCCTTCGAAATCTTGAGCTCGATCGCGTACAATGCCATCGTGACCGCTAGATTGATCCATCTCCAGAAGTTGCCTCCGGCGTCCCCACCCTGACTATTCCACCAGTCACCATTACTCGATCCATCACCGTTGGTCGAGGCGAAATGCTGCATCAACAGGCTTGTGTACACAGCTATGAGGATGCTCGGGCTAAACCAGCTTAGGAATCCTAGGAGTTGGCCCGCTTCATCACTGTCATCTAGTGACGGGTCCTGTGTGAGAGCCCGAGCACCTGATTCGCGGATAGCCGGGATAATTCGAGCACTTGCGTACATGACGAAGACGCGGTAAGCGAGCGAAATAATGACGGAGGGCGTGATGGTCATAATGGCTCCAACTATAAGGTTGTAACCGGAATGGATCATGGTAGGTAATGTTGAGAAGATATGCAGTAGCGTGGTATACGAGGCCATGATTATCGGAGGGAGAGGAGGCAAAGCTGGCTGGGCTGGTGGAGGGCTGGCCTCGGCAGAGCTAGACGGTTGGTAGTCGGTGAAGATTTGATAGATGCAGAGAGTGACATAGGCAAACTAGACTCGCGTTAGAAAGTCGGAATCAGTTCCGAGTGTTTGAACGTACCAAGAGGGAGCTTTCCACCGGATTACCCCGTCCGCTGCCTATGCCCCAAGAGCACAGGAACACAGAGCATGTGATGGCAGCGCCGATCAGTATGGCGTCCACGTTGCTGATCTCTGGGAAAGTAGTAATTCGCCAAAGGAAGTAGACGGAGCTAGAAAGAATGGATGCGGATAGGACCAACAGTCCGATCTAGAAAGATGGTTAGCTGAGACGATAATACAACACAGGACGATTGTACCATCCAGCTATCTCCTCGCTCCCGATTCACAAGCCAGCGCGTGATCTGGCCAGCAGCTTGGATGACGAGCAAGCTGCAGAAACCCTCCCCAATCTGGAACACGGGTGTCGACCATCTCAGAATCTTGTCCCAGCTGCCGATAGTGGCGCTCTCGACCAGTCCACCACTGCCAAACAGCCATTCCTGCACCGACGAGTCGTGAGCCCGCTTCCCGCCAAAGGTTCGCTCCACCCAACCACCGTTGTTGTCCGAGTCGACGGAGAATTTATTCAAGCTCCATATCAGCAGCGCTGGCAACACGAACCACTGAGTCCACGCAATCAGCTGCACAAGGGTCCACCGGAACCGTGATCCATCAGGCGTCGCTAGGCGGAGGGCGGAATAGAAGAAGTAGTAGCTGGCGAGCGATAGGGAGAAGGCCAGTCCGCAGGTCCTACCGCCTATGTCGAAGGCTAGCGGTATGGTGAAGATGATGGCACTCAGGAAGGTGGCCGAAGAGGCAACCCTTGTGAGCCACATGTGCGCCTGCTGCGCCGAGCACGCTCTGGGGCGCGCTCAGGCAGTATACAAGGGAGCGCCGGGGGCTCGTTGTAAGGAAGACACGCGTGGAACGCGCAGCCGGCGCGGGAGAGTGTCCTGGAGGTGCTGGCGTGGTGGAGGACGTGGTGCGGGCGCGGTGGTGGTTACGTGTAATTTTGGTCGGAGGCGACCTGTGATGCTTGGCGGTGAGCTTATCTTCACGTGCAAGAGTTGCGGTGGGTGTGACGAGGCCGGGACGTCGCCGAGAGAGGGTCGTGATGAGGTCGTCGTCTGGTGTTCTCGCGAGGCTGCGGCGAGCTTGCGGAGAGCTTGCGGAGAGCTTGCGGAGAGCAGGCGTGACAGGCAACCTCCTGCGCGGCGTAGGCCCAGAAGCGGGTAATTGGACTGTCGCGTGCTGGTCGGCCAGGCTATTGGAGATCCCACAGATCGGGACAGGGGCCTGCTGGTGAGGACGAGAGAGTGAGTTGCGGATGGCCAGGCGGAAGAGCGTCCAGAGAGCGAACAAACGGCACTGGAACACGGGCCAAACTGAGCCCGCAGGGAGAGACAGGTTTCGATTTGAGGACAGGTCGCGGGAGGGACTCGGTGATGGTGTTCTGGAGGTTTATTATTTGCAATCTTACCACTCTAATCCTAGCGCTCCAACGGCCCGCCCAAGAGCCAACGGGCCTCACGCCTCCAGACTCGGGCGGCCAAAGAGGAAGCTCCAAGACAACCCACCTTTCACCGTACCGACCTCACCGCTGTTCTCAGCCCATTGTTGAATGCACGCACTGAGACGCGCCGTTCTCTTCCGTCCGACACGCCTCTGCAGAACATCAATTGCTCCCGTCGTCCGCTTGCGCGTAATGAGCACCTCCGAGACCCCCGCAAAGAAGCTCAAGATGGCTGGGCCTTTGATCGGAACGCATAAGTGAGTCTTTTTAAATTCTTGAGCGACTTTCATGTCCATCAGGCCTCATTCTGTGACTACTCGGAAAGACGTCCTTGTATAGTGCCTCGCCATAGATTTGCGTTACTCTCGTATCACTGCTGGTGGGGCTTTCAGATATCATCCTATTTGGGCCCGCCGTTTGAGGGAGTCCAGCCAGCTTACGGACTGTTCAATCCGATGAGTTCTATCCTGCTCAGATAATTAGAAACACCTTGAAGCCCGTCCTGCGGTGCCACGACAGCGTACGGATATCTTGACGAGACCCTGCAGCCTCAAATTTTGATAGCGCCTACGAATTTGATATATCTCCACCAAACAGCCAACTGACACATCACAGCGGCCACTTCCACGCCGACGAAGCTCTCGCCGTCTACCTGCTCCGCCTGCTCCCCACCTACGCCTCCTCCCCCCTCGTCCGCACCCGCGACCCCTCGGTTCTCTCCACCTGCCACACCGTCGTCGATGTCGGCGGCGTCTATGATGCCTCCACCAACCGCTACGACCACCATCAGCGCGAGTTCTCTGCCGTCTACCCCGGCCACAACACCAAGCTCTCCTCCGCGGGGCTCGTCTACCTCCACTTCGGCAAAGACATCATCGCACAGCACACCGGCCTGGACGTCGCATCCGAAGATGTCACCATCCTATGGGAGAAACTCTACACCGACCTCATCGAGTCCTTCGACGCCAACGACAACGGCATCGACCAATACAACAGCTCAGCTATCGCAAAAGCAGGCATAGAGAAGAACTTCGAAGAGCGCGGTTTCAGCATCGCAAGCGTGGTCGGCCGGTACAACCGCGCGCCGCTGCCGACCTCGTTCTCGGACACCGCGCCGCAAGCCGAAGAAGACGCGCGGTTCGCTCGAGCATCGGAGTTCACAGGCGAGCAGTTCATCCTCGACCTCTCGGATGCGTACAAGTCCTGGCTCCCCGCCCGCGCCACCGTGACACAGGCCTACAACGACCGCCTGCAGTACGACCCCCACGGCCGGATCATGGTTATTCCTTACAAGAAGGAAGGTGTTCCGTGGTCGGACCATTTGTACGGGCTCGAGAAGCGCACGGAGCAGAAGCCGGGTGTCCAGGCGCAGGTGCTGTATGTGCTGTTCCCTGAAAACGGGGATGCGGACAGCAAGTGGCGGATCCGCGCTGTGTCGAAGGAGGGGAGCGGGTTTGAGAACCGGAAAGATCTACCCGATGCGTGGAAGGGAGTGCGGGATGAGAAGCTGGACGAAGTGAGTGGGATCCCTGGGTGCGTGTTCGTGCATGCGGCTGGGTTCATTGGAGGGAACAAGACGTTCGAGGGAGCGTTGAAGATGGCGGCTGTGGCGGCGGATGCGTGAGAAAGGGTAGGCATTGGGTATGGTGGGTAGGGAGGCGTCGAGGCGTTGGATACCACGGAATGGATGGTTAGATCTCCCAAAAGGTAGATATCACGGACTTCAAAAGTTATTTTGGCATATCAGAAAATCCATTGATGGGAGCCTTGTCTCCTCTGCAAATCCCGATCTCCTAGCTGGTTCATGAGCTTCGTCAATAATATGTCAAAATCGAGTCAAAATCACGCGGACTGGCTCCCGTTTATACATCTTGCATCCTCAAGATCAACCTTATTGCTCAGGCCTGGTTTAAAGCGTCCGCCAATAACATGCTAAATGTGACTCCAAATCGCACGGACTGGCTCCCGTTTATACATCT